GGAATACCATTTTAAACAGTGACGTAGCTTGGAAAGCTGGTGCTTTTGAGAAAGAGTGCAGATTTGAGTTTATGACACAGAAGCACATATAAGCAATGTTTTTCTGCCAGGATTTATCCAAATTTTCCCAACACGAGGTGTTGGAGGAGAAGAGGACAGCATATAAAAACGTTGATGAATGAATGAATGAATGAATAAATAAATAAATAACTGTATCATGTGAGCTGTGGAGATGGGGACCAGTTTTCTCACAATATAGCATTCCCAGCCAGACAGTTCAGATTTCAGAATGTGGATAAATGGGGTAGGAGGAATAGGAGATGGCTGATGATTCAGCAAAGTCAAGTTTAACAAGCAAGATTAGTGAGGCAGTGACTGAGAAGCAAACTGTTTTGGACAAGCGGCAAGACATTGTGGGGAGGAAAGTGAATTCATAGACCCAGTGAAGTGATACAGGGCCAAGCAGGTAAACCAAGTATGCAAGGTCAGGCATTCATGCTTTTTGGCCCACAAGAAGGTAGAGTCTGAGACTCAGGGAAAAGGAAGGAACTGGCCATTTCATTTTGAGATCAATTCTTCATGCAAGCAAAAGCTTCTCCCTCGCATTGGACAAAATGTTACTTTGATTTATGCTACTTGTTAATAACTCCCACAGAAGATACCCTGTATTGCAACAAAGCCTGTTAAGTTCCAATGAAAGACTATTTTAAAACCTTTCATTCTGATCTTCTCGGAAGGAAAAAGCAGGAGAAATGTGCTCACAACATAGTCTTCCTTTGGACACCCAATGTACCATACCTCCCTCAGATGAAGTGGGGGGATTGCTCTCCTCAGTGTTGCAGGAGGATACTCAACCTCAAAGAAAGGTTTTTGCCTATGGAATCCGCGCTCCCCATCTTGCTTTTCAAAGAAGAGATATTGCATTCCTATCCTTTTTCAGAAAATACATGCCCTGTCTTGTTCCCTAAATGAAATTGTGGGAGCTAGTTACATTTACTAAGTGATAATAGAAAGGCACATTGCTTTGTATTCCTGCATTTAATTGTACTGTTTTTTGAACCATGGCTCAGATTAAAACTATGTATGGGGTAGGGGTGAAAGAGCAATAGAGAGGGATGGGTCCCATGTTATAGTTTCCATACTGTCGCCTACCTTAATTTTAATTGAATATGTAACATTGTTTAAAGTGAACAACTTTTCAGAATTGTTGCTTTGGATAGGTTGTTGATGCTGCTGTAAAATTTTTTAGTCAAGTTTTATGAAGTCATAACATCAAAAGCGTATCAGGTGTGGATTCCCAGATGGCCAGGCCACTTTCTTTCACTAATAGTTTGGTGGCTTTTGTGCAGTTCTTTCCTATTCTAAAAGTTTAAAATATCTCCCTTTAGGTAACTTAGATACTGATAACGTGAGTTGTGGTATTTATTTATTTATTTATTTATTTATTTATTTATTTATTTATTTATGGCATTTTTGATCTGCCCACTTTTATTTTGGGGCCCACTTAACTCTGAAAAGCAGCCCCTCCTCCCAAATAACTTTTACAAAATAGAATTTGGATGTTGGGCTAAGTGAGCTTCTACAGCAGAAGCTGCCTTATCCCAAGTCGGACCATGGCCCCATCTAGTCTGCCACTGGTGACACTGACTGGCAGTAGCTCCCCAGAGTTTTTGGCAGGAATTTTCTCATCCTTATTTTGACATGACAGGGATTGAACCTGGGGACCTTTAGCATGGAAGGCTGTACTCTGCCAGTAAGCTAAAGTTGTCCCCTTATGCACTGCTACATTAAAAAGAGAAGAGAGGCTCAAAAGCACCATATTGGATCAGATAACTTGTGTACCTATGGTTCAACATCCTGTTTCCCTGCTTCTGAGAATCCTATAAAGCAAGGCACGAAGGCAAATAGCCTTCTTCATTGTTTGTTCCTTGGCAGCTAGTATTAGTGGCAAACCACCTATGAGCACTCAATTATCATGGTTATAGCCATTTCAGGACCAGTGTACACTTACCTGATATCATTGTAAAGCCATCTAAACCAGAGGCCATCACACCTTCTGTGGGCAAAAACCATAAGTCAATCATGTATTTTCTTTTGTCTGACCTGAATCTATTTCAGCCAACTTCAAAAGCAAGTATTTGTTTTCATTGCTTGCTTGCACTCTTGGGCAAAGACCCTGTGTCCATACTGCAGTCTTGGAGGAACGGACATGCATGAAAATCAGTGCAGCTTTGCCTGCACAGGGTCAATGTATGGTGGCTGTGGCTGGTGAGAGTGAATGCTGTTCACTTGCTTTTGCCCACTAGCTCTTTATATTTTTATTATAACATGAATAGATTTTTGTATTATGCCTCCACAAGTCTTTTCCTTTCCCTCCCCTACACATTACTCTTTACCCAAAAATGCTTTTACAGCATTCACACTACTCGTCACTTGTGACACGGAGAAAACAAGTTGGAGCTTTGAGAAACGAAACTGAACTTTGCAGCCTCGACGCCTGGCCTGCTGTAAGGCAGGAAAATAGGGAGTAGCCCGCTGTGTATCGATTCAGTGGGGAAGTGCCTCAGCATTGTGTTGGTTGTTAACAGGAATTAGTCTTTGACCAGTCATGTACTCTGTACCTCTTGGATTGGAAGAATATCGCCAGGGAAAAACAAGCCCTGATCTCCATCCATGGAAAGTGCTGAGAACTGGTTTCTCCCTCTTTTTTATTCTGGCAGACCCAGACATAAAATGAAATTTTTATTTAGGTTGGTCATTGGCTTTAGCTTATAGAACAAAATTTACAAAAATAAAATACATAAATTGTACAGAGCTAAAGTTATCCTAATTACTTTCCATAATTTATATAAGTGCCAATACCAAAATGAATACAAAACCCATTATACTCTCTGAATTGGGCCCTAGAGAACACATCACACCAGTCTCCCGCCAGTTGCATCGTCTGGCTGTTATTGCCCAGGCCCAATTCAAAGTGCTTATGCTAACATATAAAGCCTTAAATGGCTTGGGGCCAGGATATCTGAAAGCTGTCCTGAGATGTTTGTAGGGGATGGGATAGAAAAACTTTTAATGAATAAATATTTAAAGGAACACCTGTTTCCATGTATCCCTACCAGACCACTCAGGTCATCAGTGGAGGCTCTCCTTCATGAACGCCCCCCCCCCCCAGTTGAGGTGAGGGGGGAATTGGCAAGGAAAGGGCCTTCTTGGTCACTGCACCTCACCTTTGGAATTCTCTTCCAAGGGAGGTGCGACTGGTGCCCACTTTATCTTGCTTTCAACACCAAGTTAGGACTTAGTATCTATTTTTAGATTGGATTATTGGTTTGCTGCTGGGTTTTTGTTTTATTGGTTGTTGTTATTGGTTATATTGTATTTATTTTCCTCCTGGTTCCCTATTTATATGGTTGCATTTATATTGTATTTTAATTCTGTTATGCTTTATGGTTTGTTTGTTTTTGTTATTTATTTTCATATAATACTGTGATTCACCCAGAGAGCCTCTGGCTATGGGGCAGCATACAAAATAAATAAATAAATAAATAAATAAATAAATAAATAAAGACCTGTGGTTGCCACAGGTTGTCTAACACTCTACAGAGATAGTCCTTGAACCAACAAGTTCATGTGATATTAAAACGTGAGTGTGCCTAAGCAATAAGGACCACCTGATAGTGCAATCAATACAACAGATTCTGGATGGCCACCTGTTGAGGATGCTATAGGTGTCCTGCACTGGGTTGGACTAGATCTTTTCCATGTTCCTTCCACTTCTGTGATCCTGTCAGAGGAAATGATCTCATTTCTCTGCAGTTTCTCCACACTTTTCAATAATCCTCCACTATTAAAGATTTCTCTTCTTTCCCTGCTGCCAGGCTTTTTTTCCTGTTTCTGATAGAAATGTGAAGTTTACTTTTTTCACGATATGCACAGAACCATTTTACAAGATGGCATGCAAAAAATCCCCAGCACTTTTTACATGGTCTCCCAAGCCATGCACAATGCATCAATGGCGAAGGAGCGGGTCCGTGCCGTTGTCCCACCCTAGACTCGTCCACAGACTAACAGAGCATCTTGCATAAAACAGCCTGAGTGAATTCCAGTGGTAGCCCAGCCTGGGACCTCACAAAATACAAGGCCTCCCATCGTATCGGAAGAACCTACAAAAATGCAAACAGTCCATGCGCACAGGCTGAGGCGGGCAGGGTGGATGCATTCACACCCCTCACCTCTACTTCCTCGGTCATTGTACCTGCTTGGATGTTAGAAACACTCTTTCCTTTCCTTCGGAAGAGAAAAAGATTCCAAGCATGCAGAGAATTCTTTTTGAAACTTTATTGCAACAAGGAGAGTCAGAATGTTTTTCTTCCCTTCTTCCAACTCAACTCACCACATGTTTACATCTCATTTTTATGCCCCGCCCTGCTGCTTCTCCTTCCTCTTTTCCCCCATTGACCAGGGTACTGGGAAGTTACAAATCTTCCGCGCCTATTCTGTTCTTCCATCGCAGCTGAATTATAATGAGCTTATTCATATGCAGGGTGTTTATTAGCAGTCATGAGGTCATTCATGGATAAGTTCCCTGCTATCTTGTCTATGCGCCAAATTCCTCACACTTTGTGCTATCTGACCTCAGCCCCCTCTCCTCCTTTAGGCTAATGAATTTTCTTCGTTACCTTTTCTTTACTCTTCCTACTTCCTTGTTTTAAATCATCCTTTCATCTTTGGAGCAAAACCATGAAACTATTGTTTAAACAGTTGAACCCTATGGAATGCGCTCCCCAGAGAGGTGTGGCTGTTGTAAGCCGCCCCGAGGCTTTGTTGCGATGGGGGCGGCTTAAAAATGTTTTAAATAAATAAATAAATAAATAAATAAGTTTCCGTTCCTCAATCTCTTTTCCTTTTGGCTTACTGCCACTGATTCCTTAACGCTGTTTACAGTGCTGCTAGCTGAGACACCCAAGAAGCCGCTTCTACCCGCGCTCTGAGAAACGAAACCTAGTTGAATTCCCGTCGCAGGAAAAGGAAAGCAGAAAATGCTGCTGCCAATAAAAGGACTTTTCACTTGCCATGACCAGCCCGATCGCGGCACTGCCCTTCTGTGATTGCAGGAGGATTGCCGAGAAGGACCCGTTGATCTCGGTGGAACGGTAAGGAGAGGTATTTCCCTGCTGGGCTATTGTACTGAAAGGAGCGTCAGGAGTTCCCTTGACCCTCTATGGAGAATGGCATTGTTAAAGAGGAAGACAGGCTTTGACCCGCGAGCCCACGTGCAGAATCTCCTGCTCCCCTACAGTGTAAGACCTGGGTGCTGGCTCTAGGGCACAGCACTGTACAGTAGCAATATAAACGAATGGAGGTTGTCCTGTGAACGCACACAGAGTGCATTTCTTTTTCCATAGAAGTCAACAGAAACAGCAATATTTTTCCCCACATGGGGTGGATAATAGGATGCTTCAGGCCAGGCAGCTCGATTTTTAGAGGCTTGTGCCATCAACCAGAATCTGGTGTAGAAGACAAATATTTAGAATAAAAATATCCAAGTCCAGGAATGTTTTGAGTATCAGAACAGAATGGAGCTCACTGGCCTTATATTTGTGGTGGAGAAACCCAAAGCTTCCCCTTTCCAATTTGTTTTCCTTCCCATAGGGGAAAAGATTCAGGTTTCCATACTTTTTTTCCTTTGTGGAAGTAAAATCAGCTGTCATGAGAAAAGTATGGCCAGGAATGTGCTAGCCTCGTTACCCTTTGTGAGTGCCTTCACAATTTCATCCTCCTATGGATGCATTTCCCTGAAGGGGGAAAATGATCTGCTATTCTTGGGAGAACATAACTATATATGTTTCTATATGTGTGGGTAATTAGTGCCTGAGTTTCCTTCTTTTCCTTTTCCTTCCCTGTTCCTTTCCTCTTGTATGCCATGTCTTTAGATAGCAAGCCTTTAATTCCACATAAGGCACTCTAGGAGCTTTTTATCTGGAGAGCAGACTATGCATGCAATTTTAAAAATCATTCCTTCATATAAAAAGACACTAAAAATAACTTCTAGAAGCTGTCATTGTTTTACCTCAAAAAGAGATACCTCCATCTTGCATTATTTACTCAACAGAAATTGGGACAAAGGGACAACGCTCGTTTTTATTGTGCAGTCATGTTTGATAATTTTGGAAGTAGGTGTGACTTTGAGGTGTGCCTCTGACTATCATGAAGGAGACTCCCACACACACTTCTAAATTTGCCACTACACCACTGGGTAAATCTCTTGCTTTTCAGTTTCTGCGTGGGTCAGAGAGACTATGAAGAAAGAGGACCAGTTGCCTACCTGTAACTGCAGTTCTTCAAAGTGTGGTTTGCCTGTGACCTCACAGAGCCTACCTTTGATTTCTCAGTCCTCATTTCTATCTCAGGTCTGGCAGGCTGGAAACTGAGCAGCAAATGGGAGCCATGCCCAGTGTGTGTGCCGAGGGAATGGATGGGAATCCCTTCTGAACTGTTCAGCTCTACAATGCTGCAAATAACTGTTCTACACAGGTGCATAACCCATACATGTGAATCCACAGGGAATCACATGATGATCCATAGTAAGAGCGAATTAACCAATCCTTTCCCCCATTGCTAGCTATGTTGCCTAAGAATTGGCTTATGGTAGTGGTGGGGCACAGCTGGATCCTAGCCAGTATATCTTAAAATAATTGCTTGAATAAGTAAAAGAGCAGAATTTTAAAACACTGGAATGACATCTATATGTACTTTGTGGTTTCAGGGCGTCTGTATGAAAGAATAATGGTCCAGATTTAAATACACACAGTATCCAAAGTGGTGTCAACAGTCATAGAACCTGTCATGGCTTCTGAAGCAAGTGTTGTCAAAAAGAAAGACCCCTCAAGCACGCTCAACAAGCCCAAGAAGAAAAAGCAGGCAGCCTCAGCAAATATTTCAAGTGAACCATATTTATACGAATTCCAAAAACCAGGTAAGTAACTATATATGTTTTCGGCTTGCTATTGATTTGTTTTGGAGGCAAGATTTTGACATACACCTTTCTGTCTTCATTCATTATTTTGCTTTAGTGTTATATTAGTTGGGCAAAAGAAAATCACTGTTAAATTATGTTGTCCCCTCCCCCAAAGATGCATGAATTGCTTTTTGTTGTTGTTGGCTACATGCACATGGTATATTTGATAAAATTCCTCTGAAACTTGAAAATTAAGAAGTAAAAACAAACAGCATTCAAATCAGCCTAGAAATTGCTTCACAGAAATGGTTTTCTGTATTGTTTGCTCATATGCTATTTGGGATCTTGAGGGCAACATTGATAATGTGCAACAAACCTAGGATATTCCTATATTGTCTTTAACAGATCTTGAAATATGCATGAGAGACATTACTTGCAGCATTCTGAATTGTGAAATACCGTCAGCAGAGTATGTATAACGAACAGTATTTTCATCCTCTGACATGTCTTCTGAGCCTTTAACTCTCATGACTTCCTCTTTGTTCTGCATTCCCATCTTTCTTGCCACCATTGATTTATTACCTGTAATGTCACAGTAGCAGTGACACAATTTCTGTCACTGGCTTGATTGAATCTGATATCAAAGAAGACCTGGGAAGCCTTTGATCAAGCAGCTGAATGTTCAGAGAAACAACATATAGCCTTATGTACTGTCTGGGGAGGATCTGTTCCTTAATCTTTATGAGCATCCTAGAATACCCTGAGTTAATTACCCAGTAGTCCATTCTAGCTTTTTTACTAGTCAGGCAGATGTAAGCAGTCACATGTATCAGTCCAAATTTTCAAAGGAATATGTAAATGGGAAAAGAATTTATTAACACCTGGTTCTTAATTTAATTGATGATAGAAACAACTATGGCTGCAAACCACATCTGTTAGCTTGAGCATCAGATGCTTAGAAAATAGCTGTTTGTTTTACATGCAAGTTTTTAAAACTAACTTTAAAAAAGTAATTAGGCTTAATTGCATTGTTTCTTAACATACAACATTTTTGTTCCAGATGTGTCAGCTTACTGAATGATTATGTTGAATCAGAGTTCTTTCTGATTGATGGTGATTCATTGTTCATCACTTGTGCAAGAGAATTAACATTACAGCAAGGACAAAGCCTGCACTTCTTTTACCTAGTTGAACGCTTTCTCCTGGATTTAACAAGCAAAGGAGCAAAATATATCATTGTTTTCTTTAAAGTAAGACATAATTCGTGATACTATTTATTCTAAAAGGGCATCAAAGTACACATTAACTTAAAACAGACACTGTGGTTCAAGATACATGGCAGAAATGCAAGCAAAGTAGATACTCATTCAATGTGATGCCTTCCTGGTGTGTAAGACTTTAGCTCCCATCAGTCCTACATTTGAAAGTTACAAGGTTGAAGAGAAAGGCTGCTGGAAATGGGTTGCTTGCAAAAGCCCTCCACATTTCTTTCACAATAGCAGGTGGAGATAGTAGTCATGGTGTATATATGGATTGGGACCATTGAACAGGCATGTTCTCCTGTTGTAATGGGAAGTGGGAGCTTTAATCCTTTCTTCTCTGCTTTGTTTTCCTGCTGAAAATTGCAGGAACACTGTATTTTGCTTCCCTTCCATATTGGATCAGCCTCCCTACACCAAGTCTGTTGTGAAGTAAAGATGGTGGACAGTTGTAAGTAAATGCTTAAAAACACCACTGTGGTACAGTGGTTAAGTGTGCAGGATGGGACTCAGGCAATCTGGGTTCTAGTCCCACTCAATCATGGAGACCAATCACAGACTCTCAGTCCAACCTACTTCATAGTCTGTTATTGTGGGGATAAAAGTGCAAGGAGGAGGAGAATGATGTAAGTCACATTGAACTCGTAAGGAAAAAGCATGCTAGTAATGAATGAAAGTGTAGTTTGTTAATCTCAGCTGCAGCTGAACCTTTCTGTTCTTTCTGGCCCTGAATTCTGCCTTTCAGTCTGCCTTCCTTGTCAAGAACTTTAACTGTGGTACTTGGGCTCAGAGCTGATCTTTTCTCCACCTGTCTAGTTCCAGTCTGGTGAATTGTCTGGGCCACTGAGTGGGTACTGAGTTAGGAAACATGGTCTCTGTCTTGGGTCATATCACTACAGCTGGCACTCACTCTCCAGACCTGACTGAGTCATTTGCTTCTGTTTCAAGTGCTTGCTATTTGCTTGAGGTCAAGCTTATGGCAGTGATCATTTACTCGAGGAAAGAAAATATTATTACTCTTAGTCAGTTCACTCTGTGTGTCGCTCTATAGTGGTGCAGCAATTAATGTAACTCACAATTCTGTGAATGTTCTATGGCAATTATCATAATCAATTCAATATGACTTTTGTTTCTTACAGGATGCAGAACATCTATATTACAGAAATCCTGGTCTCCTTTCTTGGAGAACTGCATTGATCATCCATCTGAGGAAAAATACTGGAATTGAAATACATACTGAATTTTCTAACTGCTTAGATAGCAGCTGGAAAACATTTTTGGATGAGCACTATCCATATTTTGTAATAATCTCTGATGAAGGATTGAATGAGTTGCAGACTAATTTTCTCCATATATTTATTATGCATACCTTGTCAAAACAAATCAATGTTGTACTTACTTCAGGTCAAAAATCAGATACAATCCGAGTTTATGGGTATCACATACGAAGTAAATATAAGCACCAGCATTTTTTTCAAAAGGTGAATACTTACTAAGATAAATTTCTTCTAAATTAAGGGAAGGGATTAAAGAACTCATGCATGATGTCTCTTAGATTTAGAGGAAACATCCTTGATGACTACACACATCCCCATTATTTTGATGTGGTGGATAGGTAGTGTTTGCCATTTTTTCAATAGGGGTGGTTTCTTTTGTCTTCTCTCTTAGTCATAGTAAGGTGAAATTCATGAGGATAATGTTCCTTAAATAAAAATACATATTGATTAGATACTATCATTGACACTGAATACATGAAGATGTCACATGAAGATTTCACTGCCATTTTGATTTCACTACTTTACTATGCAGAGGGTTGTTTTTTCCCCCTTTTAGTTTTTTTTAATACAGAGAAAAAAAATACAAACATCTGAGATACAAGTATATACCATTCAAAATAGTCATGATATAAACACATGAAACTCAACTAATGAGTAAAAATAACAACACTGTGCACCCACCACCCAGGAGACCAATATTACCTCCATTTCATTTAATATAATATAACAATTAACAGTATATACTATATGTACCCACGTCCCCTCCAGAAATTCATATATTCTTGAATAGGCTTACACCCTTTACCTTCTAGCAATACTGCTTTCACAAAGCCTTCCCATATGTCATTATATTTATTTACTTTTATTATCCCTTTTAAAATTTTTATTTCTGTTGTCAATTTATCTTTAACTACCATATTCCATATTTCATTATACCATTCATTCCTTTCCTATGCAGAGGGTTGTGAAACATAAAGAAAAGGTTTGACAACTTTATAGGTGGTGATATAATGAATATTAGGCAGATGAATTTGTGATGGTTAACATTGGCATTTACTGTGCACTTCTCTACTGGTTGATTTCCCCTATAGATGATTTAATTATTTAAGTAGAATTTTATTCCCACAATTTTTGTTTATCAAAATGTATTGTGATTCATTTTTATTTCTCTTACAATGAGAAAATTACAATTTCTCTGATGAATGGACTTTTTCCATCACAAAAATCATTTTTCAGGTAGTCTCCCATTCAGACACTGAGCAGAACAACACTGCCTTGGCTTCAGCAAGATAGAATAATCACCAGGATTCATCATTTTAGGGAGCAATCTTGTGCATGTTTAGACAAAAAAGTTGTGGAGCATGCTGGGAGTTGCAGGCCTTTTTCTCGCTAAATGTGCCTGTGATTGACTCATTTGTTCAATCAATACATTTGTATAGGCTGCTAGAGGACCTTTGCAGTTTAGCCATGAGCACAGCCACAAGGAGCAACTTGTAGCCTTTGCATTACATGTCGAGGTTGGTGGAGCTGGGAGGACCCAGCATTAGTCAGCGCTGTGGTGCCGCCCATGTAGCTCTTATTTATGCATGACTGAATCTTGAGGAAATGGTTGTCTTGGTACTAGCAGTAAAGAAAAATCTAGGTTTATATTTGGAAGTCAATAAGGGTTGAATGCAGCACTTGCACCCATACTATTTTTCTTTTTTTAGAACGAAGCGAAGGTGAAATCTTACTATTGGTCACTGGTTAAATATTTGAAGGACTTCAGTGCAAAAGGATGCAGTTTACTTTCTGGATGTTCAAGTCTGAAGGTTTTGATGACAAAGGTACTAAGTACTTTTCTAAATTCTTCAAATAGCACTCGGATTATTTTCATCCTTATGTAATACTTTTAACATTCTCAAAATGTATAGGAAGATGATAGAGACTTAAAATAAACAGATCGCTGCTCCCATGCAATAGGCTAATTAAGAGAGCAATCCTAAATCCATGGCTGAGTGTCACAGAGATCATAGGATGGCTTGTAAAACTGTTCCAAGACTTTGGAGGGGAAATTGGAGATCTGACCCCAATCCCTGCCTCTTGTTGCCAGTACAGCTTTCTGAGGTTAGAAAAGTGGGCTCAGAGGAGGACAGAAGGGGGTGTTTCAATGGGTAGTGAGGGGAAGAGATCCTAGAGGCCAGGATACTAGTTATCCTTTCCTCTCAGTGAGATGGGCTGAAAAACCTGTCTAGCATAAATCACCCAAGACACAGAATGGGACAGTGAAGATCACTTCTGCTGCTCTTCCACCCTGCCAGCCTCTGTGGTCTGGGGCTTCCAAGCAGTGAGGGTTCAATCCTGTCTACATTTAAATAGAAAGGTGCTGCATGTCTCATGACTGGGGGATGCTGAACTGGTGTGTGTGTGTGTGTGTTGGGGGAGGAGTCGGTTGGTTTTTTTTTTTTTGGTCTAATGCAAAAGATTATCCCCGATGCAATGTTCATAAGATTTTCATTCTCATGGAAAAGGGATGTAGGAAGTGTTAGGTGGAAGAAGGAGCTGAATTTTTAAAAGTGTGATAGAAGAAATGACAGCTTCATTTGTACTTTTCACTGCCTGCTTTTTAAAAATGAGATAGGAAGGGGAGCCCAAATGAACGGAAACAAATGCTGCAGGTATAAATGCCTTTATGAATGAACAGAACTGTATGCAGTTCTATATAATTGCAGAATTAAACTAAAACCACAGAGATGTTTTCTTTGAAGGCCTCCCACTTCTTCACACAAGCTATGCTAGCTGCAGAGTGTAGTTCATGTAAAAAATCTGAATTTTAAGAATCATTTTTCCATTATATTGTAAAGAGAAAAACTTACTAAACATTCTATATTTGAACTGTCAGGTTCAGACAGAACTGCAGTTACAGAAGGAAATAGAAAACCTCCGGTACATCGTCTGTGTTGTCACCTGTTCACTGGTCTTGGAATTCCACAGTCAGGTACTTGAAGCCAAACTATTCCCACACTATGGATGAGAAAATACATTATAGTGCAATCTATGTTCACTTGGGTGTACTTCCTAGTAACTAGGCTTGAAGTTAATATTCTTGTATGTGTTTGTTTTTTCCTATGCTCTCCTTCCTCCTGTTACCAGCATTTTCACAATGATTGCCAGTCAGTTACCTCTGCATTTCCAGAGGTCCTATGCTGGTACCAGTAGCAACCCGGAAGTTTCCTAGAAACCATCTTTGCAGTTGGATTGATCCACATGGTATCTAGCGCAGTAGTCAGAGCAGACTATTCAGACAAGCATTCTTCAATATTTCTGAAGTGATGAGTCCTGCTCTGTGGACACAAATGCCTGGTCTCTGAGTTACCTTCTTAAGAACTGCCAGTTCAGTCCAGGGGTTAAGGCCATATGGTTCATGTGCATCCAGAGCTTTAAGTCAGGCGGGGTGTCCAAAAGAATGTCCAGTAAACAGGCCAGGGATCCAGATACCAGTCAGCTTAGAACATAGATAAAAGCACTTGTTGTTTGCAACCCAAGCAACTTTATCTGAACTAATTTATAGCCAGCTGCAACTCAGCAGAATTGACTAATTAAGTCAGAGTGCTGTTTCATGGAAACCCCGCCCCTTGTTCCCTGAGACTCAGAAAGCTCTAGCTCTTCCTCTGAGGAGGATTCGTCACAGTGGGAATAGGGGGTCATGACAGCATGTCTTGGAATAGAACCTTTCTGTTTTCTTTGATTTTGGGCCAACTGGACTGAGGTGCTTCCTTTTTCTCTGACAAAATAATTGCTATTGGAAAAGTCAGTTTCTAATGATGAGGTTCTCACATTTTAACTACAAGTTTGCTCAGTGATATTGATCAGGCATCTTCCAAATGCTTCCATCTAGAACTGGGACAGAAACCTATTAAAATAAAGGAGACGTTCTTGAGGGCTCTTGATTTTGTAACTTGAATTTTTGCTATTCTCAAGTTAAAAGATGAAAAATGGGAAGCCAAGTAAAGTCTTCTTCCCAAATGTGATTTGTAGGCCATTCCATAACATTTTCTTTTTTTGCTTATCAAAGGGAAATGTGGAAACAGCATTAACACTGCAAGAAGCTGGAGACCTCATTCGGATGTATTGCCTCAGTGTGGTTTTTCTTCAGCATGTGCCCCTTTCACAGCGAGCTCAGATTAGAGACATCGATGTCTGCTGGAAGAAGGAAGTACTAAAGTTTATAGAGCAGGTGGATGTTGCCATGGATATTTCCAATATAACATTATATCAGTGTTGGCTTTATTATTAAATGATTTCAATCCAGGATAAGCTGAAGGAGGGTGCTGATTTTGTGACCCCCAGTGTGCCTTATTTTGGGTGAGTATTCACCCATTCAAAAAGTGTGTGCAGAAAGGGTGAAGAAAGGACACCATACAGCCAGTCAGACTTCGATACATGTTCGCATCACCGAGGGCAAATGAAACCCTCATTTTGCCTTCACTCTAAATGGACTGGGGAAGAAGGAATCTGGGCTGTTGCTAAGGCAACTGTATAATGCCGCCCCGTTCCTTCCTCCATTTAGAAGAACTGTATTATGAATGTACAGTTGTATCGCTGGCTGCCACACTCATTGTCACATTGGCAGATCTGACTGGCTTCATAATACCTTAATTTCCTCAAGCAAATTCCTGGCTGCCTCCAAAGATTTATGCTTTCTTGTTTTTAAGAGAGGAGGGAAATTTAAACAACTTGCTGGGTAAAAGAAGTTTTCAAACCAGACAAGCTAGGATAAAGGAATGAATGGATTCATTTTAATGGGTGTTTTATATACAACTATGTTTGCATTTAGCTAGGCAAGTGCAAAAACTACCTTGAGAACAATAGACTTGGCTCCCCAGATTCCACTCCACTTTGCAGCAGCCTTGAATCACAAGTTTTTGGCAAGTGTACCCAGCATTCATTTGGTGTTAGCCGGGAATTGAACTCCATGCTCTGCAAAAGCAGCACCATTCTTTCTTTCCCACCACTGCTGGGAATTGCAATCTCTCTTCCCCGTGTGCTGCCACTGCTGCCATTATCACCAGCATGCCTGCTAATGGCTTCCCTCTTGCACATCCTGCAGCCATTCCTGATGGCAAAGGGTGCTGGTTGCAAAATGTAGATCCACAAATGTTTATTGACTTCCTCTTGGCTCACTCAAGAGGAAGTCTGTGGGTGCTAGAGGGTCAGATTCCAGAAGGATTCATCCCAACCCTAATTTTAGTATAACTAAGCAGTTACCCTATTTCTTGGATACACATCTTAATGCAATGGCAAGATTTGAGAGTCTCAAAGAAGATGAGAACAACACAGTCAGAAGAGGGACTCTTTCACTAGTTTGGTCTCTTAGTGAAGCCACTCAAGGTGCAATAGTCAAAGCTGAGATGCTAAGGTGTTTCTGCCCTCTTCAGGAGTCTGAATGAGCCACATCAGCAGAAGAGAATGGATAGCTTTAATGGTATAGTGCATTTAATGGTATGAAGGATAGCACATTTTGGAGAGTATACATTGATAGGGCCACCATAAGTCAGAAATGTGTTTACAGCACATTAACAGCAACAAATAGCTACCGCATTCTAAAATCCATCTTAATCAGTGTTAGAGTCAAAGCCTTTCTGTCAGTTGAAAATTCATACATTTAATATTTGGAATGGTATTGTCAGTAGTTATTCATTTGCTTCCAACTTGCTGTTGATGTTCAGTTTTACATATAAAGTTGATGACTGTAAAGAGAGTTATCAATACACAACTCTACGCACAGATATAAAATAGCACAACTCTATGCTAAGCACCATGCTCTGGGATATTAACTAGTTTTTCCCACCTTGATTTTCCCCTCAACTGACAAGACTGGAACTGCTACAATATCTGTGGCATCGAGACAACCATTGAAATGTGGGCAGGGAGAAGGTGTTTTATTCTTTCCATTTTGTGTATTGACACACTGCACCATATGAATGTCATATATATTCTACTAAGATCTTCTTCTTTTTAGCATAAACTCTGTGAATGTCATGTCCTGGAACATCTAGTCACTCAGACTTCATGGAATGTGGATCTTTCCGCCTTGCCTGATTTAAGTGATGATCTCTTGTGGAGGAACATCGCATTTTATTTTGAAGCAGAAAAAAGCTCTGGTACATCATATTAAGTCATTTACAATTATTTATATCCACTTGCCTGGAAGTAACCCATATTCAATGCATGGACTTCTGAGTAAACAAGTATAGGGTTGCACTCTAGACCAAAGGTTTTCCTAGTATAAAGCATTCCTTTTCTGAAGGTGCAAAATATTGATAAAAATGGGCAAAGTGTACAGACCGTCCTTATCTAAGAGGCTTCCTTTTTATGTATCCCACTGAATACAATGTCAATGGCAATTGACAGCATTGTAGGCCAATATACAAGATCCTTGTTCTTTGTGGTCTCTGTGGCTCACACATAGGGGTTTTGTACCTGCACATAAATATCCCTTGATGGTTTGGAAATTCATTGTGGGTGAGTTCAGTGGTCTTCTCACTGGGAGAGAATAGCAACCAGTTCAAGGTACTTGCTGTTGCCAAAGCCCTGAGGGCACTTGAACCCTGCATCAGGGAATAGTCTGTCCACATTGCCACAGAAAATACCTCTGTTGTCTTCTGCATAAACCAAGAGGGAGAGATGAGATCCCTTCTCCAACTTGCTCTGAATTTCTGGATTGTTGCTTGTGTATTCACACTTTTGGTATCTCTGTATACCTTGCAGACATGTCCAGCAGTCTTGCTGACTCACTCAGCAGGTCAGAAACCTCCCCTCAAGAGTGAGAACTCTCCACAGCAGTTACACAGAAACTTTTTGACATCAGATGCAGGCCAGATGCTAACATCTTTGCTATCGTTCTTAATATAAAATGCCATTTATTTTGCAGCCATGCTGGCCACAACCCAGAATGTCTGGGAGGCACTTTCTGACCACCTTCCTCTCTCAGTCTACCTGCCAAAAGGAGGTCAAAATTTATTCTCTGGGAGTCAGAAGGGCACTTCTTCTTTTACATCCATAGGGCATTTTTCCTTTTGGAAATCTACTTGACTTTTCCTTCTCAGGCCAACACAAGAGTGGCTGTTGTCTCCACAATGCTTTACAAAATGGGTCATTCAACCCATCAACTTTTAGCCAATTGACTGGCATGCCTTCCAATCCTCCTGCAAGCAAGTGGTCACTTTATCAGAGCCACAGTATCCTCTGCAGCTTTTTTCAGAGGAACCTCACTTTTCCAGTTGTACAGCGCAGTTATTTTAGTACAATCACTGCACTGTTGCTTTAGTTCAATCATTTTAGTTCAATTACTTATGTTGATCAAACTCTACACCTGGATGTCAGAACTCATCTCAGAATGGCTTTTGGTAGGGTGACTTTTTCTTCATTTGTGACCTGGTATCTCTCTTCTCCAGGAAATCTGCTTTTCAGTCGCTTACTGATAGGAGTAACAGAAACCACAAAGAAAAAGGACTCCTGGTTTATCTGTGGTTTTTCATGTGGTCATCTGTGAACTCACAGAACCCCCTGTCCTCCCTGCTTTGATGCCTGCCCTTCTGTATTCCTTTGCTGAAGAAGACAAAGGCCAGGGAGGAAGCTGTACCTGGAGTGTGTGCAGAGGAGGTGGATGGGGCTACTGTTTAAAACTATGTTCTAGAATATTCCAAATGACTGTTCTGCACAGTTGTTGTATCCAGTGCTTTTTTTGTCATAGAACGCACCAGAACAGAGTTCTGGCACCATTTTTCGATGGATTTCCCAAGTTTTATTTTTATTTATTTATTTATTAAAACATTTTTATGCCGCCCCATTCGCCGAAGTTTTAAAAGTAACTTTTGAAAATTTGATGTTTGGTCCATGTGGATTTGAATCACCCTGTCGAGCGTAGCAGGTCGGCGGCAAAATCATTAAAACGGTGCATGCGGGCTGCTTGTGTGTCGAGTCCGATGCATGTATACTTCGTCCGCACTGGTTGTGATGGTGCTGCTCGGCTTGTGCTTGGTCGTGTGGTTGCATGCGGAGTGCTTACTTTGGGTGGCGACCATTGTTTCGTTACACAACTGACGTGTGTGGGTGTGTGTACAGTGATTGACTATGTGCAAAAGGTAAATAATTTATTTTAAAAAAATGTGAATTGAAAATCTTTTTTTAATTTTTATTGTAAAAGTGTGACCCCAAATTTAAAAATTTAAAAAAATTACTAATTACTTCTCAACCACTGGTCCTGCTAATAAAAAGGCCAGAATATTAACAGATACAATGACAGAACACATAGATACTAACAGCAGGGAAAGGAGTCGAGAAGCTTTGTCGGATGAGAATTGGACAAAACTTTGGAATTTACTATGAACATTTGCCTTAAATACAATAAATTAAATTCATGTTAAGAATTGACTATATAATTTTTTAAATAAAAGATTAACAAGATGTGAGTTCCAGCACCTTTTTTCTTACCAAAAAAAGCACTGGTTGTATCTATATGTGCAACTCAAGATGACCACTCAAAGAGCCACAGTTACAGGTAAATAATCTGTCCTCTTTCATAAAACTTGTTCTTTAGAGAGTGAAGAGTATAGAAAGTTTATATTGGGGCAGATTGGACATCATGATAAAGGGAGTTCAAATACTTCCTTCTCTTTCCAGTTTGGATGCATGGGAGGAGATGGGAAGTTTCATTTCTATTTTTGATGAACTGCATTTTAGTGCTAAGTGTTAACTCTATAAACTCTGGTTAATCTTAACTATATATTTTTAGGGATTGATTTGGATATAGGAGCAATAATGAAAAGAGATTATGAGCTTCTGTGGTCACTTATCACAGCTCTGTCTGAAACATGTAATATTGGAACGTCATTTCCTCTACGAACAGCATCCAATTCTTTTCTTGAAAAAAAATGTTCACCTACCACAGGTAACAACATCCAAGGCTATGTTAGCATATAAATTCTGTTTAATAGTATTTTATGTAGAACAGCTTACTGGTAAGACATAATAGAATTTCATGTAATCAAAATATGTTTTATAAAATACAGTATTGTATACAATACAATACTATACAAGCATGACAAGTTCTAAAAATCTCCCACTGTCTTAAAGACAAATCCTGCCAACATTTTCTTATACCTTGTAAATATGTTGAAATTTTATTTATACTGCTTTTATTTCTAAACAATCCTTCTTTTTTTCTCTGGTAAAGCCAATGCATCAAAGATGACATTTCTTAATCCTGGACTTATACCAATCAAGAATGCTGTAGTGGATGAATTTGCTGGGGATATTTTAACTGGTCTGCCATTTTTAAAAAGGTATGTAACTTTAAAAAAAGTATTGAGTTTTAAGAATGTTTATATGGTCATATTATTGTTCAAAATAGCTTCATGATGTCAAAACAAGGCTTCCCAGTGCTAGCCAAAGTAGAAGGTGGGAGCAGCCATTGGGAAAAAGATTTCATATAGCTTTTAGCTGGAGAGAATTAACTGCACTGATGCTTAGGTTGGAAGAATTTGGGGAAGTGTTGTCATAGTTGGCTCCCCAGGATCCCACAGCTTTTAGGCCACTCTCAGCGGGTCCCCAAATCGGCCACAGCAGAAGATAGTTCCAGAGGCCTCAAGGAGGTTTCCTCTCTACTGGCAGAGGGGGAGATCTGCAGCAATGAACACCATCTCACCCAGTGTTTCAAGAAGCATAGGACGGGCACCATAGGGATGCTTTGACACTTCAAGTTTAAACACAACAGGTCTGAGTGTGCCCTGCCAAGATGACTATATTTTGTGGGCTTATTGTGATGAAATGACATTTTGCAAGACTGAGCCTGACATTGCAGTCTTCTCCTGTGGTTTTTCCAGTGAAGACTTAGCCTCATGTTTGTTGGGCTTAACAGTGCCAACTAGTGCAAATTCTTGGCCCAGGGAGAGGTGAGATGACACTCTGGTGGGATGTTTTCATATCTTGCTCCAACTGATCATATGGGTATGATTTAAGATTTGATATCTGATAACATTTGTAATTGACCTTAGTATATGATTACTGATTTGTGTACTCTGGCCAGGTTGGTGTATGGAAGGAGGTTTTTTTAAAAAAAGCAAATACATCATTTCAAATCATTTAAATCATGTAATTGTCTGTATCATTTTTATTTCAGCAATGATTCTGCAATTACTTCACTTAAGAAACAGAAAGAGTTTGATGAACTTCTGCACTGGCATTCAGGAAGACCCCTTAGTGATGATTATGACAGAACAAAAGAGTTCTATAAGGGTGGTAAGTAAAAATAATAATAAAAAAGAGTTGCTTTAATCAAGTGCCCTGTAGGCTTCAGTACACACATAGTATTAAGTCAACACATGGGTTGCTATTAAGGGACTAGATCTGTAATAAATAGAAATTCAGAAGCTGAAATATAGTCTATTAAATGAATCAATATGTAATGTGCAAAGGAAGAAAAATTTGATGGGCTTAAACAGAATTGGGAAGGGCCCTTTCAGAATCCATCCACCCAGAATCCATTGACTTCCTCACATGGTTGGCCTTGTTCTGCAAAGTGATCAGAGCCAAGAGGAAATCTGTGAGTGCTCACGGACCCCAGTTGTGTAACTGGCAACCTTCCCCTGCAGGAGTGGCTACAGAATGCAGAAAGGGGCAGGCATGCCAGCCACCATTCCCAGGCACCAACCTTCTTCCCCGCTTGCTGCTGCCAGTGGCGGCACCAGCAACCAGGGAAGAATGGCACTGCCTGTGGAGCATGTGGGGCATAATTCATGGTGAGTGGCCTACAAATGCAGGGCACCCTTTCCAGGCACTCAGAGCCTGGGCTGCTGCAAAGCAAAACAGAGTCCTGGAAGCTGAAATCGGGGAATCCAATTGATTTTCCACACAAAATTGATTCCTTGCTCATCTCTAGACACTTTCCAGCAATGTATGTTCTAATATTAGAGAGTCAGCTTTCAGTTAAGTTGATAAGTCCATGCTGAACATTGTTTTAAAGTACCAGTAAAATAGTCATTTAAATAATTGTCCTTTCTAAGCAGGGCCAAGGGACAAACAGATTCCCCTCCCTCAGAGGGAATGCTGCTAAGTTCCCATCTAACTAAGGGCCAAAAGGGAATAAAAAGGGTCTCTGAAGATGAAGGGACTGCCTTGAATAACTCTTGCCACAATGACCCAATGTCACCATTGTGGATATTCTGGTATGGCGGACTCCAGGCTCGCTCAATATCAGCCAAGTTCCTGATAACTAAACCAGGTCTCATAAAAAATGGGAAGTTGTGCACCAAGTCTAGACCGCTCTAGGGACAAAGAGATACTTGCTTTGTGCTGCCAAGGTGGACATAAATGACTTTGTACTTCCTGCATGGGAGTGAGGAATTGGGGAAAATGTGTACAGCTGACCTGGGTGGCCACCAGTCAGGAGAAAATGACATGCAGACTGCAAGTAGCAGGGAGACCATGACTTGGATCCACCAAGAACATTTCACTGAACTAGCTCTTGATTTGGACAGTGACATGCAATTTTAAGAAGGTGAAATATAAAAAGGGAAGTGATGAAATTGCAGCTATATTTATATGACCCCATTAATAGGTTTTGAAGGAGCAAGGAAAGATCCACAACTGTTTATCCTACAACAGAAACAAAAGTTCCTAAGATTTCAACGATTTTATGGGCAATCATTAGAAGGTAACTTGTCAAGAACAATTGTTACTCAGTCAGAACGACCAAAGAAGGCTTATGCAAATGCCAAGAAAAGCAAGAAAATCCAAGTAAGAGCCATGAATAATCTCAGCTGAACATCTGATGTTAATACTACTGCATTGTCTTTGGGTTTTGGTTGGTTAAATTAGGAAATTTAATTATATTATTTGCTTCCTTAATACACAGGTACTAGTCTAGACTTCTCTCTTGACTCAGTATCATTGTGACCACAATTCTCTCAGTACTCTGCTCTTTTCTTCTTACCCTTTTTATCAGGCAGACAGTCCTGAGGCTTAATGGCATGGGGTTGATGAGGCATGGTGAGACCATTTTCTTATGATAAGCTGAATCTGTATTGTGCCTTCTCTAAATTAACATAAAAAATCTGGCCTCTCATTCCAGACCTCTGAGCTTTTCCCAGGCCATTTCCTGTCACTTGCATCACTCTGGCTTCTGAGTGTTACTTATTTCATCCTGCTCAATCCACCAGCTATATACCTAAGGAAGGAATCTTGCACATCTATTAGCCTTGGACTTTGTCTCCTAGAGGCCAATTCTTTGTTGACCTTTGCTAAACAATAGGTGCATGCCTGAAAATAATGGCATTGGCATCCTACCAGTCTTTATTTCAAAGAGCTGAAATAAAGTGAGAACTGTTGGACTGACTTTCTCTCACTCCATTCAATCATAGAAGACAAAAGCAGAAATTATTATTGAAGAGAACCAAAAGAGAAAGAGAACTGAAGAAGAGAAAAAAGAAGAACACAGATGGGGCACTCTTTCAGTGATGATTGAAGCAAGCATCAAAGAGGATATGGCATCTGGTATTCAGCATCTAGAAGAATTTCTGAAAAATTGTCAGAGTGCATCTGTGAAATGTAGTGCAGAAATGGCAGCACTAACCCTTTGCTTTGGTCTGTGGACAGAACACTGCAAGACAGAGGGTATGTGAATACATGAAGTTGCTATTGCAAATTTATGGAGTGTGGAATTCATGAGTTTACTCATCAATGGGAAAGGAAGAGACATGATAGCAATTGCTTTCCTAATATACATTATAGGCTGATGTGAGTTATATATGTAGCCCTCATTCTTCACTTCTAAGCCCATCATCAAATTGCCATTCCACCAATATGCTTGTCTTTCATTATGGCTTGACATTTTAAAAATGTGTAGTTTCTGTGTTTTTAAAAACCAGATCTGCCCTGTAGGATCTACCATATTCATTGGCTAATGAATCCACAGAAATCAGGTGTGGGTGTTGGTGGGAAACAGAGCTTAAATTCAAACAGAACTGATAAACAATTTGTTTTAGGGTCAGCATTTAGGTTTAGAACATTTGAAGACAACAACAGAAACAACAAAGGGTAATGTAGGTACAAGTGCAGGCAACTCCAAGATTTCAGAGGACTACAAGGCCCAAGGGTGAGTGTTTCATCAGTGTACCGTGAACACTGGTGCCTGTCTTGATTCCCCGATCATCCATATTAATATTTTTTTAAATTATCAAAATCCCTCCAGATCCTGGGAAGCTGACATGCTGCAAAAAAAGTGCAAGGCACTTGAACCAATCATATTTCCAAGTATGCCTCTAGACCATGTGTGGAAAAATACTAATCTTTGGTAGCTGGTTTGTTTTGAAACATCCCCAGTTGCCTATGAAATTTTTTAAAAATTCCAACTATGCCCATTGTTGTTGTTAGTTGTGAAGTCGTGTCCGACCCATTGTGACCCCATGAACAACACTTCTCCAGGCCTTCCTGTCCTCCACCATCCCCCGGAGTCCACCCAAGCTCACACCAACTGCTTCAGTGACTCCATCTAGCCACCTCATTCTCTGCCGTCCCCTTCTTCTTTTGCCATCTATTGTTCCCAACATTAGGCTCTTCTCCAGGGAGTCCTTCCTTCTCATTAGGTGGCCAAAGTATTTGAGTTTCATCTTCAGCATCTGGCCTTCTAAGGAGCAGTCAGGGTTGATCTCCTGACTGGTTTGATCACCTTGCGGTCCAAGGGACTCGCAGGAGTCTTCTCCAGCACCACAATTCAAAGGCCTCAATCCTTTGGCACTTAGCCTTCCTTATGGTCCAGCTTTCACAGCCATACATTGCAACTGGGAAAACCATAACCTTGACTGTATGCACTTTTGTTGGCAGGGTGATGTCTCTGCTTTTTAGTATGCTGTCTAGATTTGCCATAGCTTTCCTCCCCAGGAGCAAGCGTCTTTTAATTTCTTGGCTGCAGTCCTCATCTGCTGTGATCTTGGAGCCCAGGAAAATAAAATCTGTCACTACCTCCATTTCTTCCCCATCTATTTGCCAGAAAGTGAGAGGACCAGATGCCATGATCTTAGTTTTCTTAATGTTGAGTTTCAAGCCAACTTTTGCGGACTCCTCCTTCACCCACATCAAGAGGCTCTTTAGTTCCTCCTCACTTTCTTCCATGAGAGTGGTACAATCTGCATATCTGAGGTTGTTGATATTTCTCCCAGCAATCTTAATTCCAACTGGTGATTTATCTAGCCCTGCCTTTCTCATGATGTGCTCTGCATATAAGTTAAATAGGCAGGGCAACAGTATACAGTCTTGCCGAACTCCTTTCTCAATTTTGAACCAATCAGTGGTTCCGTGTCCAGTTCTCACTGCTGCTTCTTGACTTGCATATAGGTTTCTCAAGAGACAAATAAGATGGTCTGGTACTCCCATCTCTTTATAAAAACTTGCCACAATTTGTTGTGATCCACACAATCAAAGGCTTTAGCATAGTCAGTGAAGCAGAAGTAGAAATATTTCTGGAACTCCCTAGCTTTCTCCATGATCCAGCATATATTGTCAATTTGATCTCTAGTTCCTCTCCCTCTTCGAAATCCTGCCTGTACTTCTGGTGGTTCTCGGTCCACATACTGCTGGATCCTAGCTTGCAGGATTTTGAGCATAACTTTGCTAGCATGTGAAATGAGTGCAATGGTGCGGTAGTTTGAACATTCTTTGGCATTGCCCTTCTTTGGGATCAGAATGTAAACTGACCTTTTCCAATCCTGTGGCCACTCTTGAATTTTCCAAATTTGCTGGCATATTGAGTGTAGCACTTTTACTGCATCGTCTTTTAAGATTTTAAACAGCTCAGCTGGAATACTGTCACCTCCACTAGCTTTGTTGTTGCTCAGACTTCCTAAGGCCCATTTGACTTCACATTCCAGGATGTCTGGCTCGAGTTATCAGGGACATTAAGCTCTTTCTTGTATAGTTCTTCTGTGTAATCTTGCCACCTCTTCTTAATTTCTTCTGTCTCTGTTAGGTCCCTACCATTTTGTTCCTTTATCATGCCCATCTTTGCATGAAAGGTTCCCTTCATATCTCCAATTTTCTTGAAGAGATCTCTGGTCCTTCCTATTCTATTGTTTTCTTCTATTTCTTTGCACTGTTCATTTAAGAAGGCATTCTTATTTCTTCTAGCTATTCTCTGGAATTGTGCATTCAATTGGGTGTATGTTTCTCTTTCTCCCTTGCCTTTCGCTTCCCTTCTTTCCTCAGCTATTTGTAAAGCTTCCTCAAACAGCCATTTTTCTTTCTTGCATTTCTTTTTCTTTGGGATGGTTTTTAGTTGCTACCTCTTGTACAATGTTGCAAACCTCTGTCCAAAGTTCTTCAGGCACTCTGTCTATCAGATTTAATTCCATAAATCTATTTGTCACCTGTACTGTATATTCATCAGGGATATGATTTAGGTCATAACTGAGTGGACTAGTGCTTATCCCTACTTTCTTCAATTTAAGCCTAAATTTTGCAATGAGAAGCTCATGATCTGAGCCACAGTCAGCTCCAGGTCTAGTTTTTACTGACTGTATAGAGCTTCTCCATCTTTGACTGCAGAGCACATAGTCAATCTGATTTCTGTGTTGACCGTCTGGTGATGTCCATGTGTAGAGTTGTCTCTTGGGTTGTTGGAAAAGAGTGTTTGCTATGACCATTGTATTCTCTTGAGAAAATTCTACCAGCCTGTGCCCTGCTTCATTTTGTACTCGCCTTTTATTCCGGTTATCTTTTGGCTTCCTACTTTAGCATTCCAATCCCCCATGATGATGCGGACATCATTTTTTCGTGTTAATTCTAGAAGGTGTTGGTAGGCCTTCGTAGAACTGGTCAACTTCAGCCTCTTCAGCACCAGTGGTTGGGGCATAGACTTGGACTATTGTGATGTTGAATGGTTTGCCTTGGATTCGAACTGAGATCATTCTGTCATTTTGGAGATTGTATCCCAGTACTGCTTTTCCTACTCTTTTATTGACTATGAAGGCTACTCCATTTCTTCTGAGGGATTCTTGCACGCAGTAGTATAGCTGATGGTCATCTGAATTAAATTCACCCATTCCTGTCCATTTTAGTTCACTGATTCCTAAGAGGTCGATGTTCAGTCTTGTCATCTCTTGTTTGACCACGTCCAGCTTGCCTTGATTCATGGATCTTACATTCCAGGTTCCTATGTAGCATAGATCTTTGCAGCATAGGACTTTCCTTTCAGCACCAGATACATCTGCAACTGAGTGTCCTTTCGGCTTTGACCCAGTCTCTTCATTCTTTCTGGCGCTACTAGTACTAGCCCTCTGCTCTTCCCCAGTAGCATATTGGACACCTTCCGACCTGAGGAGCTCATCTTCCGGCGTCATATCTTTTTGCCTTTTGGTATTGTCCATGGGGTTTTCATGGCATGGAGTGGGTTGCCAGTTCCTTCTCCAGTGGATCTTCTCTGCTATGATCTGTCCATCTTGGGTGGCCCTGCACAGCATAGCTCATAGCTTCATTGAGCTACGCAAGCCCCTTTGCCAATACAAGGCAGTGATCCATGAAGGAGTCCAACTATGCCCACTAATCTCAAAAGGCTGTGGTCTCCTGTCCTAATGCATGTGACTTCCAGTGGATTCCAAAATAGAACTAATTACTTCCAGTGATGGCCAATTTAAAGCCACCAGCTTGACTATCAAACACACATTGATATTCTTTTATCTTTAAAACTGGCTGCTTGTTGATGCACTTTGTCTAGAGTTGGGCTGGCTTGCAGCAGGACTGTGTGCTTGAGAAGTTTCATGCCATTTCCGGTTGGGCATTATAGGTTATTTATCCTGAGAAAATCCTTACATTCTGTATTATTGATAAATTGAATGGGAAGTTTCTTTGAAATTGCCAATTATTTGTAGATCATCATGACTGCTTTTCTGTGTGCTTCCCACCTCCAGGCAAAACTGACAAGAACTTAAATATAGCAGTTGAAGTCATGAGACGAATCCATTCTTTAATTGTAAAATATGGACATAAGGATCTACTGAAGGAGACTGATTTCCAGCAGATTGACAAATACCTCTGTAGCCTTGGATTTGACAACCTGTCTACTTCTTTACAATATAACAAGGTAGCTGTGTAATTATACATAATGAGGCTGTTAATTAGATGCTAATCTATTGTATCTACCTACTTTCAATTTTAACTCAGTATGGATATCCAAACACTACAGTGCTTCCTTCTTTTTCACTACTTATCCTCTAGGTGGCCCTGTGGTGTAACAGAATATTGAGAATACACAAGTGAAAAGTATTTTCTTTTTCACTCTGTCACATTTTTCCTGCTTCTTCCCCCTCCTCCCCCCAAAAAATTAAAACCTTGTTGAAAATGTTCTTTAGATATAGAAGCAAAACAGGAGGGTTGCGATATTTTCTAAAGAAGGCAGTAACAACCATAAGTTTGAAATGGTCAAGAGCATGATAAATGCCCTGTGTAAAAAAGTCTGAGAGATGTAGAATAAAGCTTTATCTGCAACAGAGCAAATATATGTTTCTGTCACTGCTGTTGAGAAACTTTCTTAAAAATGAGCTGCCTGTTAACAGAATTATGACTGTATGCTAAGTAATTTGATATACTATTCCTACTTATGGACTGTGAAACCCTGGCTCTTCACACACAATTTAGCTGAAATCTCTAAATGCCTGTAGGTTTCAGAAGATGGGAGGAAAGACCTTAAAAGCAAGCATTCAAAATATGCTGTCGGCATGGGGTCTTCCCGGTTTCAGCTGAAGTGTATGGGCCACTATCTCATACGGGAAGAGAGAGAAGATCCTGATCCCAGAGTGAAACATTTTATTCCAGATACATGGCAGGTATTAATGAATTCTCCTATCTTTATAGCAAACTCACTTTAAGAAGTTAGTATAAGGGGGCTGTACATTTTTCTGGGGGGAGGATATGTGATCTATATCTTTTTGTCTGGTTTGATCCTGTTGAGACACAGAAATGTGTTCTGCATTATATGAATATTTGTCTGTGCAACTTTGAAATGTGCATTTTTTTCAAAAACTTATCCAGACAGACCTGTATCTAACAGTGAAAGGTGTGAATTATTCCTGAAAGTTAAATTATATGAATGAGATAACTCTTGATTTGCATTAATGTTGTTGTTTACCTACAGAGAGAACTTCTTGATATTGTGGATAATAAGGAGTCTGCAGTAATTGTTGCTGCTACGTCATCTGGCAAGACATATGCCTCTTACTATTGTATGGAGAAAATCTTGAGCGAGGACAATGAAGGGGTGGTTGTGTATGTTGCTCCTACAAAGGTAGGAAAGAACTTTTGCATTTGTAATCCTATACTCACTTTCCTGGAAGGAGGTCCCATTGACCTCAGTGGGGCTTATCTCTGAGTAGTCAGTAGTCACTGGCAAATGACTTTTTGTTTATTGCATGTCACATCCACAGCTTATGGTGAAAGACATCATTTAGTTTCTGGCTATATAAGGATCAAGCTGTGCAGTTCTTAACTAGAAAGAAGTGGAAAAAAACCCCCAGCTGCTCCAAACTTGGCTTATGCCTCTCTGTTTTTCCTGCATATGAAAATGAGTGCAGAGAAGAGAAAACTGGTTCCTGTTCTCTGATAGCTCACTGCTTTTATACTGTAAACTGATGACATGCAACCAAGTTTTAAATTAAACTGCATATTTTTTTTGAAGATGTCTTGATTTGTTTCTTTATTTCATAGACAATACACATGTATCAGAAGGAATATACTGGCCCAACTGCTTTTGAATTTCCTCATGCATAAATTCTGCCTTTGTTCACATTCCTGTTATAGTTTCTTTTGTTGTTTTTTCTAAATTATTAGGCACTCGTTAATCAAGTGAGTGCGGTCATTTACAATCGATTTAATAAAGTGCTGCCAGCTGGTCTTTCCCTATGTGGTGTTTTTACACGAGACTATCGGCATGATGCTTTGAACAGTCAGGTAAGTTGCATATCACCCACCAAATGCATTGGACTATACCTCCCAGTATCCTCAACCCGAATGGCCATCCTGTTACTAGCAACATTGTTTATTCAAGTAATATATTTCGGACACAGTCCCATGCATGGATAGACAGAAAAAGTTCCTACAACTTTATAATGGCTGGCTTGGGAATGCTAGGAGTTGTAGGTCTTCCAGCTCATGTATACTTCAAGTGGCAAGCCTATGTATACTTACCTGGGAGTATGTTTACTTTTGAATTGTGGTGCTGGAGGAGACTCCTGTGAGTCCCTTGGACTGCAAGGTGATCAAACTGGTCAGTCCTAGAGGAGATCAACCCTGACTGCTCCTTGGAAGGCCAGATAGAGAAAATGAAACTCAAATACTTTGGCCACCTAATGAGAAGGAAGATCTCCCTGGAGAAGAGCCTAATGCTGCGAACAATAGATGGCAAAAGAAGAAGGGGGCGGCAGAGAATGAGGCGGCTAGAGGGAGTCACTGAAGCAGTTGGTGTGAGCTTAAGTGGACTCCGGGGGATGGTGGAGGGCAGGAGGGCCTGGAAGAATGTTGTCCATGGGGTTGCAATGGGTCGGACACGATGTCGCGACTAACAACAACATCTTTACTTCTAATTAACCATGGACAGCTGACAATCAAAGTAATAGTTTTTTAAAGAGGGAAAAAATTTTCCTCTTTTACATTCAGCTGATAAATAAATAGTGGTGTTTTAGCATAGTCCTGTGTCCTGTAATGCTATACTCATAAAACAAGTTTTGTTTTATTCAGGACTTCTTCCTGGAAGTGTATATTATTTCAGCCATTGGGTATAGTCTTATTGGACAGATTGTCAGGATCACAGCCTGAGTGACCCTGCAAATTCCTGCAGAATCAGGAACACCTTTGCAGGTGCTTGCAGGGAACAGCTGAGGGGCAATTATGCAGTGCAGCTGGAGACCCTGGAGACCAACATAAAAGGCTTCCTTGCAATGGTGCTTTTTGTCACAGCAGTACAAGTTGTTTCTGTGACTTTTTGCCCTACCTTCCCAGGATATTCTTTTTTCTTCAGCTCTGCCTTCTGCAAAATATATTTTTGATATTTGACTTCTGGAAGTTTTCTTGGATTGTGTTGTAGCAATCATTTTTGCACCTGTGCCCTGGTGTCATCATACCACTCTTGGTTGCTTGCTGTCCACACCGTAGACCAGTGGTGTCGAACCTATGGTACGTGTGCCACAGTGGGCATGCAGAGCTCTCTCTGTCGGCATGCGAGCCAAGTCGCCCCAGCATTGCCCCAGCAGCCGAGCATCAGATAACAGTGCACATAGGGGCCATGTACATGCTCAAAAAGGAGTAGCAACGCCAGGCGATGACATCACAAGCCACGACTCATTAGCCGTGACACGTCCGAGCTTTTGCGTGGCTGGTCAAGTGCACTGCCAAGGGGGGAGAGAGAGAGAGAGAGATGCTTGGACTGGCTGTGAGGTGTTTTTTCTAAACTAAAACCTCAGTTTTCAGGTTTTATTGCCGTGTTGGCACTTTGTGATCAATAAGTGGGTTTTGGGTTGCAGTTTAGGCACTCGGTCACTAAAAGGTTCTCCATCACTGCCCTAGACCTTACACATATACAGCAGATGAGTTCCTTTGGGAAATGACAGAATCCCTGCTACATAGGGCTAATCTTGAGATATGCCTCCAGCAGGGAATATATGCTGAGATGTGCTTGCATGAATGTCTTGAAGTTATGGCCTGTGTTTTTATAAATATTTATTTCTTTGAAATAAATAAAGATGGCGTATACTCCTTGATCAGTGGAGACTTCTGTCAGTGGAAGGGGTGGGATGTGATGTTTGGAGATTTCCCATTTTTCCGTAGTCCCTGGTATCATCTCCAGTGCTCTTCTGGATAGTCCTGAAACAAAGTATCCACAGCAAAGTTTGAGGGTCATAGAGGGCTGCCAAAAGAAGTATCTCTCCCCTTAGTTCCGTTCACAAACCCTACTCTGGATCAAATAGCACTCCCAGAATGAAAGGATCATATTGAATACAGTCCTTTTGTTCTACAATGTTATTATCATCAAAGCTCTCATCACATATGTAGCTGCAGTCTGATGTTAAATTGTTAGTAGTATGGCATTTCTTAAAGTCCATCAATATTTTGTTTCAGATACTGGTAACAGTGCCTCAGTGTTTAGAAATCTTACTTCTGTCACCACATCGACAAGCATGGGCTGAAAAGATAAGATACGTTATATTTGATGAGGTATACATGCATTCTTTTGTACAATTAATTGTAATGAATATAATTAGATATTCATTATTTCCTAGCATGTCTGTAACTTTTTATATAAAAGCCAGTTCTGCCAAACTCTAGTATAAGTACAGGGATATATTCATGTTTCATAACATATCTGCAAGTTTGGTGACTGAAAAGTGGAATAGAAATGCTTTGATAAAACTAATAAATATTTTTTTTTTCAGGTTCATTGTCTTGGAGGTGAAATTGGAGCAGAAGTTTGGGAACATCTTCTAGTTATGATTCGGTGCCCCTTTTTGGCACTCTCTGCAACCATAAGTAACCCCAAACATCTTGTTGAGTAAGTTGGGTGTAAATTCTAAGTATGTCAATTGTAGTGTGAGCTCATGACCCCAGCACATTTTCAGAATGTTCTATTGTTTATGCTGGTCATATGGGAGTTAATGCAAATGATCATGTGCTAGTGGGAATGTTATTAGAGGCTGATAGTGCAAAGGGGGAAAGCACCAGCTTGCCACTGAATTTCGGCAGCAAATCTCAGCCTTTTTCCTTTGTAATAGTGTTAATGACACTGCATTCACATTAGCCTGTGTCATACACCCATCGGTGCTGGCACTAGATAGTATACAGCAATTTTATCTGCATTTGGATCTGTAGACAATCATGTGAAAGTTTGCAGGCCTGCACATGTAATTGCTAATACGAGGTTGCATCTCTTGATCACTTAATTTTGGACAATTAATAAACAAGTGTAATGCTAGTGTTTAGCATTTATATAGCACATTTCTTTACTATATTAGAGAAATCATATGAAATATACCAGCCTTATGGCAGACTGAAGCTGAGAAAGTTGTAACTTGTCCAAGATCACCTTGTAGAACCTGAGATTGAAACTGAGCAGTTTCATGATCATAGCTAATTATCCATGCTACATCAGTACCCATGGAACACGTTCACATTTGTAAGGACAAAATAACAATGAAGTGTTTTAAAATTTGGTAAGATATGGGAAATTTTATCTCAGAGTACTGTAAAAGCTGGTTTTCTACAAGCAAGTTCTGGTTACTGGGAAAATAAGTCATCTTCTATTTTGTTTAAAGATGGCTGCAGTCTGTAAAAAGATACTGGCAATATACGGAAAGTGTTTTAGCACAAGATCCTGGCCTTTCCACAACTGTTAAGAAAAGGGCAAAAGTAACGAGAAGTTCTCAATCATACAAGGTTAAATTAGGTATGTATGAAAAGAAAAGAAAAGAAAAGAAAAGAAAGTATGTATAACAACAAAGGAGTACATGTTTGTCTTTTTAAATCTTAAGAGAATTTCAAAAATGTTAAAATAGTTAATATTTAATGTTTAAATTGAATCAAGATGATTTTCAGGTTCCCACATTTGCCTTCCACTTTATGATCCAAATATTTTGTTTAGTCACAAAGTTGTGTCTGGCCCATCACAACCCCATGGACAACATTCCTCCAGCTCTCCTGTCCTCCACCATCCCCCAGAGTCCACCTAAGCCCACACCCACTGCCCCAGTGACTCCATCTAGCCACCTCATCTTCTGCTGTCCCCTTCTCCTTTTGCTGTTAATTGTTCCCAGCATCAGGGTCTTCTTCAGTGACCCTTTCATATTATTCTATTTTCAGTGCAATATGGAGAGAGATACAATGATTTAGAAAAATATGTGTGCTCCCCCAGTGGTGGCGACTTCATGATTCATCACTATCATCCTTGTGCTGCATTAACTTTGGACCATGTAAGTTTAATATTATATTCGGTAAAAAGAGACAGAGTGAAACAGAACTCACATAAATGGTCAATAATGATATAAAAACATAGGCACAGGAACCTGTAGAATTATGGGGTAATTCAGCTGTGTTCTGTCTTAATTGTTGAAACTGATTTAGCAGTATTGATCAGTGCTTTTTAATTATGAGATTAACAAAAGCAAACAAGACAAACATTTTTTTGAATTTGCTGTGACAGCTTGAGAGATATGGTTTCCCCTTGGATCTGTCTCTGTCGCCTCGAGAAACAGTCATGTTGTATGATGCTATGGTAAATGCTTGGACAAATTGGCCAAGGGCAAATGTAAGTATATGCTATTTATATATGGCTGTAGATATTCAGAATTTAACAAAAGATTATCTGAAGACATTGGAGAAAGATGGTTGTAGTCACTTTTCCCCCCTGATCTTTGATGTCAAGGAACTGGACCCTGAGGAGTTTTTGAAAGACAAAGTGGTAATCACAAAGGCAGATGCAAGAAATTATGAAAAAGAGATGAAAGAGGAACTAAAAATGTGGATTAAATGTGGTAACTCTGATAAGGTATTGTTTTTTCCCATTTATCATATCATATTTCTCTTAGCAAAAGAAAAATCTCGACACTATAATGATATAGCTCTGGGAATTTAGTCTGTTTTTAATAGAATTGCACGTTTCCTGGGAATACTTCTGCACTTTGCTTTGCTATCTAATAACCAGGTTGCAGCTGTGGTTAAGCAGCTTTGCACAAGTTGAACAGTGTGCCACCAGCACCCCCTGGAGACAGATCTGGCCTTTCATTTGTGCGCTCCCTCACATGCACAAACTCGTACACCTGTACCTTGGTCATGTCTATTGTAATTGAATGCATTCTATTGTGATGCATTATAATCTGGGTCTCCTGGTTGCAAAATAGCAGTTTTAACATTTGGAGTCCTAAGCAGTTCCTAAGACCCATACTTGGGTTCCAGAGAATGTAATCCATATTGTAATGTAAGAATCATCCATATTCACACAATTCTAAAAAGAGGCTTCTTAGTGATTAAAGTGACTGGGGATAAGGGGTACTTCCTGTAGTGAGTACAAGCAGAAACCTTCCCTCACAAGAAACCTTCTAGAAACCTACGGAGCAGAAGTGTTGCATGTATTTTAAAATATTTTAGGCTGCATTTAAAGGAAGAGCTCTCACAAGGCAGCACACAAGATGATGTGCACAACTCTAAATCCACAGTGCAAGTCTAGAAGGATCCCACTGTCAATGGTATAAAACACCACTCTAAAATCACTTCCTACCTTGCTCCCAGTGTAAGTCACCCATCAGGATGACCAAGGCTTTTTCTGTGCCAAAACAATGCCCGAACTTTGATTGAGGGGGTGAAGATTATTAGACTATAGGACATTGCACAGTTTCTACATGCTTAATTTGGGAGTCTTCCAAGGCCACTTAGTCAGTCAGTTTGAATGCAGCACTTGTACCTGAGCAAGGAGATATTAGTATTTAGTATCAAATTTAGTATCTGAATTAAAGAGCCTAAGCCTATATGTTGAAACAGAGGAATGCTATTACCAAGTTGTCTCCCTCTTTCTGTTGTTTTTTCTTTGCTGCTTATCTCAGTCTGTCATTCTAAAATGGTATTGTTTATTCTCCACTGCTAACTTTGCTACCCCTGGGTTTAGGCAAAAAAAGTGCTGTCGCTGCTTAAGCCTCGACCTACTCAGTGTTCTGAAAATCAGATGAAGATGTATTTTCCTCATTTTGTTGAGAAGCTACACCAGATGGATAAATTGCCTGCACTGTTTTTCCTGTAAGTTATACAAATGATAGAGCGTCTGTGGTATGTCCAAATGCTTTGGATTACTACTCTCATGATGAAGGACTATTGGCCATGCTGCCTGGGGCTTCTGGGAGTGATAACCTGAAAGATCTGGTTCACCCTTTCTTTTGCATAAGTTGATTCACTAAGGTGGCTTGCATTGCATTAATTCGGTTTGAGAAATCTTTCACAATTTCAATTTCTGCATTATTAACGGTAAAGTTCTGTAATTCTGTGGGCATGATGTTTGTTTTCTTAATATTCATTTGTTGTCCTAGCTTTGTACTTCTCTCCATTTTATCAGGAGTTGTTTCAAGTTCTACAATGAAAAATAATCATAAAATTATAACTGTAGATACTACAGGCCACATCAGTCAAAAAATAGGCCCTGAAATCCAGTTGTTCCTCATGTCAACACTTTGATCTTCAAGTGAATCTCACACTCTATGCCCAGTCAGAAAGATGTCAGGAAGAAAAAACACTCCATCTTACAGATAGCTCTCTTCTCTCCCCCATCCCCCCTCCCATCAGGAAATGCTTCAGCAAACAGGGAGAGTGTCAGAGGAAACTGAGCAGTGGTACCCTCATGTTAGTTCAGTAGTGCTCACCAAAAGGACTAAAAGATGCATGAGAGTTTCTTGTTGTGCTCCAGATGGAGAAAACCAAGTTGCAGGTGGAGTTTGAGTTACATGTTGGTTGTTTATATATCTTTTAACCATATGTTTGATTTCTCATCTCCTATTTGTCTGCATTGGTTCTGCTTCATTGACAGAGTCCACTCAACATTGGGTTGTTTGGAGACAACTTTCTTTTCCACCAACACCTGCCTCCTGCTATCAGGGGACAGAAAGTTTATGAGCACATAACAATGAAGACGAAGTATTTGACATTTGATAATGTGATTTAATAATGAAGGGTAATATATACATTTCAAAGGAACAACTTACACAAATTCTGTTTGTTTATAAACTTATATCGCCTTGATATTATGCACATTGAAACACGCAAATGCATGTTTCAGCCAACATTCTAGACTGAGTGGTCTATGGGTAAAGAAACTATATACTCTAATCAACAGTACATAACCATAGTTTTTATACCTTAAAGATTCAATATTCATGAAGTGGAAAACTGGGCTAACATAGTCTGCAATTTCTTAGAAGAGAAACAAAGGAAGATGCAAATCTCAGGTTCTGCAAAGGAAGAAAAATTAATTAAAAAAAGTAAAAAGATTGAAAAATCATTGACAGAAAAGTAAGTATACACTTTATGTAATAAAGGTAACTTTATTTTTAAATACATTTCAATATATCAAGTACAAACATTAAATAAAAAATAGAGTTATGTATCTAAAAAAATTAACACGAATGAAGGAAGAATACTCATTTTAATGGGTTTACTAACCCCTTCTATTCTTTGCTCTCCACTTGGTAAGTTTGATGATTTCAAAATTATGTCAAACAATACCAACTAATTTTTGTATAATTTTGCTTGTTTTTCAGTTGTAAGATATCTCAGATGTGCTCATAATTTTCATATTATAAGTTTTTCTTATGAAAAGTAAGAAGATACACAAGGGATTCAATGAGTAATCTTCTGATTGTATATTTTTATAGATTTTATCACTCAGCTTTTTTTAAAGATCAAATCATTGTTCATAATATAACTGACAATTCCTATATTCAGACTTAAAACTACCAAACAACAAACTGAAAGACTATGTGGTTCTGTAGAGGATAACTGCATCAAACAGAAAAGAAAAGAAGAAAAAATAACAGAAACAAACATAATTGAGAAAAGGGTGGCAAAAAAGTAGACTCGGTGTTTAAAACATTTCTTATGCATTGTATATAATTTTGTTTGGGGTCTTAAGGCACAATCTTATACATGTTTTGACAAAGAAAATTTGTGCTACTCTCAGCATTCCCACTGCATGCAGTAAAGGTAGCTCTTTTCAGAGTAATAACCCCACTAAGAAATCATTCTTTGGTATGTAAATGATGTGAAGTCCGATGATGAGAAATGTACATGTGAACACCTGAGATTTTCATATTCAGCTTGACTTTGTGTCACACACAAAAATCCTTACAGAGACAGAAATTTAACTTTAATACATGCTTATCTGTATTTAGTATTTATTTATTTTATTTAGAAGGCTTCGATGCTGCCCCATTTTGCCGAAGCCTTGGGGTGGCTCACAATAATGAATAAATAAGGACAGAATAAAACAGTATAATATGAGTCGACCTGGTCCAAAAAATAAAATAAATAAATAATATTAACAATTAAAATAATGTTTGAATAAAAAGGTCTTTGCCTGGCGCCGAAAAACAAATAACGACGGCGCCAGGCGGGCCTCTCTGGGGAGCGCATTCCATAGATTGGGCGCCACCGCAAAGAAAGCCCTCCTCCGAGTACTTACCCTCTTAATATCCTTCACGGAGGGTTCCCGCAGAAGGGCCTCTTCCGCTGATCTCAAGGGGCGGGCGGGCATATATGGACATAAGTGCTCCTTCAGGTAACCAGGACCCAAGCCATTAAGGAATTTATAGGTCATAACCAACACCTTGAATTGGGCCCGAACTTCAATGGGGAGCCAGTGAAGCTGACAGAGAAATGGAGTCATGTGAACATAATGCCCAGTCCCCGTCAGCAGCCTGGCAGCTGTATTTTGAACCAATTGAAGTATCTGGACCGTCTTCAATGGCAGCCACACGTAGAGCGCATTACAGAAGTCAAGTCGGGAAGTCACCAACGCGTGCGTCACTGTCGCCAGGCAGTCATTCTCCAGGTATGGACGCAGTTGATGGATCAGCCAAAGCTGAAAGAAAGCGCTCCTCGCCACTGCTGTCACCGGAGCTTCCAGTGAAAGCTCTGGGTTGAGGAGCACTCCCAAGCTGCGGACCTTGTCCCTAAGAGGGAGTGCAACCCCATTCAGGACTAGGTTCAGGTCCCCTTCCCTGAAGCCCAGTCCGCCAACCAACAGGACCTCCATCTTGTCTGGATTGAGCTTCAGTTTATTGACCCTCATCCAGCCCATTACCTCGGCCAGGCACCGGTTCAGTACAGCCACTGCCTCACCTGGATTGGTAGAAAATGAGAGGTGGAGCTGGGTATCATCAGCGTACTGATGATTCTGCAGCCCACACCTCCAGCTGCCATGGCACAGAGCCATAATCCCCCAGCATCACCTTCTGGAATCGGCCATTGAGATAGGAGTGGAACCACTGCAAAGCAGTGCCTCTGACCCCCAATCCTTCTAGCCTATCCAGAAGGATACCATGGTCGATGGTATCGAAAGCTGCTGAGAGGTCCAGGAGAACCAACAGGGACGCACTCCCCCTGTCTTTCTCCCTGCACAGGTCATTGTACAGGGTGGCCAAGGCAGATTCAGTACCGTACCCGAGTCTGAAGCCGGACTGAAATGGGTCCAGATAATCAGTTTCCTCCAAGAGTGCTTGGAGTTGTCCCGCCACCACCTGCTCCAACACCTTGCCCAGAAATGGGATGTTGGTCACTGGTCTATACTTAGTGGCCATCTCTGGAACCAGTGATGCCTTCTTCAGGACTGGTCTGACTACCGCCTCCTTTAAAGGGGCAGGCACCCAGCCCTCCCTCAGAGAGGCGTTAACCACTTCCAAGATCCAGATCCCTATCCCATGCTTGGCATTGTTAATTAGCCAAGATGGGCAAGGGTCCAATAGGCAGGTGTGGGGCGTACTCATCCAAGCACCTTATCCACATCATCAGGCCGCAGTAACTAAAATTCATCCATCAATTTTGGACCAGACGGCGACATTGGTATGTCCCCAGAAGCCTCTGAATCACTAGTGGAGTCTAGCTCGTGACGAATCTGAGCGATTTTCTCCCTGAAATGCTTGGCAAAGTCATCACAGTGGGCCTTCGAGGGTGGAACCGGATCTTTCTTAGGGCCGGGACGAACCCGCCCTTGTACCACCTGAAACAGCTCCACCGGATGGCATTTTGAGGAGGCAATGGAAACGGAGAAGAATTTCTTTTTCGCCGCCCTCACTGCCACAGCATAGGCCCGATAATGGGCTCTTAAGTGTGCTCGGTCAGATTCATCCCGTGATTTCCTCCACCTACGCTCTAGATGTCTCCCAGCCCGCTTCATCGCCCGCAATTCAGGTGTATACCAAGGGGAAAGTGGGCTCTGCCTGGTGGGAGAGGATGCTTAGGAGGAATCGTGTCAATAGCCCTGGTCATTTCCCCATTCCATAGTTCGACTAGAGCCTTGACAGGAGCACCAGTCATGTCAGCCGGAAACTCCCCCCAGGGCCTTCAGGAATCCATCCGGATCCATCCGACTCCGGGGGCAGACCCATACAATCGGGTCTGCTCCCTTACAGAGGGAAAGGCCGCTCTCAAGCACAAACCTTACGAGGAAGTTTGACCATGACAGGGGTGTCAGACATAAATTCCTCACCCTCAGACCACCCTCTTCCTGCCCGTCGAGAAAACCAGGTCCACAGTGTGTCCATGTTCATGGGTTGGGCCTGTGACATGTTGAGACAGCCCCATGGCCGTCATGGAGGCCATGAAGTCCTGAGCCACCCCGGTCAGACCAATCTCGGCATGGAGATTGAAGCCCCCCAGGACCAACATCCTGGGGGTCCTCAACACCAGGTCCGAGATGATCTCTGTCAGCTCAGGCAGGGAGACTGTTGGGCAGAAGGGTGCACGGTACACCAACAGAATCCCCAATCTGTCTTGGTCGCCCAACACCAAGTAGAGGCACTCTAGCCCCGGCCTCAAAGGGACTGGAAGCCCCGCGAGGGAGATGGAGGCTTGGTAAACCAAAGCAATCCCCCCTCCCCTCCCCTCCTTGCGTGGACTTACACTGTATGTGCAAACATACACATTATTACCTGGTCCATTAGACTTTGTAACATATCAAAGCTTTAAAAGACTCTCATAATACTTGATGAAGTGCAAGGATGGGTGGATTGGGGTAGCTGATAACAAATCTATACTTTTGTACAGTGACTTTAAACGGACCCATAAAGAAGACCAAAAAATGGTTTGGGAGGCTGAACTTGGTATCCTAAAGACTCTACTGGATAAGATTTCTAAAATTCCTGCAGACTGCACATATGCAAATGAAAAAGCTATTGATAATGAGGTAAGCTGAAAACTCTTTAATTTCCAATATTAAATCCATTTCCAATTCCCATTTGAAAATCTGTGTACTGAATCACACACCTGGAGATTCTTCTCTTCAGAAAGTTGCCCTCTGTGAGTACAGTGCAATGGAAACGGAGCAGAGAGGTAGAGCCCCATTCATGATGCTATGAATAGGACAGAAAAGTGCAGTAAAGCAGGAGTGCAGCGGCTTCTCATACTAACCGTGTAGCATGGGAAGAAGCTGTACCGTGGCAGCTCCCATGTTACTGCTTGTGCAAGGACCTAGTTGTGCAAGCCTGCTGCAGTTGATTTCATTCCAAGCACCTAATAGTTGCCACCATTTTCAGATTCCTGGTTTGATACCTTTACTATGATAGAATGCAAAATGTAGCCTTTCATAAACCCTGTTGTGTTACTGATCTGATGTTTAAGGCAACTGTGTAGAAAATATGATTTTGAGGCATAATTCTCAGGCATGTCTTTTGGGAGATGCATTCTGCTGGGGGAGATGCAGGTCAGATAGAGTCCTTTCATTCCAGGGGATGAACTGCAGTTGTATATCTCAAAGTTTAAGACTGCTCCCAACTGACAGCCTCCAGAGAAAACAACATTTACTGCACACTTACATGTTTTCAGTAAGGGTTTATCCAATTGTTGCTGATGTAGCTAATGCTTCTCTTTCATGTTTTGGCAATGTCCAATAGTTGGCTCCTTTTGCAGGGAGAATACAGATAAACTCTGTGATGGAATGTTCTATTTTTTTATGGATATGCACTCGTTTCTTAAAAAATTACCTGTCCCTTGGAATCTGACATGGAAATGTACACTATCTGTAATTTCTTTTCTTTTTTTTGTAAGTGTGCAAGCATATTTTCAAAGTTATATTTTTCTTCTTAGTTTTTGGACCAGATATTTCATCGAGCACGATTTCTAAGAAAACACAGCATGCTGAAAAAATTGGCATTAAGAGGCATTGGATATCACCATGCATCTGTGGAGCAGAAAGGAAGGCAGATGGTGGAGATGCTTTTCAGGAAGGGATTTATCCAGGTACACTAACTTTCCTCATACCTTTCCACAATATAATAGCAGCTGTACCAATTGCCCACTTTTTAAGCGTACTTGGATATTTGTGTTGGGGTTTATTTTAATATTTTCCAGGCTTCCTTGGGAGCCCTTATCAGCTTCTCTTTTTAAGTTTGATATATCAATAGAATGTAGGGCATGGAGTAGGGAAATGTGTGACCCTACAGATCTAAAGAACTGTAACTACCATCCACCCTGGCCAGCATAGCCAATGCTGTGGGACAAACAGTCCAACAACATTGGGATTGCTAAAATGGCTTATATCTGGTGATGAGGACAGGAAGTTTGCAGAACAAGAACATGAGAGTTCCAAAAAGGAAGAGGACTTGCTGGCTTGACTGCTCCTTTCCTTTCCTCATCAGCCATGTCTCATAAAAATGATGCTGTTTTGTGTGTGGTTATAAAGCTTAATGAGTTCTGTGTAGCTGGCTTCATGTACTTGGAGTCTCTGTCTACTGCATGGGTGCTATCAACACTGCAGGATTCCACTGCTGAGTGGACATTCTTCTGGCTTGCTAATACTGAAATAAAAGGAAGGATGATCCAGTTACAGCATATCTGTGGATGTGAGGAATTCTGTATTGGAAAGGTTTTTCATACATCCAGTGTCACATTTAAATTGAGTTTCAGCAGCAATCCTGATAGGTGTTTTTCTTTCTTTGGCATATGGAAGCCCATAGATCAAGTTCTTCTTGTGCAATTAATGTACAGGCATATGTCTGAGTTGGTGGACAAAGGCAGGAGTGTCCCCACAGGCACTGTGAGTGTGTGATAATAGAAGAAAGGAAAGCATGAAAGAAAGAAAGAAATTGGATCTGCTATTTTTCTTCTGTCCGATTCAGTTGTTGTTCAGTCATACTTCTCTTTGATTATTTCATTTAGTTCATGCATGGATGGGATAAATGTAAAGCTTCTAATTGATTTGGTCTAATCCAGGCATCTTTATTCCACCAGTTTTACATGCATTTTTAAATATAGCAGCAGTGATATTAAACATGCATGATCCATTTGTGTTTGTGGGCTGGCTTTCAACAATTTGACTTATGCAGGAATGGGATTTTTTTATATTACACAGATGTATTTTTAGGTTATATACTTTATTTTTCCCTTTAAATGTTTTTAAAGATTTTCATCCTTGGAAAAAATATAGATTTCTTTAGTTTCAGTTCCAATGGACTTCAGTAACTAGAGTTCAATTCAGACTGTTCAGTGTTTTTGATATTGTTCTTTACTGTTCTGATTCTCCCAGCCCTACTTTGTTCTTGTCTATGTAGCAAGAAGTGGTACTTCATTTATTATGATCACTCAATTTAATTGCCAATTTTTAAAATTATAAGTAATTTATTTTAATTTTAAAGGTGGTAACAGCTACAGGAACCTTGGCTTTGGGAGTCAACATGCCATGTAAATCTGTTGTTTTTGTGCGAAATTCTGTATATTTGGATGCATTGAACTACAGACAGGTAATGAGATACTAAAGACCAGGAGTGGCCAGTCTTGCTCAAAGGAAGAATAAATGTCAAGCTGTTTGAGAGCTGCAAGGCATTAATAAATATTTATTTATTATGTTTTTATGAATGCATGTTCTGACTGATCAGTAAGATGATTTTTAATGTGCATGATAAGACACACAGATGCCTGGAAAACTAACTGTGGGGTATCCTTCCAAAGAACTAGACCATGGGTCCTCAAACTACAGCCCAGGGGCCGGATCCGGCCCACCATGCCCATTTGGACCTGCCATGCCCGCCCGCCCGCCCCGCGCGTGGTTTGCTCACTCGGAGAAAATGAACAGTTTCCTCACTCAGAGAAAACGAGCGGTTTGCTCACTTGGAGAACATGATTTCCAAGCGAGCAAGCTGCTGCCCTGTATACCTGCCTCGTGACGAATGCCCGCCTTGGCTCCCCCCGCCACGTCCCCCCCCCCCGCACCTCACCTTGTTGTGTACCCACATGCGCCACCCCCGCGCCAGCACCACTTTTCTGGCCTGTGTCCAGCACCGGCAGCTTTCATCTGGCCCTCTGGTAAAAAAGTTTGAGGACCCCTGAAATAGACCTTTAGAAACAAGAACTACGCAAAGCAAATGTCCCTGTTCTTTCCAAGATCCCCGAGTCCCAGTTTCAAGTGTCTGTATCTGGTATTGGACAACTTATAATTCTGTTGCCGGATTAACCATTCAATTGCTCAACAGACTCTTTCTGAACTGGCATAAGTGATCTGAGACTTGGTTGCTGTAGAGGACCTCCAGGAAAAGGTGCAATTAAGTAATTTTGTAATCTAGATTTAGTAGTCTTACCCATTATCATCTAAAGGAAGATCCTTTGTATTACTCTGACTGAGGCATATATAAAATTGCACTCTTAAGCAACAAGTCTGGTTTTGCCTTCAACCTGTAGAATAGATTGATATAAAGAGAAAAAAATATTGTATTTTGATAAGAATAGCATCTAAACAACACCCAGTTTTTGCTTAATTATTTTCTTAGGCTTCTAATTTTGTCTGCTTCTTCCTAGATGTCTGGAAGGGCTGGACGACGTGGCCAAGATTTGTTGGGGAATGTATATTTCTATGACATCCCATTACCTAAAATAGAAAAGCTGATTAAATCAAATGTGCCTGAACTTAGAGGACAGTTTCCTCTGGGCATTTCTTTGATACTGAGACTCATGCTTCTGGCTTCAAAAGCAGATAATAAAGCAGATGCAAAGGCAAAGGTAATCCTGACTCTTTCATGAAAACAATCCATACTTAATGAATACAATTTATGAAACCTTCCTTACTTAAAGGTACCATTTAAAGTTCCTTACTTAAAGTTCCTGCATTTCTAAACCAGCCATGCTTGTAGGACCACTTTTCATCACAACATGCACAGGATTATGTAAATTAACCTGCCTCTGAAGTGGTAATCCTGTATCCATTCACCCAGGAGTAAGCCCCATTGAATGAGCTATCATGAAACCAGTCTGGCTTCCTTCATTTCTCCTCTGAGCTTCTCCAGCTAGGCAGGGAAAAAAAGTCTAAGGAAAACGTAGAGCTTAAGCATGGGGAGGTGGTGATCTCCTCCACTGCTGCATTGGATACCCATAAGCCTCTGTGTTCAGGGGCTTATGGGTATCTGGATAGGATTGTGCTCTAAGTATACAGTCAGAGGTACATGAGTTCCACAGGTTCTCCAACCTTTAACTCATATGTTGGCAATGTATTAACTACTTTTTTCCTTTGAAAGGTTTTGTCAATACTGAAGCATTCACTTCTTTCCTTCAAACACCCAAGGAAGCTGGAGATGTTGAAGCTGTATTTTTTGTTTTCTTTACAGTTTCTTGTGAAGGAGGTAAGGTTTCAAATCTTCTTATTCAATCACATCATTTGATCTTGCATTTTATGTACCACCATTATATGATACAGAGTTCCTCATGGACATGGGTGTGCATTTGTAGATTTAAACAGGATGTTCTTTTGACATTTGTTACCCTGCAGGTGGAGAATTCAGGGTAGAGGACATTTTGTCTGTTTATTAAATGTTTTCAAAAGTTTGGATGGGGAGTTATATTTAATGTGGTGACATGCACTGGTGGCAGCTTCATGTTTGGGGTTTTTTTTAATGTCTGGGAGGGGATGTAGTTTTTTTGCCACATGTGGTGGCAGAAGCCAAGTTCTCAGACAAAATTGGAAGTAGCCATTTTTCCTTATCAGAAAGTTTCTGAACTGATGGTACATATTGTTATTCCCAATGCATTCTGGGGAAAATGGTGGTCATGGGCGACAAGAACCAAAGTATATCCTTGTAACCCTCCAAACTTGGAGGATTACAGACATGGAGGGTAGAAGGGATTTCCTTGGCACTGCTCCTGTCCTCCAAAATGGCTCCAAAATACTATTTAGGAGAGGACCAGAGGCAGCACCAGGATTCCTCACAGGATGACAGTTCTTTGCTTCTCCAGTCCCTGTCCCCAAGTGATTGCTCCAAAGTCAGTTTTGCAACCTCAGAGCAACAACTGGTATGAAGAGAACTGCCTTGGTTACAAAGGAGGAGTTAGCGTGACCTGTAGTCAGAGTTCCCATTCCAACCTTGAGGCACTTTTCCTATGATCAGAGTTGGGACTCCAAATTAATCCATGGCTATCTAGATAAAGCCATTTGCTCTGCCACGCATGATAAGCATTTCTCCATTTCAGGCAACTTTTGTTCTAGCTGTAATACACAGCTCAGCACCTCAGCCTTCAAAACTGTGCAAAACAAAATATGTCATATGGAACAAAATGAGAATCTTGGCTTCAGCTAATCACTGATGATGATTACACTTTTAAGAGATTTGTATCATTATTGTATACCATTCATACAATCGTATGCAATCTTGAAAGTATTTTTTGTAGGCTTGTAAGATCAAAATGAGGAGAGGGTATATTTTAGCTTGCCTCTTAAGTTATGGTAAGAAAGCCATGTAAATACATTCAGTGTTTCATATTTTAGGGATATCTGGATCAGTGTGGTAATACTACAGGATTTTCTGGACTTGTGACTCATTTGCATTACCACGAACCTTCCAACATCATTCTAGTTGAATTTCTTGTCAAAGGGTTGTTCCACAAGCTGTGCCAACCAATCAAGCAAGGTAATTCTCAATGGGCCCAGGGCAAGGGCCTTCCCCCCTCCCTGTTTTCTTTTAGGAAGGGAAGAGTGAAGGGCACATGATTGCTCACGCCAGATAATCCTGCGTTGGAGTCTACCTCCATTCTGGGCAGGGGGAATGAGGAAAGCTGAGCTCTGTCAAAGTGCTTGGCCATGTGGCAAGAGGACTGAATGTACTAGAACAAAGGGGACCAGCAGATGCAAGTGCAGAGTTGCCATCTAAAGCAGAGGTTGGGGACTGTTACTATATGGATATTGTTGGGCTTCAGCTCTCATCAACTCAACTTGCATTGTGGGAGTTGGGCACCCAGAATTAAATAAAGGTGATAGGCACACACCCTTACCTTCTTTATATTTATTTTGAGAGAGGGGGAGACACCCCAGTAAGTAGAACTTCTTGGCATTGCTTGCATATGTCTTCAGATTGATCCCTTTTTGGTTTAATACTGTAGTTCTTGTTCATTGGTTGCATTTGTATACTGCTTTTCCTGCTATTAAGTGGCCTCTCATGCTCAGCTTCAGATGTTGAACTATATCAGGAACAACCAATTCATTCTCTGTGTCTTCAAGGAGGAACTGATAGATTCTGACATCATTGTCAAGTAGAAGGTTTTCAATGACTTGTTAGTCCCAGTTCAGACTGAAGTGAACCAGAAGCTAGGTCTGCATGTATTGTTTTGTTCTTAGAAATAAATCCATTGCAATCACTATTCTTTAATTTATGAAGGGAAATGAATTCCCAGTGATTTTTTTTTCTTTGCATGTGGTGCACTCAATAAAAACAAATGCTGCATGCATTCAGAAACAAATACTGGGAACACTATTTGATCATGCAATTTATCTGTAAAACCTAATTACTTCTAAGCCACTGCAATCCTTATGCAGTGGTCACACATTTCTATCCAGTGCTGACAGCTGGCTGTGGTAAGCATGCTCATTAAACTGTAGCAGTTTGTGTATTTTAAAAATGATTTGGTATGACTTGAGTTTCTATATCAAAATAGGATCAAAGGTTTTTTCAGAGGATGTGATGGAAAAGCTGGTGCTAGTACTGGCACATCTTTTTGGAAGAAGAACCCTACCAGCTGCTATTCTCAAGTCTACAAGGAAATTTTATCAATCAAAGGTAAGATTAAATTGTATGCATTTGCCCCTGAGAAAAATGGAAAAGGATACTAGCTGTTCATATTCAAATAAGGGGATAGAACAAAAAACTGATCAAAGGTGAACTGAGGAGTCTGAATGTTACCCATTCTGTATAAATACTACTCTTTTCATTTCAATTTCTTGGTGCTTTCTACACAATAAATAGAACAATGAATCATGTTTATATGATGGATATTGGTACAAGGAAGCAACGTCTGGTTCTGTACTTTCATTCTGCAACATGATTCAGATTATAACACTGGAATCCAGTAGACAAAGAATTGTCTGATTAGTTCAAGGTTCTTGCTCACTTGAACTGTCTATTGCAGCAGTCCCCAGCCTTTTTGCACCAGGGACCGATTTCATGGAAGACAGTTTTTCCACAGATCGGGGGGAGGAGTGGCTTCAGGATGATTCAAGTATATTACATTAATTGTGCACTTTATATATTACAATGTAATAATAACAGAAATAATGAATTAATTAATACAACTCACCATAATGCTAGAGGCCCAAGAGGCCTCACAGGGCCTCACAGTTGTGGCACAGGACCTCAAATAGGCCTCGCAGCCTGCTGGTGGCTTCCTGCCCCCAGCACTTCATCATGTGCACACTGCGTGCCTCCACTGCTCGGCCTCCTCCATGCCATTCACCACCCGCTGCCCCTCAGTCCTCCTTTTGAGGCCCAGGGCCCAAAGGGGTCCTAATGTCAATCTGTTTTTGCAGCCGCTCTCCAGTTCATTGCACACTTATGTACCCTTCCTTCATTTTTCTGGGTTTGCCTCCTTAAATTCTGTGACACTTTTTTATTTTCACTCATCTCCTATATGAGTGACTGCACTTAGAATACTCTGTACAGTTCTGTTTGCTGCACCTAAAAAAAGATGACACACCAGCAAAAAGTGCGGAGAAGGCACCTCAACTCCAGCTGAGATTGTTTAGTTTAGAAAGAAGTCATGTAAGGGAAGACATGACAGAAATGTTCAAAATTATGTATGGGGTGTAGTAGGTGGAGAAGGAGACATTTTTCTACCTCTACCATAAAAGTGGAACCCAGGGTGATCCCATGAAATTGATTGGTGGGAGATTCAGGACAGATGCAAGGAAGTATTTCTTCACACAGCACTATTAAACTGTGGAATTCACTTCCACAAGCCGTTGTGATGGCCACCAATTTGGAGGGCTTTAAAAGGGGATTGGACTAATTCATGGAGGAGAAAGCCATCAGTGGCTACTAGTTGTATTTAACCTCTGGTGTCAGAGGTAGCATGCCTTTATCCACAAGTTGCTAAGGAACTTGAGCAGGAGGGGGCTGTTGTATTCATATCCTTGATAGTTTGCCATTCTATGAATTGAATGCTGGACTTGGTCTGATCCAGCATGGCTTTTCTTATTTTATTGTAATCCTAACCAAGCTAACAACAATAACAAAAGCTCGATAGTTATCTCCCTGGACAAGTGGACCATTATACAGCCTCAGTCAATTATAGTCTAATACTTCATTACCACAATCACAATACACAATTTATGGGTACAGCTGTAAATATAGATCACAATAACTGTCAATGGAAGTCAGCCTTTGTATTTTATTCCGAAAATGAAGCATAGAGATATGAAGGTCTGGGGGTGCCGGGTGGAACCTTTCCCAACATCAAAAGTGAAAATTGGAGGGGCATTTCCTCTAAGAATCTTTGTGTAAGAAATGTTGAACCTTTTGGAATGAGTGAAGACAAGCTGTTCACTGTTTACGAAGACAAGCTTCTGCTTACTCATAAGAACATAAGGAAAGCCATGCTGGACACCAAAGACCATCCTGCCCAGCACTCTGTTTGCACACTGGCAAACCAGCTGCCTAGCAGGATGGGTACGAGAGGTCTGCCTGCCCAAACACCTCAGCAACTGGGTATACAGGCAGGCTGCCTCTAATCATGGAGGCAGTGTCCTAAACCTCCCATGAATCAGCTTCATGGGAGCACCCTGGGTTTCTAGTATTATGGGACAGAAAGAAAAAATGTATTTCTCTCCACTTTCTTCACACTATACTTACTTCTAAACACCTCTACCATGTTTCACCTGTAAAATACAGAGATTTTTGTAGAAGACAGACTAGAATTATCATTCTTGTGTAAATTGTACACATATACAGCACTTAAACTTAAGACGCATTCCTGCACCTAGGATTTGCTGACATCATGTGAGCATACCAGCTCTGCATGAAACACTGTTTTGTCCATATGCCCCTTTTTTGTTTTAATTACACTGTTTTTCCCTACTCCTCAGATAGCAAAAACTAAGATACATGTGCTTAGTTAACATTGTGAGTAGCACTTCTCTTATTTGCGTGCTCTCATTAGGTACATGCAGTTTTGGTTATTGAGTTATTTTTTCAGAAAATTTTACATCTCTGAATGTGAAAGTGAAAAAGCATTTTAAGGTTGAAAATTAGTTCCCAAACAAATAGTCTGATGCCTTTAGGTATTTCTAGAAGATCTCCCTGAAGATTTTGCAGCTGCTTTGAAAGAATACAACTGCAAAATAGAAGAGAATTTTGGACAGTTTTTGCAGATTGTTTCTGCTCTAGCTGACATGAAGCAAGAATATCAACTTCCACTTTCAGAACTTGGTAAGCAAGGATCGTTTCTTCCATTACAATAAAATAGATCTATATTTTTCTGGTAGACAAGTAGCTGGGGCTTTGATAGTGTAACATGTACTGTTTGCGCTGAGGAATTCAAAATCCAAATACAAACTGGGCATGAAATCTCATAATTGCTGGGCATGATGTCACAATGGCTACCCAGTGGATCTTAAATTCATTTTCTTCTAGGTTTAGCATGTGACCCCAACTGCCAGTATTTTCTTCTCCCAAATGCAGCCAACCACAAAGCCAATGCTTTAAGATATGAAAAGAGGCTGATAACAATGAGTTAATCTAATGGTGTTATTCAGCTGGTGGGAAGGCTGATTCCAGCCTCTCCCCACAACCTGAAAACCTGCTCCAGATGGCCAGAAAATTCTCTGGGGCATTTTTTCAGACAATATAGAGGAAGGAATCAGGGGAAGGAGAAAGTCCCCTCATGCTAGTGGGCATCTGCTAGCTTGACACTGGATTTAACCAAGTGAAAGTAAATAAGCTCTTGGAATTGAAGCCACAGAGTTATGGGAAAGGTAGTACATTTCTGTATTTAAGGACCCCAATAAGGGGGAAAGGTAAAAATTGATTTAAGACACAATCCTGCAACACTTATTTGGGAGAAACTCAATGGGGATTAATTGGGTTTACTTCTGAATAGATGTGTATAGGACTGATAACAACTGAAGTTATTAAAAAACCAATTTAAATCAAATATATCAAGGTTATGAATTTATTACAAACATTAGCAATGAACAACTATAAAAAATAGCAAAAATTCATTAAAATATTCTCACACAGCATTTTTGACGGTATTAATCTGCTATTGAGGGCCAAAGGGTAACTTTAAAGTCCTAGGTGGAAATGAAGCTAATGACTGATTTCAACATGACTCAGGGTTAACATAACAATTTTTATTCCTATCATATGCCAAAACCATTAATTGATTATTGTCTCTTTCTGTACCAGTTCATTGTACAATGATGTCTCATGTAATCCAGTAGCATACATTTCCTTATTTGTTTTCAAACATTACACATACATTAGAATTGCAAGTTGCAACAAAACAGATAAATCCCATCTTGGAGAATTTAACCCCATGGTAAAATTTAAAATGGGAACCAGCAGAAGTACAAACGTGGCAGTTCTTTATAATTGTTTTTAATGCATGCAAGAATATGAATAATTTGTTGCAGAAGGGACTAGCATTCACATTTCAAGAAATTGCTTGACATTTTTTAGAAATTTTTCATGCCATGTTAGGAATGTAGTTCAACAGACAATGGTTGAGCATAAGTACACCATTAACAATAAGGGGATCTAATGTTTGTTAGCAATGAGGCACACAGATGGTTTATTTAAAGAACAACTAAAAATCAATCAGTTTTCCACCTAGGTTTAGTTTGATTCCCTGGGAAAAAATCTATGCTGAAAACTACTATTTTTTTCTGGAGTTAGAAATGAACCTGATCCCAGGCTATATAATGCAGCTCCCTGCCCTTTCCACAATGGACAGTTGAAGAGGGGGAGGTTATGCACATGAAACTGTGCATGCTGCCTTCCCCAGGGTTCCTTTGTGCATAGAATTCCCTGAAGCTCTTATGTACATGTAATTCTCAGATCTCTTATACTCTTCCCTGAAGCTTTTGCTCTTCCTCAGAGTCTTACTTCTCTAAGAATTCCCTGGAGCTTTCAGTTCCCCAAATTCTAATATAGGCACTTTCTTCCCTGCTACTGTGATGGACATCAAGCACTCTGTGTGCAGGTTTCCCCTCTTCAAAGGCCCATGCTCAACAGATAGGTAAGAAGGTTCACAATGCTGGGTTTAGTCCATAGGGTGATGCAACTTCCTCTTAATTGTGTGCAGCCCTTAGAACAGGCTGCTGTATGCTGACAGTTACAATTAGTTCTATGTTTATGCAGGAGGTTGAACTGGATCACGGGCCAAATACAAAACTATAGTCCTTCATCAGACCATGCTCCCTCACTGCTCTTGGTTTGGGTTCATGAAATTATTTACACCATCCCACTCTGTCCTTCAACTACAAAGCAAATGGAAGGAACCCTGCATAAGTATTGGGTGGATAATGCCAAGATACAAATGTCTTTCTTTCATGTACTGAACAAAGATGAGTTACACCTGTTATCTCCAACTACTTTTGACTGTAGTCACACCCGCTGCTGTAGACTTCAACAGGATGAAGTTTCCACTCTCCTAGATAATTTTTGGTCTCTTCCAAATCAAGATGTTTAGGGGACTTAAATGACAAAATGGGGGAAAATGACAAAAGGGCTGTATGGTTAAAAATAGTGAGAAAATTGAAGATTTCAAATATAAAGAAGTGCTGCTATGTATTAGCTGCTTTTTGCTATTATTAGATTATAGTAAGGTTGTGCATCCACTGAAATTCACATTGTATATATTTTCTATTAGATTTTTCAAGTAAAGAACAACCCGACTCTCAACTTGCATCTCATTTAATGAGTTGTGACACAGGAAGGACAGCAGTATCACCTTTTGTGTGCCTCTCAGGAAATTCAGAAATTGATTTGCAGCATGCAAGGACTATCAATAGTGTAAGTGTGAAACTTTGACTGCTAGTATAAAGAGCATTCTGAAAAACTATCTGAAAACATTCACGGATCACACTCTGTATTGTATTCCCTGTTTGGAGATTAAACATTTCATCCCATATATATAACATCCTAGTCTGAAGGTACAATTAAAGCCACATGATAGAAAAGAAGTTTTAAAATGGGCATGACACTTTTCTGTTTAGGGCAACATCCCTCAGGAATGCATGTCTTGTGTTGAGCTTGGTTGAAGTTGGTGATCGGCAAGGACTTCCATCCTGTTCCTTTCATTAATTTTCTTTTTTCTTTTCAATTTTGTACTGCTGAGCCTCACTATTTATGGATGCTGCATCGGCTTTTGATAGGTCCAATACTGGGTTAGGGGATAATTAGAAAATTGATTAAGAGCATGTACTTAAAGCAAATAGGAGAAAATTCTGTTATTGATTAATCTGTCACTAGAGTTCTGTTTATTTGCTGGAACAAGTCAAAGGTGCTCTTTATGTTCATAGAACCATTAGTAATAGCTTTTAAGGAAAAACAATCTATTTAAGGAATACACATGGACTGAAAAATACCTTAAGGCCTAAAATATGCTGATGATATTGGTTTTTTTTAGGTATGTGAAATTATCAAGTGATGTTTGCAAAATCTATATGCATAGTGCTTAATATAAAAAATCAAAATAAAGATGAATTAGCTAGACAATATAAAATTTAATCAGTCTTCTGGAATTAAATATCAGAGAGTATGCTTAGTAAAGATACTGAAGCAATAGTGAAATTGAATCCAAAGAAAGCATAATTTATTTATTTATTTATTTAGGGAACTTCTATGCCGCCCCATTCGCCGAAGCCTCGGGGCGGCTCACAAACATAAATAACATCATATAAAACAATATAATTTAACTGTATAAATTAAGTCACCCTGGCCAAAGAATAAAATAAGTAAATAATATTAACAATTAAAATACCGTTTGAATAAAAAGGTCTTTGCCTGGCGCCGAAAAACAAATAACGACGGCGGCAGGTGGACCTCTCTGGGGAGTGCATTCCATAGATTGGGCGCCACCGCAGAGAAAGCCCTCTTCCGAGTACTTACCCTCCTAATTTCCTTCACGGAGGGTTCCCGGAGAAGGGCCTCTCCCGCTGATCTCAAGGGGCGAGCGGGCATATATAAGCGCATAAGCGCTCCTTCAGGTAACCAGGACCAAGCCGTTAAGGGCTTTATAGGTCATCACCAACACCTTGAATTGGGCCCAGACTTCAATGGGGAGCCAGTGAAGCTGACAGAGAACTGGAGTCATGTGAACATAATGCCCAGTCCCCATCAGCAGCCTGGCAGCTGTATTTTGAACCAATTGAAGTATCCGGGCCATCTTCAAGGGCAGCCCCATGTAGAGTGCATTACAGAAGTCAAGTCAGGAAGTCACCAACGTGTGTGTCACTGTCGCCAGGCAGTCGTTCTCCAGGTAGGGGCGCAGCTGATGGATCAGCTGAAGCTGAAAGAAAGTGCTCCTCGCCACCGCTGTCACCTGAGCTTCCAGTGAAAGCTCTGGGTCGAGGAGTACTCCCAAGCTGCGGACCTTGTCCCTAAGTGGGAGTGCAACCCCATTCAGGACTAGGTTCAATTCACCTTCCCCGAAGCCCGATCCGCCAACCAACAGGACCTCCATCTTGTCTGGATTGAGCTTCAGTTTATTGGCCCTCATCCAGCCCATTACCTCGGCCAGGCACCGGTTCAGCACAGCCACTGCCTCACCTGGATTGGTGGAGAATGAGAGGTAGAGCTGGGTATCATCAGCATACTGATGATTCCGCAGCCCACACTTCCTGATGACCTCTCCCAGTGGTTTCATGTAGACGTTAAACGGCAAAGGGGACAAAACGGATCCCTGCGGTACTCCATGGCATAGCTGCCATGGTGCAGAGCCATAGTCCCCCAGCACCACCTTCTGGAATCGGCCATTGAGATAGGAGCGGAACCACTGCAAAGCAGTGCCTCCGACCCCCAATCCTGCTAGCCTATCCAGAAGGATACCATGGTCGATGATATTGAAAGCCGCTGAGAGGTCCAGGAGAACCAAAAGGGATGCACTCCCCCTGTACAGGTCATCGTACGGGGCGACCAAGGCAGATTCAGTACCGTACCCGGGTCTGAAGCCGGACTGAAATGGGTCCAGATAATTAGTTTCATCCAAGAGTGCTTGGAGTTGTCCCGCCACCACCCGCTCCAACACCTTGCCCAGAAACGGGATGTTGGCCACAGGTCTATAATTAGTGGCCATCTCTGGATCCAGTGACGCTTTCTTCAGGACTGGTCAGACTACCGCCTCCTTTAAAGGGGCAGGTACCCGACCCTCCCTCATAGAGGCATTAACCACTTCCAAGATCCAGGTCCCAATCCCGTGCTTGGTGGTGTTTATTAACCAAGATGGGCAAGGGTCCAATAGGCAAATGGTGGGGCGTACTCGTCCAAGCACCTTGTCCACATCATCAGGCCGCAATAACTGAAATTCATCCATTAATTTTGGACGAGATAGTGACATTGGTATGTCCCCAGAAGCCTCTGAATCACTAGTAGAGTCTAGCTCGTGACGAATCTGAGCGATTTTCTCCCTGAAATGCTTGGCAAAGTCATCACAGTGGGCCTTCGAGGGTGGAACCAGATCTTGCTTAGAGCCAGGACGGACCAGCCCTGGTACCACCCGAAAAAGTTCCGCCGGATGGCAGTTTGAGGAGGCAATAGAAATGGAGAAGAATTTCTTTTTCGCTGCCCTCACTGCCACAGCATAGGCTCGATAATGGGCTCTTAAGTTCCTCAGCCATCTGTCCCTCCTTCATCTACGTGGGCATGTTAAGCCCCCACCGCTGTAACGTCCATTGCCCGTGACCACCCCAATGGCGGCGCCCACGCGCTTCCCAGGTAACTCAACCGTCAACATGGCCAGGGACGACTCCATAAAAACACATTAAAATACAATAAAATTTTAAAACAGTATAAAACTCCCCATCTACCCCCCCCCCGATACAAAATACCACCCATAAGAATCATAAAAAGATAGTTGTGGATATTAATCATGGTTATTCTTAAATCTGTTCTGGATGAGAAGTATATCTGGTAGAGGAAATATATCCTGAATCAAAAAAGAATATGCTTCTGAAGATTTTTATTAGATTATTTAAATTGATATTAATTTGAAAGAATGACAGGATATATGCTGTAAGTTTACATGGCAGAGAAAATGTCATAAAATAGCACTGGTTGACAGCCTTCAGTTTCTCATCGAAAAAAGGAGAGGTAACTATGCCAGTATTCTTTTTTTTTTTAATTAAAATTTTTAAACTAAAAACTAAAAACATCAATCATCAAATACATCGGATGTACTGGGTCAGCCCCTTATAACATATCTTTTTAATATTCTATAATCAAATTCAAATCAATGTATAAAAATTTAAAAACATCTTTAAATCTAAGCCAAGCCCCTTTTCTCCAGCCAATCATAAAAAAGGTCCCAAGTTTGATAGAAGTCAGTATCTTCTTTCTCCTTCAGTAATAGAGCCAATCTGTCCATTTCTGCACAGTCCAGAATCTTTTTTAAAATCAGTTTCTCAGTGGGTAATTCCTCACTGTTCCAGTATTGAGCAAGTGCAATCCTCACCGCTGTGATTAAATGTAGCATCAAATACATTTCTTGTTTGCTAATGTTTTCCAGTATAATGCCTAACAAGAAAATTTCAGGTTTAAAAGCTAAGGGTTTTTGTAGCATTTCCTCAAGCCATTTATGTATTTTAATCCAATACTTTTTCACATATTCACAGGTCCACCACATATGGTAAAAAGTACCCACATCATGTTTACATTTCCAACATCCGTTTGACATATTTGGAAACATCTTAGTTAATCGACTTGGCGACAAATACCATCTATAAAACATTTTATATACATTTTCTTTATACGAAGTTGCTAAAGTTACCTTAATGTTTCTCTTCCATAGCTTTTGCCACTTTTCTAATTCAATATTATATCCAAAATTTTGTGCCCATGTTATCATAGTTTCCTTGACCTGTTTCCCTTCCATTTTACTGTCAAGTAAGAACTCATAAATTATTTTAATCATTTTCTCATCTGTTTTTAGCATCACTTGATCAAAGGCTGTTAGGTCTTTATAAAACCCCCATATTTTACAATCTTTAGCATATCTTGATTGCATCTGCACCTTATACCACCAAGAAATATTTAGTCCCTGTTCTTGTATTTCTTTATCCAGTTTCAGGCCTCCATCCTTGTCCAAAATATCATCATATCTTATGATCCCTTCAAAATTCAATACATTTGGATACACAAAAGCTTCCATAGGTGAAAGCCATCTTGGTAATTTATTATACAATTTTGACTTTAACTTTTCCCACACTGACATTAATGATCTTCTAATAAAGTGACTTAAAAAAGTCCCATGAGACTTAACCTTCTCGTACCACATATAAGCATGCCAACCCATTTGCAAATCATGACCTTCAAGATACAAAATTCTCTTATTTCGCAAAGTTATCCATTCTTTTAGCCCCGTTAAAACAGAAGCTTGATAATACAACATCCAGTCAGGAAGACCAAACCCCCCATTCTTTTTGGTTTCTTGAAGCATTTTTAATTTAATCCTTGATTTCTTTTTTCTCCAAATAAATCTCAAAATTTGAAGATTTAAATCCTCAAAATTTTTTTATCAATTTTTACGGGACTCATTTGGAACAAAAACAAAAGTTTTGGTACTATGTTCATTTTAACAAGTGCTATTCTTCCCATCAAAGACAATTGTAAATTGGCCCATTTTTCCAGATCACCTTTAATGCCCTTCAATAATTTATCATAATTGTCTTTTTTCAAAGTTGTACATTTAACTGTAAGATAGATTCCCAAGTATTTAACCTTTTTAACAATCTGCAAATCCACTTGTTCTTGGAGTCTTTTTTTCTGATCTTGCGTAAGATTTTTAACTAAAAGTTTCATTTTTTCTTTATTTATTTTCATCCCCGTAACCTCACCATATTCTTCAATCCATTGTAAAAGTTTAGGGATTGTTACAAAAGGTTCCTCTGTTATAAAGACCAAATCATCTGGAAATGCTTGCAATTTATAATTTTCATCTTTAATTTTAGTACCCTTAATGTTCTTGTCGTCCCTAACAATTCTATTCAAAACCTCTAAAGTCAGAATGAACAATAGGGGTGACAACGGGCATCCTTGCCTTGTACCCTTTTGTATCTCTATAGCCCTTGTAAGTTCTCCATTAATTAAAATCATGGCTAATTGTCTTTGATAGATAATTGAGATTGCATTCATGAATTTTCCCCCAAACTCCATTTGAGCCATCTGTTGCTTCATGAATTGCCAATTAACATTATCAAAGGCTTTCTGGGCATCCAAAAACAGCAGAGCCATTGATTTTTCCATGTGTGTCTCATAATATTCTAGGATATCCAAGATAGTCCTCAGATTGTTCTTCATTTGTCTTTTAGGCAGGAAACCATTTTGGTCTGAATAAAGTCTATTAAATAAAGACTATTAAAATCTTCTTCAACCTTTCTGCCAGTATAGAGGCAAAAATTTTATAATCCACATTTAGTAATGCTATAGGTCTATAATTATGAATCTGTGTAAGTCCATATCTTCTTTCGGTATTAATGTGATATTTGCCTCTGTCCAAGTATCTGGTATTTTAGCATTTAACAGTGCTTCATTACATATATCTTTAAAAAATGTAGCAAAAACTCCCTCAAAAGATTTATAAAATTCAGCTGGTAGCCCATCCGGACCAGGGGTTTTATCGTTCTTTTGACACATAATTGCTTATGTTATTTCCATAGTTGTTACTTCTTGATTCAATAATTTTTGATACTTTTCTGGTAGTTTTGGTAAGTCTCCCTTTCGAATGTATTCTTTTGCCTTCTTGATCAGAATCTCCTTCTTTCGGTATAACCTTGCGAAAAAGTCTTCAACTATTTTCTTGATTTGTGTATTTTGTACCTGTAGTCGTCCTCCATCTTTCAGTTTCAAAATCAGTATCTTCTCTCTTTCTTTTTTTACTTTATATGCTAGCCATCTCCCCGGTTCATTAGCATTTTCAAAAAAATTCTGTTTGGCCAGTTTCATTTGCTTAGTAATTTCATTTGTATCCAAGAGATTCAATTTATGCTTTAAAGTATTCATTTGGACCCTAAGGTTTCTTTTTGTTGGATCCTCCTGCAGTTCTTGTTCCCGTTTCCTCAGTTCTTCTACTAATGTTGTTCACTCTTGCTTTTTCTTTTTATTTTTGCTAAGTTATTATTAGTCCCCTGACATAGGCTTTAGCTGTATCCCAGACATTCTGTAAAGAAGTTTCTTCTGCTTTGTTTATTTGAAAGAATATTTGCATTTCTTTGCTTATCTCTTCTCTAATTTTTTATCTTTTAGTAATGCTTTATCTAAGCTCCATCTGGGTGTCCTTGCAGCTCCTTTCAGTGATATAGATACAGGGTTATGGTCTGCCCAAACATTTGTCTCCATTTCAGCTTCTATTAAATCTGGAACTAAGTCTGGAGTTATCCAAACCATATCAATTCTAGACCATGACCTATGTGTGTTTGAGTAAAAAGAATAATTGGCAGAAGTTGGGTTTTTATGCCTCCAGGCATCTATCAATCTGAATTCTTCAATCAAGCTGGAACAAAACTTTGGAAGCATCTTCCTACCCTTTTTTCCCTTACTTTCACTCTTGTAATCGATTCCCTTATCCACAATTGCATTAAAATCACCCATTACACACATAGTCCGGTAGTCCACTTGCAAAAGTAATGTATGTAATTTTTGGTAAAAAGTTTCCTGATGGTCATTTGGTGCATATATTGCCACTAAGAGCACCTTTTTAAGTTTAATTGTAATTTCTACCATCAAGATCCTACCACCCTCATCAGCAAGAATATATTTAGGGTCCAATTTTTCTTTAACATATAATGCTAAACCTCTTTTCTTTTGCGATGCAGAAGATACAAACAATTTCCCCAGTTTTAAGCATTCCAGAAGTTTAACACATTGTTCCTTAATATGTGTTTCCTGTAAACAGATTATATCTAACTTTCGTTTTTGGAGTTGAGCAAAAATCCTTCTTCTCTTAGATGGTCCATTTAGTCCATTAACATTTAAGGAGAACAATTCAATTTTCCCTTCCTTTTTAAGAGCCATATTCAAATATAATTATCTACTTATTCTTTGCCTTTACAGTTCTACCTTTTCCCCCCCTTTGAGTCCAAAGTTTGTACTTCTTGTTGTGAATCAACCCTCAGTATTTCTCCTTCTTCAGAATGGTACACTGTTGTTTCCATTGCTTCGGCACCTTTTTCTCCTTCTTTAGAGATGACAGGATCCTCCTCTTCCAATATGGCTCTGAATTCCTCATAGAACTCTTGTGCTTTAAAAATTGAATCCAATTCTATCTTACAGAGTTCCACGTGAAAAATATTCCTTCTGGTATTAGCCAGCTAAAGATAATCTGTTTCTTGATGAGTTTGGTAGTAAGAAATAGATATTTCTTTTGTCCCTCTCTAATCCTCCATGGTATCTGTTTCAGGACCATCACCTCCTGACAATCATCTCTCTTTAACGGCTTCTCCCGTACGGCCTTCAAAACATTGTCTCTTATGGACCTTAGAGCAAATTTAACATGAATTTCTCTTGAAAGTTTTTTTTTTCTGGTATATGTGGAGTTGACCCTAAAAACAAGGTCAATTCCCATACCCATGACCTCATTTTCGATTTCTAAAAGCTCCGTCAACATGTCAGTTATAAGCTCTCATAGGTCTTCATTTTTCTCCTCAGGTATATTCTGAAATCTTAGATAATAAGATGCCTTCTCCATCTCTAATGCAGCCGTTGAATCTCATGTTGACTTATTTGTTTGCTTAATTAAGTACATTTCTTTATCTACTGTCTCCAATTTTTCACATACTTGTTGCATTTTTTGTGTATTCTGTTCCGCTTTAAGTCAAACATCAGATAGTTGAGTTGTCAGCTCTTTAATAGAATTATCCAATTTATCGAGTCATTCTTTTTGCTCATTTGATAAGCTTTCCAGCCGTGTTGACACAGTTGTTAAAGCCGCCTTTATCGCCAAAATCGTTGGTTGCAACTCTCTTAAACTTTTTGCAACATCTTCTGTCTTAGGCTGATGAATTGGACTTTGACCAACTGAGGAGGGTGCTGAAGAGGGCTGAGTTTTCCTCATAATGAAAGTTGTTCACCAAAGAAGTTTCAATATACCAAAAAAAAAAAAAGGAGGGGAGAAAAAAAAAAAATTTAAAAAAAAAATAAAAAAAAAAAAAAAAAAAAAAAAAGGAGGGGAGAAAAAATATAAATTGAATAAATCAGTAAAAAAAAAGAAGAAAAAAAGGAAATGACTTGCAATAATTCCAATAGCCACTGGGTGGCAGCAAATACTATTTAAAAAAAGGAAACAATGTCATCAGTGTCTTCTGGCAGAAGTCCCAGAAGGAATGGAAACTAGCCAAAAATGGCCGCCAGCTTAATTCCCCAATAGATGTTATTTACTTCTTCAAAGGGGGCTTTTCCTTCTTCTTTATGCCAAATAATAACAGATATTGTTTTTCCACAAGTAATATTGCAAAAAGTAAGTAAACATGCTCACCAGAAAGTCATCACAGCAGAGAAAAAAACACCACACAACACAAAAATTATCCTGGCAGATGTCCAGTTAGTCTTGGCAGAAGTTCAAGCAATTATCCAAAATGATCGCTCTGCATTTTACCGTTCTATCATTTAATTTCCACAGCAGTAATTTTCGCCCTTAGAGAGATTAGAAGAAAAATCTTTTTCTTTGGCTTCAACTCAGATAAAAGTCTTCCTTTCTCCTCCCTTTCAGTCGCCACTTAAAGACTTCGGGAGGGCTTTTTTTTTTCTTTTTTCTGAAGCCAATTATAAACAAATGTAGCTTTTCCACAGGTAGTATTGCAAAAATAAAAAAGAAATAAGAATGCTTACCAGCCGTCTGATGTTTATCTGGCTAAAATAAGCTAATTAATCCATCAGATGTCGAGATCTTGCAGGGGCTAAAACCCCGCTCCCCTGTGTTGCCCGGTTGAGAAATGCCTGTATTTCTCCCAGTGGATATGGGATTGCCGTCCCACACCAACCAAACGAATATCAGGCAAACTGTCTTCGCCTCAACAGGGCTTAGATGAGTCTCCCATGACTGCCGAGCAATACCGGAGTGATAACAGAGCTCTGTTAATCACAGCCGTCTCGTTCTGACACCATCCTTGTCTCCTATGCCAGTATTCTTAATGTATGATGAAACCTGTCAATTAGCAAATATTTCAGACTGCTGTTTGCGGAACTTAAGTCAAAACTTTTCTCTCATGAAGCACAAGAAAGTCATTTTATGGATACCATCTGGACTGTTTATAGATTCAGGGATATTCAGGGTATGATGAATGGACTTGCTCAGTAACTGAATTGTTCTAAAAAGAAAATTATTTTAATTTTGCAGGTCCTACTGCGCACAATTGGCATTACTGGTGCAAATATTCCTGTCCTCCCATTGAAGCAATATGATAATCAGGGAAGAAGAATGCCAATCAATGCATATTTGCTTGACTTTTATAAACATGGATCTTTGGTAGCAATGAATCAGGACAATGGGTAGGTAACTTTCTTTCTGACTTATTTCATTATCAATATAATAATCAAAATACTGAATGCATTGCATATACTGAATTTAATTTGCTTTTCATGTAACATTGGTTGTGTGTTAATTAATCTACAAATGGTTGATATCTAGTAGGAATGAGCTGTGTCCAATGTGCTCATCACTTCCTTTTTTACAGTCCATAGGTTAACTATGGATTGCTTAACAACCCAGATTTTTTTTATGTTCCACCTCTCACTAACAACGTATAAAGAGGAGGATCATAGGATCATTTTTTAGTAAATGAAAGTGGAACTGACAAGTGTGCTGGAGGAAGCATGCTACTCATTTCCGCTGGATCTTGGAAAATTAACCCATGGTCGCCATTAAATGCAATTCAGGCCATAATTGTCATCCATGCTTCATAATGTCCCTATCTCTGTAAGATGCAATCTTTTCTTTTGGTTTTATATGCACTCCTAAGCATTATGTCCAAAATCCTGAGTCCCACAGTATAAATTGAGCTTTTGAATACACCAAAGGCTATATTTTTTGTACGTTTTACTTCATCAGTCCCACCAGAATGTAAATGAAACTAAATGCAAAGATTCCCGATGGTTAGTTTCTCCTGAACATATGTGCAAAGAAGTTTCTCTTTATGAGAGAAAGATGCCATGAATAAGTAGGTGAAATATTCAAAAGAATATGAAATATATAACTTTATAAATATACTTTCTCTTAGTATACATGAGGGAGAAGCTTATGTTTTACTGAAGGATTTTTGCCTCGTTCTTCAAGCAATCAGGTAAGCAAAACATAGCAACATACTGTATTTTCAATGAATAGTTGCTTGTTCATTCTTTAGAACAATTTAACAGATGTATTGACAGCTTGAACCCTACCATGGCACTAAAAACTGCTTTTGGTGACTTCTCGGCTTGGCCTTTTCTAACATGCCCTAGTTCCGCCAGTTGTAGCACAGTTCGGTCATACTCTTCCTTTTGTTTACATACTTGGGGATGGTTCTAAGCCAGTTGTTTATCCAGTGGGATGGATACCACGTGCAAAATAGAACTCCCTCCCTCCCCCTCCTCTAAATCTGATTTAGAGGGTTTCCTAACCTTCTGAAGCAGATTTGAAGGGTCCATGGAGAACTGCAAGGTGGAGGAGTAGAGTACTCTTTGTTTGGCAGTGGAACCATGATCTTGAATCGAACCCAGTGAGAGTAGGTGTTCATGGAGCTCTGTTAAGCAGTCTAGCTGACAAGAACCTTCCACATTTGACTCAGTTGTTTCTCCAGACATATATCTGCACTGCTTACCATTGTAGTTAGCAACTGTTGGGGTAACTATTGAACCTTAATATCTAATTTTGAAAACCAAAACTACATCCACATGGTTCAAAAAGCAATACAAGACTGACCTTGCCATGGAAAGGGCAAAACGGCTTTCTTTAGAAAGCACCATAAACATTTTCTTCAGACATTAGCTTTGAGTTAAAATGGACTTAACTTTGAATTGTGCATAGGACTGTACCCACCCCCCACAAGTTTACCAAGATATAGTTCTTTTAAAAAACATTTCTGCTGTAGGGTCTGCTTGCATGATCCGTTCTTCAATGCAAAAAAAGAAAAAAAGTCTATCATAGCAGCATCTTATCACTTCATAGGTATAGGAGAAGTCAGCAATTACATCCTTATAGGAAGCCCTGTTAGTCCCTTGGTTCATAAGAATACTGATAGGCAAGTGTATCCATGTATTGATAGCACATGAACATAGGATGTTTTAAAGACAGGAAGGCTACAGTCATCTATCCACTTATCTGGGAGCAAGCCCCATTGAGCTCCAATCAATACACATGGCTAGGACAAATATTTTGCTCTTCCAAGAAGATAAAAGATTTCACTGAGATAAAGCTGGCCAGCCAAATTGGCCTGGTGATACAGCAGGTGTATTGTAGAAGTTATTAGCAACAAGGCACTTCAAGTAATGAGAGAGTCAATAAACTGATTCCAGGCCAAATCCTTCTCCTTCCTTCTCAACCAGAGTTCGTTTCACTCTCAGGCAGGTTTCTGCCACTTGTTGCCAAGATGGTGGGAATGCTGGACATCACTCAGCTGGGTAGCTTACATTGGCTTTGGATGACTGGACTTAATAAATTATGTCCCTCCACATAATTATGAACAGGTCCTTCCTGTTCAACAGTGTCTCCCCTGAACTAGATGTGGTCTGATTCTCACCAGTCACTTGGCTTATTTTGGATCTTGGTCACCTTGATATTTCAGTCCAGCATTCCCACTCTTCTTTTTCCTGTTCAGATAGAGTCTGAAGTAATCATCTTGGTATTTTAGGAGTAGTTCTGTCAGGATGCATATCTGGATAATTTTTCTGCTTTAGCTATATCATTGCAAACTATGTGTGCACCACTCCAGCTAAAGTATATTGCCAATATTAGAACAGAAAAATTGTGGCAAAATGGAGCATTGCCTCGTTTTGGGATTATCATGAAACACTGCTCACTGCAGGCAGATGCCATGTGCACATATCTGAAGGAAATAAAGCTGACACTTGTGAGAATAAAGTCAAGGTCAAATTATGTAGTGGCTGCAACACCAGGTTTGATAGTGATGTTGTAGATTAGATCTGTAGAGAGAACTTTTGCTATATTCATTGTTATGAGATCTTACTGTAAAAGGGGCATATTATCAGTGCAACATTCTTTGTGTCTTTAATTTTTGACTGAAATGATTTAGTTGAAGGCTATGTCTAAGACTGCAGGTATTTTCCCAGTGGTGGTAGAAGAGTAATTATATTGTAGCTGGCATAAAAGATGCTTTGAAAGATTGTGCCCAGGAAAATTGCTCCCAGAATTGCTCCTAGAAGACTCAGCTGTGGGACATTTCTGTGTAAGAGGGTCCCATAGAGGGAAGTGAGCCGTTATCCCAGCAGCAGGTGCTTTAAACTATTTCCACCCTCTAGTAGAGTTTACATCTTTACAGCAAACTGTGCCAGAGAAGTATGTTGAAAAGCTGTTCCTGGAAAAACTAGGAATATCAGCTGTTTCCCTGCCCTGTTTTTGTAGGGAATCTTTGGGATAAGAGAGTCCTCTGTGGAGCTAGGAGTTTAACCCTACTCCACAATTTTCCAGGAATTAACTTTGAGGAGTAGTAAATTCCAAAACCTTCTCAAACTTTGATTTTAATTGGTTCTGGAAAAGAATTCAAGAGCTTTATGCTTACCATTCCTTTAAGATGAGAGCCCAGTGAATTTTTCCAGGATCCTACATACGAGCATCACCATTAAATACAACAAACCGCCTTTCATGTACACTTCATGTTCACGCTTTTAATAGCCACCATTTCTCCTCTTTCCCAGTGTTTCTCTGCGTGAAATCTGTGACAATGAGGATGATCATGTTGTACAAGCATTTGAACAATTAAGTGAAATTTTCTGGGAGAAACTGAACAAAGTGTGAAGAGAATTTTTTATAAACCGGCTTGGAAATGGTACTTAACTCCAGTTAAATTGAATTACATGAATAATGAATATTCCAACATGTGCTGAAGATGCAACCAAGAAGTGGGGACATATTTCATATGTTGTGGAACTGTAAATATATGAGTTTGGGGAAATGATTTTTAAAGAAATTGGAAAAATATTGAATTTAAATATTAGAGGTTGACCCTGGATTTATCATTATTATTCAGAGAATAGATGGGATAAAATACTAAAGAACTGATGATAAATTAACAGCAGTAAGATTAATAATATCAAGGAATTGGAAAACAAAAGGTGAATATCATATAGTAGACTGGTATAAATAAGTCTGGAATATAGCTATTAATAAGTTAACTATGATATTAAATGGAAAAAAGTTTGGACAAGTGAAAATAAATTATGAAAGTATTTGTAAACCTTTTATTGAATATATTTTAATAAAAGGAAAGGGGTGTGAACCACCGCGAGAGTCAATTCAGTACTGGAAGGAAAGTTGGACAACCTGAATGAATAAATTATCTTACGTTAATTAGAGTTGTTGGTCCTGATGGAGGTAACACCGATGTTGATGTGTTGTTTGATCAGTGATGTTTAGTCATCATTGTTCTTATTGTGTTAAATGTATTTTCTTAGTTGAAAAAACTGAAAGTTTATTTTTTAAAAACTGAACAATGTGTAAGGATAAAACAATAAATCAAACTTTTGGTCTGTTGAAGATGGAAACTGCTTTGCAGAAGGGTAGCACTTTATATTGTTGTGAACTGTCCAGGTAGCTTCTGCTGTTGGGAGATTTAGAAATGTACTAAAACATTTGTATCAAATTAGAATCAGTCACTCATTTGCTGAATATATAGAATCAGCTTATGTATATTTTAAAGATTTTACACTCATCATGTACAAGCGAGACTCAACAAAATATTGCAGAGAAATTCACAGGAAGGAATGATTGGTGGAAGCAATGAATAGTTGAACTGTATATAAGAACTGAGCGGGGAGCATTAAGCATTACAAATGGATAGGTGGAGGGAAGGATAGGATTCCAAGAAAACTTGCATTGTCTTTAGAAAAACAGTGCATTAAAGTGGAAAGGAACAACAGGCACCCCACCTCATTTTTCCAACATGAAGTGATTTGCTAGGGAATGGTTGAAAAAGAAACCATAACCAGTTGTACAATGTATCTTCACTGCTGGAAAGCATGTGAAAAGGCATGGATTAAGCTCCATCTGTAGAACTTTTTAAACAGCAAGGGGATGAGAAGAAATTTCAAGTCAAAATGTGATTTCTTCATTAAAATTAGCCTGTTGACCTAAATCACTTACACCCACATATTTCTGTATATAAATATTAAAATAAGCGAACTTAGGTTCAATATTTAAATGCCACAATAGGTAGAAATGTAATTAAACTCACTACTATGGGTCTTGAATTGTTAGCTCCTATACATTTGTGGCATTTATTTTTCTTATTTCTATTTTGCCTTTTTCTGCAAATAACCCAAGGTGACTTACATAATTCTCCTCACAAGGTAATTCTGTGAAGTAAATTAGGCTGAGAGTCAGTGACTGTTCCAAAGTCATGCAGTGAGCTTCATGGCTGAATGGGAACTAAAACCTGGATCTCCTGAATACCAATCTAGTACTCTAACCACTGGATCACACTGGTTACTATATTTTATCTTCATTTTCAGCCAAAACTGGCTCAAAAGTAATGCAGTTAAAATCAGTGGATGAGCCATTTCTATAGGTTGGCATCTTTTCAGTCAGCCAGCTTCCAGTTTCTCAACATCACCACTTCTAGACTTGTGACCGGAACCAAAATACTGCACTATATATTTCCCATCTTCCTATTAGAATTCTACTGTTGTATGCATTTTAATTGCAAGTCATTGGGATTGCAATGCTAGCTGGAAATAGGATATAAATATAAAATGCATCACAAAATACAATATTTTAGAGTTTTATGGAGGAAAGCCCTATCTTTGTACTTCAGTGACTCTTCTGGTTCTTTGATTCTTGTCTTAGTTTAGACATGCATGAATCAGTGCATACAGATTGAGCCACTTATAGACTGTTGAGAATAGTGTTTGAGTGTTCTAAATGTTAAGTCATTGCTCTTACCTTTTTCTTACTGCTTTTATTGAACTGCTGAGTTCTACAGCTTCTCTACCACTCAAGAAGGGCTTCAGTAGCAGCCCTTCACAAAAAACAACAGCACACATCATCCTGAGGGAACCAGTTGATATATGCAAGATGCATGGAAACAGATGGCAGTTTTATGCGCAAAAATATGGATTTTTAGCAGGGCAATTGATACAGACCAAAAAGCAGGGTAGAGTCTTTGAACACATAGTCTTCCAAAAAGAAATACCAACTTTGGACAGTAATGAACAGATGTACTGCAGTCTCCCACTTGCTTTCCTTTAAAGCCCATTTCAAATGAGTGCTGTTTGACTGAAGGTAGCATCCTCTCTCTCACACCAAAATGGTAGGTGGCAGAAGGATCCTTGGAAAAGATGGACAAGTACCTAAACCTTTAATCCAGGAACATGGGACACTTTCTCTTGGTGTCTCATTGGATTCCAGTTTTGTGAAGGAGTGTTCCATTTCAAGCATGGAATGCACTGATGCTGACAGCTTGACAAGCTCTGCTGGCAGTGCAGAAGGTAATGACAGTAATATAAAGATGGGGCTTAAAAGTTAAAATATGATGGGCAGGAGCTATTGGAAAGTCAAGTGCAAACTGCTCCTTGCACCCCAGCAAAAAAATAGGATATTCTTAGTATATACACTCAGCAATTTTTAGAAGCCTTATTAGGGTGAGAGATGTAGAGAAAACTGTCTCAGACTGGTCATATTTAGACAAGTTAACCCACCATGGCAATAAACCACAGGATGGATTTGTCTCCCTCTCGGTCTACCAGCCAGTCTACCTCAGTGAACTTGACAGCTGAAGAATTCATGCCTCACTCCTTCCATATCACATAATCACAAGCTCTTTTTTTACTTGCTGCAGCGCTTTCCCTTTTATTTTGGGGTGGGGATGGGAGTGGGATTGCAAACAACGAAAGGCCTTCCAAAGTGGAAAAGCAGGACACTGGAAGGACTGTCACTAGCTGGTACTCCCTTTAACCCCCTCCCCACGAGGAAGCACAATTTTTTCATTAAAAAATAATATAGTTGTATATGTGCAACTGCAGAGTTCTGCAGATCTAAAAATGGGAAACTTCACTTGAGCAGTGTTCAGGGGGTACTTGCTGTCAAGTACAGCTGCAACTAACACTGGATATTAGCACAGAGAAACACCTCACATGATCTTCTGTACATTCCTGAGACTTAAGTGCTTGGAAAAAGTAGAAGAGTGCACATACTGCCTTTTTGCTAACGCTTGTTCCCATCTCATGTCATTAGGGGGTATCCTTGAAAACTAGGTTTTAGGCAAGGCTAAACAGGGCAGTTTGGTTTGGATAGGAAATTAGATTATGACAAGAAATAACGCCTTAACGTACATCACTGATGTGTATCTGTTTTCATTTTTCTTAAATATGTAAAAAAAGGTATACAATTCACATCAGAATTTATTTTATGAAAATTAGAGTGCTATTGCCACATGTTACTCAGCTTTACAAAAGAAGTACATTGTGTAAAAAATACTGGGTACTACATTATTAAGCACCACATCTTCAAGCTTGAGCTCCTAGCACACTTTGTGTACTGCTTCTTGAGCGATGTAGGAATGAATTGAATGCCTTACTAATTCAAAGGTCTTCCACATAATTCTGTAATGCTGAGAAAGGAAGAATATTCTGCAGATATGTAGCGAAGGAAAAATGCTGGTTATAATGAATTATGAGAATCCTGTAGGAACAGCTTTCTACAGTACTAGACATATACAACTCAGAAGTTGTAACAATGGCTCAACAATCCCAGTTTCAAAACCAATGTTGATGAAGTTGGGAATTAGAATCATACATTTCACCAGCCTTCCCGCCTGAGTGTGGACCTCTATCTAATTAAAGCAGTTTCCTATCATACTGGCAACAAGAAAATGCAGATTCATATTGGCAGTTTAAACCATGATTCCAGATACTGCTTGGTAAACCAACATTTAGGACACAATTCCATTACACTCACTCAGGTTTACATGCATACTACATCCTAAACAGGGTGCAGCAATGGCAATTTCTGCCCATCCTGCAGCTTGGTTTTTATCTAGATAGCTGAAGGCTATTCAGTTAAATTGCTGGTGAGGGGGAGGGAAGCAAGCAAGAACACTGATAGGAATCAGTGTAAGTTTTCAGGTCTAGCCATTTCCCCACTTGGCCCTGGCATACCTCCTCTTCTCACCTCCAAGGAGTATTTGCATCCTTAGAGAGGCAGCTGGTACAGTTCTTTCTACACCAGCTGGAAGTGGAGGCATGGTAGGGGCTCAGTCTTCAGAGCACTAGTTCCAAGAACTTAGGATTGCAGAGGAGGGACTGATAAACCCTGGGAGGCCATAGGGTTGCAACCTAAACCACAGTTCACATTTTGGTCACACCAGAATAGTATATTACTGAAGGTTTACATAGCTATAGGTTCATAGGGATAGTTACATTTTAAATAATGCCACTGATATAAAAAAAAACTATTCCAGATGAAGTAAGACGAACAACTCATATAGATGCCATGTACTTCAGAATAATATACTAAGTTATATCAAACATATCTCAATCTAGTATTAGGTGTGACCACATTGCTCCTTAGCAATACTAATTACTCAAGATTTACTGAATTTAGTTCATTCTTCCACTTTATTCTGTTGCATGTACTCAGTTTTTAATTAGGCAATATTTTATCTTCAGCAAGACAAAAATATTCTGATGCACTACTAGAGTCACTACTGTTTGATGCTTGACTTAGATCTTCTACATCAGAATCTGAATTTACTGTACAACTTGCTGCACTGGTCACTGAAGGAGATCGTCTATGGTCTTCCACATGTGCTGAAGCATTTTCTAACGGACTGCTAACATCAGTAGGAACAGATGAAACTGAAGTGCTGTTTGCAAGGGGATCACAGCCCACAGGTTGCTGAGAGACAAGGACATTATCAGTTTCTGATTTCAGACAGTTTCTGATTTCAGACACTGAGAATGATGAAGAATGGCACATCAGGTCTTTCACTTCTTGATAAAAAGGTACATCATTTCTTAAAGGCACAGATTTTTTTGCAGTTGAATTTTTTTCGGTTGCTTTCACTGTTTTCTCATGTGCACATTCAGTTTTATTACAAGGGATAATGGAGGAGGCAAAAGTGCCACAACTATTTTTGATACATCCTTTAAAAGAAAACAGATTTGGAGCATTGTTTATGTATGAATGATTGGGAACGGTAACACAAGGTGCAGTCTGCTTGTCAGAAGCATAACTGAAAATGGCATTAGAGTCATCTACTAAATGCTTAGGACAGCCTTCTGCAGAAGTGAGCCAACTGCGCCTTGGAGTACTCTCCTTATTGAAGCAGGTATCTGTTTTCCCTTGCTCTATCTTCTGAATAGGAAGTGATACTGAACACGAGGTTTGTTCTGAAAAGTTCGGTTTAGTTGTTTGAAAACAATCATTCTCAAGTTTGGTAGAAAAAGCTGGGATTAATAGATTCCCACTTCCTGCTGGTTTAGCGCTGCTGGTAGTGGTAGTGATACTATTAATAGCAGTAGTAGAGACTGAATCATATCCATTTGCGTTATTTTTAATGTTGCATTCTTGGCTTTTAGATTGTACCAGAAAAAGAGTGGAGGAAACTGAATTATATTTTTCGACAGACGTAGGTGAGCTTTTATTTGCTCCAACCACCATCATATTGCCACTTGAACTAGAAACAGAAACTGGAGTTTGACTTTCCATAATACTACATTTGAAATATGGACTTAAATTAGCGCTTGGTAGTGCTGTTGGCTGAGATATATTTGGGAACATGGTAAATGAGAACATGGTTTCCGAAGGAAGAGTTACTGTTGGAAGTGCAAGAACTGTGTCCTTTTCAAAACAGCTCTTGGTTCTTTCTGATGGAAAAGTTTCCTTGCTATCTTTCTGGGATCCTTGCACATTCAGTAGATTAAAATTATTGTTTGAGCCAGAGAAATTAAAGTTCATAGCTTGTGTTTTGAAGGAAAAACCTGGTAAATCAGGGGAACTAGTTTCTTTGACTGCCTTTCTTTGTAATAATTGCCGTCTCATTTTCTTCTGGTTATTTGCTTTAGTATTAAGGCAAGAAGGTATAACTTCTAAAGTTGCGTTTTTTGAAGACTGAAGTTTTGGCTGTGTATACCTTTCATTTAGAAGTAAGGTTTGTGTCTGTAATTTATCTGAATACATTTGATGTTTCATGTAATAATTATAACGAACCTCCTAAAATCAAAGAAGATACCGATATTTAGTACAAGGAATAATTAGTACAAGGACATAAAAACCCCACTAACTTGTTTTTCAATTACTACTTCAGCAAATACATTTAGATTTATCTAAAGACCGGATCTTCATACTTGGGGTCGAGACCCAGGACTGGGTCATGGGCTCCTCCAAACTGGGTTGCATATTGGCCAGAAAGAAAAAACTAAAAATAGCACTTGGGGACTTTTCCCCACCATCCTGAAGTTAAAAAAAATCACTGCTGTTCCTGCCCTCCAGAGCCAGACAGACATATTTGGACAGGCTTCCATGTATAAAATTACAAATTAAACAAGTTATCAGAAGATTAAACATACGAACTTACCTCAGGACTCATGCTTCTAAAATCAGTAGTTGCAGAAATCGACATAAATCGAGTAGCAATGTGCCTACCACTAGGCAAAATATCCTCTCCTTCCACTGGCTAAAAAGATATTTAAGTAAAATACTGTTCTGATAAATCAGATTAAAAGTAACACACAATGTTACTTAACATTCACTAAATAAGGCAACTTACACAGAATGTATTCTGTTTGTTTTTCTTAGCTTCCCATTTACTTCCAGGACTTTGAAATATAGAAAGTTTACTACCTCTGGAAAAAGTTTCTGCTTTTAAGAAAGAAGGTAAAAGAGCACGTTATAAAGTATGGAAAGAACTCTTGAATATTTACATGTAAACATTTGCTGAGAATATAAAAATGAAATAGTTTCAGCATTTCCACTTTTACAAATTAAAGGGACAATCAAAATTCATAGTGCTCAGCAATAGATATCTATTCATTTTAGGCGCTCATATCATGGTAAGCCATCCAAGAAAAAAGCCATGGTAGGTGGCTGTTCATTCAGTAACTCACATTACGCTGCACAAACAAATAACTGGGTGCTCTGTGGCTTTCCATTGCTTGTCTCCCCCTTAGCTTCACAGTCTGCTCCCTGCATAGATCTCTGTTCCCCTTACAGCACAGCCCGTCTCATATCCTTGTTCTTTTGAATGGAACATTTTCTGGTTTCCACACCACTTAGATCACTATACCTTTTCTGAACAATTTTTCCATTAATAGCGTTTTAGAAGTATACAAATTGATTTGGGCTTTATTTCTATTTTTCTTTCATTCACATTTCTCCATTATTGACTTTGTAACTTATCAAAAGCACAGGTCATTATTCTCTCTGTACTTGTTGAAATCCCACTTATATATTTCATATTCTCCCACTATTATAGCCTACACTGACACCTGTTAATGTTTTCCCTCCAATTTGGTACCTTCCTTGAACTATTGGAGTTATTGGTGCAGATGGGTGCAATTACTGCAGAGTACAGAGCAAGCACTGCTGCAATATGGCTGTACTTTTGGTACAAATGCATTTGCTTGCTGTGGGCCTTTTCCCCTGTTGTTTGCATGAGTTACAGACTTTCCTAAGTGTCCTGCATTGGTGGATAGGTGGGCATCACTGACAAGGTGGGGTGGGGTGGTAGTGAGGATAGGGAATTTTTTTTCACTGCTTTTACCAGGTGATTCTGCAGCAACTTGGGACAAGCCATGGAGAACCTACTGTGCAAAATTCACATGTTAGAAGTCACCCTGAAAACAAACCACCTTAACCCAACAGCAAACCATGGGTTCTTAGAGTGACTTGCAGAGCATAGTTAATAAACCACTCTGAAGAAACTGGGCCAAACTGCTCTGAAACAAACAAGGGTGAAAAACAATTATGGCTGTGTTGTACAAACCAAGTCACTGTGTATTATAAAATAAGAAAAATCCTAATTTGAAAATAGCTTCATACCTTTTGCAGCATCTGAATTAACAGAAGTGAGATTCAAAGCTAAGATATCCTTAACTAAAGAAGTAGTATCAATTTGCATTTGTCTGCATTCTGGTTGGCTTTCATCCTGGTCAGATGATAACTGTATCAGGTCAAGCTGAGTGATCATTCTGTAAATATAATTTAATATACAGTGAAAGTACCGTTCCTGTTGCTTCAGATTTAGTTAACTATATAAATGTTCAGAAAACATGACAGCCAAGAGAATAGATGGAACTAGGTCTTGAAACTTTGTGAACTCTCAAAAAACCCTTTTGGTGATAGCAACCTTGGAGTGGAATGCCCTACCCAATCTCATCTGACGTCTACACTGTGGTTTTGAAGGCAGGTGAAGACCTTATTTTCCTAGTTTTTTTAGTTCTTCGACTTTTAAATTGTGGTGTAGTAGCTTTACATCTTTATCTAAAATAGAGATAAAGATCTACAGCAGTAGAGAAAGAACTTTTTCTTCATTTGATTCTGTTTTAAACTTTTTATATCATGTATTTCCCTGCTATCTTCTAATTTTTTAAATGTCCAGAGAGCCTTCACTATTGAATAATGTGCCTTCACTGCATTGTACTAAATAAAAATGTAACTAATGCATGTAACAATGTACCTTCACTACACTGTAATAAATAAAACTGTAACTAATGCATGTAACACTGTAGCAAGATCCAACATCTCTAGGAACAGGTCCCCTGGCCTCATTTATGCACACATATTCCTGATCTTCACTGAATCCAGAGCTGGATCCAGGAGTACACCAAAACTGTAAACCCGATTTTTGAAGGGAAATGTAACTCAAGCACAGGTAAAATTCTTATTCCCTGATGTGTCTTCTGGTTGACCAGGATTAGTCTTCAATCTGCTTGCCTTCATTTAGTTCATTAGCAACTTCCTTGGATTTAGATAGCAAGGAATGACTGAATACAGTGGCACCAAACTCCAGACAAACTATCCCAGCATTTTACAGTATATATTAAATTGTATGGGAGTCACCAAAGGCCAACAGCTATGGCCCTGAACAGGTATCACCTAGAATTATCTTCTGAAACAAATATCAAAGCTGCTATAAACCATGCCTTCAAGTTGCAACCCAGCTAGGAGGAGGTCGTGCTTGGTGGTGAAAGCTCCCAAGAAGTATTTTCCCATTCCACGTCTAGATATGGATTATCTTGCAAGGCAACCTAAGAGAATCTGCTCCAAAGCCAGGCCTGAAGCAACACTGAAATGGATATAGATAAATCTACCTTATCCAGAAACTCCTGGAGCAGAGATGCCACAAGATGTGCAAAAAGACACATACAACTTAGACTAATGCTAGAATTTGGGGTATGTATTTGGAAAGTTTATCCTTCAGAGAAACTAAATGATTCCAGTTGTGTAAAGAAATGAGCATAACCAAACCCATCCTAGAACAAGCAGTATCAGCATATTAGATATTATTTTACTATCCTGATGCAGAACTGCTCAAGTATTTTAGCAAGAAGGTTTATAGAGAAGTGTGGTGGCAAAAAATGGCCATGGAATTAACTCAATTCTGTAATATTACATTTTGTCTCTCATGTACTACTACTGTAATGTAGTACATTACATGAATAATATACTACTCAGTAAATAGGGCTTTTCTGTACACACTGACCTAAAGAGCAACTTGCTGTCTTCCAGCAGTTAGCTGTTGGACTACAACTTCCTTTAAGCCCTAGGTAGTATTTCCAACAGTGCGCAATGATGGAATTTGCAGTCCAACATCTGGAGAGCCATAAACTACCCAGACTTCACCTATGGGAAGCCATAGAGTAAAAATTAATTATAGTTACCTTTTATTTTTGTACTCATTAAAGAGCACATGATTATGTATAACGGAAAGTTACATTTACGCAAAAGATAATTTTTTGTGTCTACTCCAATGCTACTAGTATCTTTTAATCACCTTACTAAAAAGGAGAACAGCAACTTTCATGTGTGCATAATACACTCACCTTTGATTCAAGCTGCATGCAACCTGTGAATTAAGCAAAACAGAATGAAAAGCTTTTCAATCATTACTAGAATACTTCTCAGAAATTAGAAATATACACTATAATTTCAGCACAGAACACAAGAAACACATTTGGGAAGGAACATCTGCTATTTGATTCTTTGCTTGAACAAGCATGTCTCATGATTCTTTTACAGAGCCTAGGTCTATCTAACAGCAGGATTCTGCAAACACACTTGCTAGACAGTTTTATATTTAATTCTAGCAGCCAAAATAATTCACCTTTGCCCTGCATTGAGCAACAACAGAAAGCCAACTGTAATAGCAGCCTTGATTTCAATCCCTGACCATTTGCCTAATGAACAGATCCCAGAAGATGAAAGGGCCAAATGAAACTTTTTCATGCGAATACCTCTTAATACATGGATATCTTTTATCTACATCTTAATCACAGGATATTTTCAATAATGCTTTCTCCCATGCTGCTCACCCAGTGCTTTCAACATCAGAGACTCTGCTGTGCCCCATCACTTGCAGGAGTCTGCCTGGTTTGACCACAACACTGTGCCTTTTTTATCACTACATCTGAACGATGTAAATCCTTGCCTTGAGAACGGTTTGCTTAGTTTCCTCCTTTAAGCTTCAGGAAAATGTCATTTTATCCACTTTCTAGGGTGGGCTCAAGTTATAATTATGTTTTTATGTTGTTTTATCCTGAATTTGTTTTTATTATGAGAAACTGATTTCAGAAACTATTAATTTATATACATAAAGTCCAAGCAGCACAAAAGATTAAAGACAAATGTGGTATAGCTCCTTCTTTATTGAGATTGTCATGTTGCTGTTCCTATTTTCCTGTGAGCTGCAGAGAGATCCCCTGGCTACAGGGCTACATACAAATACAATAAGCAAACTTTTTAAAAAAATCAAATGGATCTTTATCAAGCCCTGTGCAGTTTTATGTTAGTAGGTGCACTGCCAACAATGAAATAGTTGGAGTGTCAGTTTTCATGGACAACCACTCCAAATTCAACCAGAAAGATAAAACAAGAAACTATTATACTCTTTTAACTATCTTGTAGCAAGGAACAGGATACAGATTTAGAACAACATTAATATTACAGTTTTTTTGCTGTTCTAAAATATGGACTAACAGAAAAATCCTATTCTCCCAGTCATTAATTGATATGGTGAATCCACGTAACATAATTAAAATGCTTTCACCTCTAAGAAACGTTGGGGATCACACTCATCTAAAAGCTTTTCACAGTCAGTCAGAACATTTTCAATGGTTTTCCTGTGTGCTTCCTTTGTTTTCTTCCATACTAGATTCTCCTTCTCTTTCCTTGTCTTTTGGATTTCAAGGTCTTCAAGCAGCTGTTTTTTCCTCATTTCCAGAGCATTATGAACTTTTTCAAATTCAGTTTCAATTAACTCCTTTTCATGCTTCTAAAATAGTATTATATTAACAAACAATAAATGTACAGCCCATTAAGCATGAAGTTCATACTTTGCTGTATGGAAAAAAAACCCGTCACACAGATGAAGGCAGAACTGGCGGGGGAGGGGATTAAAATTGCAAGAATGAGCAACAAATTAAAAAAAAAAAACAAGCATGAATGCAAAGCAAAAACTTAATACTAGAGTAATACTTTCAACATTTGATGGACAGAAATGATCAAACCTAGTACCTAATATCTTCATTATCCCCACCAATCACTGCCAATGGTCCATGATGGCAGGACTTGTAGACAACCTCTGGAGGTATCCAGTTTTGGAGTAGACTTTAGTCATTGAAACATGATGTTGAGTAAACGCGATTACCTCAATGCAGTCTAGCTGAGGCTGCCTTTGAAAAACATTTTGGCAGCTACAATGAGATAAGATCAAGCTGCCAGATCATTAACTGACACGGGCCACATGGAATATATTATGCTAATCTTAAATAACTTCATTGATTCCTAGTTGGTTTCTGCGTCCAGGATAACCAAAAGTTTCAAGGGAATGGCAACAGATTCCTTCACATTTGAAAATTATGGAATGTATCACTTGGAGGTGTTTCAACACCATAAAGATTCTGGAACTCTCTCCTCCATCCTCTCTTTTGTTGTTAGGGAAAACCTCATTAGCTCTCAGGAATGTAAACCCTTTTAGTACTCGAGTGAAAACTGCTTTCTGATTTCTCCTGTCCTGCAGAACATTTAGATGGGCAATTTCAGCTAAATTTTGTGTCCTGGAACATCAGGAAAGGAGACCAAGGCATCACCAGGTAACTCATGGTGGTGCCAGTGTCCTTCTTTCCCCTGGAATGCCCACTCAAGCCCTTCTCTGAGGTCATGTTTACAACTTCAGAGAAGCAGCAAAAAAATCCAAATTATCCTATGATCATTTAGATATTCTATAACAGCCATATGACTGCACTGTTAATTTTCTGTTAACATCCTGTACTGGATCGTTGGCTACCTTGAGGAGCCTTTTTGGCTCAGAAAGAGAGGATACCAGTATTTTAGAAATTAGACAACACCTCTTTTTATTACAAAGCACACTCAGTAGTGAGGAACTGTATCTCATTCTCTCCATAATTCAAAGAAAATGAGGAAGTGATGTCTCTTATACTGAGTCCATGTTCATTTTCAACATCTGGTACACATGTTGGCCAGCAATAGATGCAAGTATGCACATTTCAAAGCAAGAAGGAAAAGGCAAAAGCATGATTATCCAAAAACTGCCATTCAACATTTTTAACGTTCTTGCAAATGACTTTAAAAATATGTTGCTGCTAAGGAAAGAGAAAACAAGAATAACTTAAATAGTGTTATTCACTGACTAATACTTAGTTCAAAGAATGCTTATAAACTGTTTTGAGTTTTAAAAAAGATGCAACAAGTTCTTGCCATCTGATTTGTATCTAATGATAAGAAACAATTATGACTGCTTGTTCAGATATGGTTACACAACTGAAGGTGCAATCCTATGCATGTTTAGATAGAAAAAGCTAGGCTGGCTAGGGACATAGGCCTCTTTTGTAAATATGCATAGGATTCTGCTCTGAATGACTTAAATCATGGATGTCCATCAAATATAAAGCAAGACATATATGCAAGATCTTGTTAGATGGTTTTGTTGTTTGTATGGATGAATTCAATAGAACTTCCATGCTTGTACCTTTTTCAATCTGATGACAATCTTTAATTGACGATCAGCACAATACAAAGAACCCACCCAACATCTGACCCTGGATTACTCACTTGGATTCCTGATTTCAGCTGTTTAGTGTTTTGCCTTGAAGAATGAACGCAGGAGACTAAAAAAACTGCCAGGATAGTTCATATATGCTGGTCAAGCCTACCTCCTCCCACTGCAACTTCAGCATCACAGCCAACATGGTTCTTTTTGTAGCAGCTGTAGGGGTACTTTGGAGGAAGGGGCCTCTGATCGTGAAGTTCCAGCTCTGGCCTTAGTGCAAGTTTCCAAGGTTGGAACTAGGATGCTGAAAAATTCTGTGGCCATCTAGACTTTGGATAGCAGACACAGAATTATACCCTCTGTGTTTTGAAGTGATGGCTTTCATTCCTATGTTCGCTCAGTTGCAGACAAGTCATGAATGTGTAAATGACTCTAATAGTAATATACTCATCCATTTATTTGATACTGGTCACTTAATTCATGGAGCATATAGTACAATCATGTTTTTATGACCACAAAAAGGGTAATTTTGGCTTTTAAAGTATTTAGCATGACATACAGAACTGAACCAGGGGAACTGTAATTGAAATCTTAACTGAACTTTACTTCAACCTGAATAATACTGTCTTTTTCTATGCTTTAATCATGTCCCCTTTTTCATGCTTCCTTCTTCCCTTACTTGTTCCCAGTGTCTATTTTTAGTACATAACCTTCTCAAAACAGTTTTGTAAAGTACCATATATAAGTGTGTTGTATCAATTTAAATGATAAGATAAATTTGAGACATACTCAACCTTGGATTTGGGGGAAAAGGTTTCCTTCCAAAAAAGCAGAGTAAAGTAGCTATATATTGGGATCTGTTGAACCCCATATTGGACTAACAAATGTAGACTAACTTATTAGACTACTAAGATTGTATTACTTTCAGCTTACCTCTGCATCAATTTGAGGAACTGTTATTTCCTTCTTCAGAGTTAGATGTAATTCTCTTATTTTCTTCAAGTTACTAAAGAAAGCTAGCTGTAGAAGAGATATTTATACAGTGTTTGATAATTTTGAGAAGCAAATAACTTTAACAAATCCCACTGAAAGCATTTCATTGCAATATTATCACTTAAAATTCAGGGAATTCAGTAATCATTGCCAAAACAAGACTGGGGGCAGATTGTGATAGTGACTGTGAACTTTTAATATCAAAAATTAGGGGAAAGCTGAAAAAGGCTTCCAACAGAAACACATTGCCAAAATACAATTTCAGTAACATTTCTGAGGAATTTAAAATCCACATAAAGAACAGATTTGCATTACTCAGCTTAACTGTTAGGGTAACTGCAATTAGGATGACCCTAACCCTTAACTGACTGTGAATCAGTCCAATTGTGGACTGCAACCAGAGACAATAGGGAAAAGATAATTCCTGTAGCAAAGAGAGAAAAAAAAGCCTTGGCGGTGGACAGAAGAAACATGCACAGATGCTGAGGAGATGTGAGAAGCAAAAGGTGAAAGAAATAGTGTTAGAATCCTGAATACAACTTTTCAGTGGCTATCACACAGAGACACAAAGAACTATTACAACAAGCAGTGCAAAGGAATAGAAGAAAACAAAAGAGGAGGAAAATTGTGACTTTTTTCAGAAGGTCCAGGAAATCCAAGGGAAATTCAAACATAGATTAGGAATGCTAAATGAAAACAAGGGAACATACTATCTGACCAGGAGAAAATAAAAAGGTGGAAACAATATATAGAACTAAACAGAAAAGATAAAATGTTGAAATACTCCTTCAAAGAGGAATCCTATGAAGATGAGCCTGCAATATTAGAAAGCAAATTGAAAACTGCTCTGAAAGGATTTAGAAGGAACAGAGTATCCAGAAAGATAGGGTACTTTCTGTCAATAGAACTATTCTAAGTTGCAGAACCTGAATCAATCAAAATCCTAACAGGTCAGCAAATATGAAAAATGAGTAATGGACCACAGACTAGAAATGTTCAATATATATTTTGATCTTCAAAAAGAGATGAAAAAGGTGCAGCAATCAAAGGACCACTGTACTAATTTTCTACACAAGCAAAGTGATGCTCAGTGTTGCAACAAAGGATATAAACCTAGATGGAACAAAAAAAGCCTGTTGTTCAATCTGGATTCCAAAAAGGAGGCAGCACTCGAGATCATATTGCAAAAATATGTTGGCTATTAGAGTGCACAAAAGAATTTCAGAAGATGATCAGTCTACCCTTTATGGACTAAAGCAAAGCCTTCGACTGTATGGATCCTGAGAAGCTATGAATGTTCCTGGAAAAAAATAGGTGTGCCCCAGCCTGTATTGTGGACTAGTGTTACAATAGAATATGGAGAAACATAATATGTCTTCCTATAGGTAAAGGTGTCAGATGAGGCTGTATTTTATCACCCTGTTTAATCTGTACACAGGATATAATATAGGAAAGCTGGATTGGCATCAGAAGAAAGAGTGAATATTGGCAAGAAGACACATCACGTAATTTAAAAACACAGATGATACCATTTTACTGACAGAGTAGTAATGACTTGAAATAAAACCTGATGAAAATGAATGAAAAAATGCGAAAGGAGGATTGCTGAACATTAAGGAAACAAAACACAACTACTGAATAATTACTGTTGAAATTAAAGTTCTATAAAGAAATTGCGATTGTGAAAGATCTCAATAGGTTCAGTCATCAAGTCAAAAGGGAGATTATAGCTAAGAAAATCCAAGCAGTCTGAGTCCTGGAAGGGCACCAATGAAAGAACTAGAACAGATTGTCTATGTTTCACCAGAGATCAAGGTCAAGATCATTCATCCCACTGTATTCTTGATCAATATTCAGCTTTCACATACATAATGAAGAAGGCTGACAGGATGTTTTTGCATTTGAAACATGGTGGAGCACAGCTTTGTGAATACTCTAGATGGAAAGAAAGATGAACATGTGGGTCATAGTTCAAATCATGCCAGAACTTTCCCTGGGGGCAAAAATAACACAACTGACATTATTATATTTCATACACATCATGAGAAGGCAACATTCTCTGGAGAAGACTAACATGCTAGGGGAAGTTGAACGCAGGAAGAGGAAAGGAAAACAAAATATGAGATGGATTAGCTCCTTAACTGGAGCCACAGCCTTCAATTTATATCAGCTGATTAAAAAATTAATGTTGCTGGCCTACCAGTTATCTCAGAGTAGTGTTCTACTGTTTTTGTGACACAATGCAACACACAAAGCTCACAATTGGACTTAGGCACTTCTACAATGAGCCCAAATTGAGCAGAAAACAAACTATCCAGAAAAGCAGAACTCTCAGAGGGGAACTCTGCTGGTCCATTTTGATACAGAAATGAGTGCTTCTGCTAATTTCTGGTATTATTTTCAGATGCTCCAGAACTCTACTGTGCATGTGCTGAATCCTTAAAGTGGAACAGAACCAGCAGATGTGGAGTGCCCTCAGCAGATGCTGCCCAGATTCCCAGAATTAAGAAAGACAATGCTTTTCTCTTGCAATACATACACCAGCACTTAGCATGCTCAGGAGTGCACAAAATCCTTAACTGCAGCTGTCAACCTGTTTAAGGCAATTGCTTCACATGCATATGCAGTATTAGCAGGTCAGATGGTACCTGCCCTGATAAATGTTTTCTGTTACACCTTGCCAATGTAAGCAATCTTAGTGCATCAACTTATGCAAAAGCAAGGGTAAACAGATGTTTCAGGCTACCACTCCCATAAGCCGCAAGCACTGTGGGTAATGATCCATCATTATGAGAGCTGTAGTCCAAAAAATTTGGGCAAACCACTGATATAACTATAACTATGGATTGATTCCATAAAGGAAGGCACAGCTTTGATTTTAGAACAGCTAAGCAGGGAACTCATGGATAGGACATTCTGCGGGGCTTTAATTCATAGAGTTGCCACAGAAGAGATAACTAGACAACTGATAACAACATTGGAAAAGGGTCGAACAGAACTCCATAACGTCCCAGTGTGCTACTACAAGATAGACAAGTGCTGTAGTAGTTCAAGTGCTGGACTCACTAGGATTTTGGGCCAGTCACTGACTCTTTGCCAAACCTCTCTCACAGGACTGTTGTGCAAATAAGAGAGAGGAGGCAAATTGCCTTGTGTTCCTTGGAAAATGCCACGGTATGAATTAAATAAGTAAGGGCTCTTTTGTTTTCTGTTGCGAAGCGAAAGAGAAAAGAGCTTCCTTCTCCGCCCTGCTCCCAGAGACGCGCTTACTTTCTCCTCCTGGTAGACCGTATCGATGAGGTTGACGGAGTGGAAGACGCCACGGTGCTCCTCGGACACGCACTGCCCGCAGCCCCCGCGGCGGCACATGCGACAGTAGAGCTGCATTAGTCGCCCCGGGTGCTTCTCACAAGCGACGCCCAGGGCGGCCAAGTGAGGGGCCAGCGCCGAAGAGGCCTCCTCCGGCGTCGCTCCCTGGCTCGGCTTCGCAGCTTTGAACAGTTTCACCAGCTCCGCCAAGGTGGTGTTGACCGGCAAGGCGGCAGCCCCGAGGTCGGCAGGGAGCGGGCAGAGCTTTCGACACAGAGGGCACGACACGCTGACGGAGTCGCCGCCACGCCTCGACGTCCGGAGTGGATCATAGCTTCGTGGAGCCGACCGTGAGGAGGAGACGGCGGAGAGAGCGGGGAGCGAGGCTTGGCTGAGGCACTCGTCCACGCAAGATCGGCAGAAGTTGTGCGAACACACCGGGAGCGTGACGGGGTTCTCGAAAAGCGCCAGGCAGACGGCGCAAGTCAGGCTGGCCTCCATTTGCACATGCGTCGAAGGAACCCACCAGTTGCGGGCCCGGAAGAGGCTCGTCTGTTCATCGGCAAAGGCAAGTTCTAAACGAACGACCAAGGTGGCCTTACTCCCATCACGAAGTCGGTCGCGCTTCCTTCTGGAAAGGTCAACTTTCTTCCCCGTCGGTTCCGTAACTGTCACTTATCGACTGCTGTGAGCAGCAGACCAACTTCCTCATCCAACGAACAACTCATCCGGAAACAACATGGAACCAACGGCTTCAAGCACCTTTCCTCCGCCCTTTCTCAGTACCACTCTAATAGACGAATATTTTAGATTGGCAGCATCCGCAACCAATGAAATTACATGCTCGCCCCTAAAGCGAGGCGGAGGGTGGGGCGTGCAGTGCAACGGACAACTCCCCTGGGGCGGTCCAGGTCCTCAGAGACTGGCGCTATGATGCTCTCTAGATTCCTGTGTTAATAATCAGGAAGTGTTACACAGAGGTAGTTTGTGCAGAGGTAGCTATGCACTCCTGTTCATGTCGGTCCTGTGGATTCTGTAGGACTTGCTCCCGGATAAGCGGGTGTAAGATTGTATACTAGACGTCTCCTGCGTGGATAATGATTTTTTGAACATTGAGTTTCACTTTCTACGGCAGAGGAAACATGTTTCGGTTTTAATAGGGAGATACAAAGGAAACTGTCCTGAAGGAAGGATCTAGACGATATTTTATTTTACTGGTCCAAAGATAAATTTAACCGCGGGAAACAACAAATCACCAGCAAGAAGAAAAAACAAAAAACAGCTCTTTATTGAATTGTGCACCCAACAATACAGTGTAGTCTGCCCCTCCATAAAATACCAGCACCGGCCATTAACCATCCACATGTTTTTATACCTTTAAGGGCAATTATTTTCGCCTATCGTTATCCACAATTGTTAGAGAAAGTAGCTGCATTCCACACTTAAACAGTGGATAGTTAAGCATAAAGTTAGATGCCAGTAGTTGCCTTTATCACAATTAAGGATGCTTTTTAGTCTGAACAATGTTACATTCATATACACATTTTTTTTAAAAAAAATCTGAACCATTTGAGGGGCACTGTTTGTGTCGGGGCTTCAGTAATGTTACAAAGAGTTCAAGCACAGGGAATCAGAAATTCATATCATTTTTAAGCTGCGTGGGTAGAACTGGTATACTGAAAGGCATATAAATAGTTGTAATAAAATAGTAGATAAGACTTGGTTAGGCAGAAAAAAGCCCTATCATCTTTGGGAGTGGGGGGGGGGATTTTGAGTCAAAACGTTTTGCTGCAGGAGAAAGTGCTGCTTAATCTGTTTCATAGAACAGAGCGAGTCAGAAGGGGTCTCCCGGGCTATCTAGTCTGATCCCGGGCTCTAGCCGGCTCCACTCACGACATGCCTACCATGTGCATGTCTAGCCTATCCTTGAAGACCCTCACTGATGGGGCCTCAACCACCTCCCATGCAAGCCCATTCTATACCCTTGGGGTCCTAACTGTCAGGAAGTACTTCCTGGCATCCAAATTGAACATTGGTTCCTTGAGCTTGGCTCCCTTGGAGCATGTCCTGCCCTCCTCTGCAGGGGAGAACAGGCATAATCCTATGCAAGTTTAGACAGAAGAAAGGGATTGTAAGCCTTTCTTCTCTTTCAATTTACCTGGGAGTACATCCTTTACCATTCTTTTCACCACTAGGTTCTAAATATGCATTTAATCCCAACATAAATGTATTGAACATTGCTGTCTAGGTAGGGCTTGAACCTACATTTATGGTACTGTAATAGTGATAATAAATGGCTTTGGTAAATTATTCAATCGACATCATGTATGCTTGTTGGAAATTTCAGGAATTTCATTTGCTCTCTAGCAGCATTCTCTGGTGAATTCTAAAGTTTATGTGAAACATAAACAAAGATAAGTTTGTCTGTTGCTGACATAATGAAAGTGCTCGCTCTTATCTCTTGAATCTAAAAAGTGATTTATTGGCTACACCTGGACCTAACTGAAATGAGTCTAGCCTCTGTTTGGGCTTCTTATCCCCCATTCCAGCAAAATAGACATGGAGAGAAGCTTGAATACTTTTGATGAGTTCCTTAGGGAGAAATGGTATACATGTCTACTTGGAATAAAGTTCCATAAACTTCAGTCAGACTTACCACTATGTAAGTGTATATGGCATGGGTTCAGACAACATAATGGCCTACACTTCAACTACTTGTGTTTCAACAACATCCCATAGTTAGCCCTTGAGTGTGGGTTATCGTTTGACTGAACCAATCATTTTCTCTAGTACTGAAAATCATAAAAACTGTGGTGAATTTTACCTGCGGTTTGATTAAAACAAGTCATCTATTGTATATATTTGTAGATACAGTTTGAAGTAGAAGACAAATATTTTACAGTAAAATATTTTGATTTCTGCATGTAAGCTTTTACAGCTAATGAACAAATTATGCTTGTTCAGATTGTTTGCTGCCAAAAATAGTGTAATAATCATTAGGAACTGCTCTGAATTTTGTGCTTTTATGTTTCTTATAAACTGAAATGTCCTTTGATTCTCCAAGAAAATATCCACACTGCTGTTAATACAAATGCAGGAGTGCCAACATGTGAGCAATGAGTAAATGTTGTACTAGACCTATATGCTTTGTTTGGCCAGTGTCAGGTAAACAGTTTGTCAGGAGTGGCAGAAGATAAATGGGCAAGAAAACAATCCCTGATAGAATTAGAAAATGGGAAATGCGTTTATGCAACCCAGCAACAATCAAGAAGTTACTGTGAAATGACTACTGAACAGATGTGGTAAACGGCTTGCTTATGCCTTATGGAGGTCAATGTGGTATAAACAGGATCTTTAAACATGCTATGGACTGATCTTAATCATGTATTAAACTTGCTGAAGTATATTCTGCTTTCCTTTTATTAAACAAGTACTATCTTTGAATAAGAAAGTGAAACTGGCTGGAACTGGGGGTCAGAGTAGATGACCCTGGAGCTCCCTTCTGACTCGCTTTGTTTCTATGTTTCTTTGCTTCTGAGGATGTTTCTACATAGTTTTGGTTTGTCAAGAATTGAGATCAAGCACTACAGGAAGAGTTTTCATTTTTGTTCTTCTACTTTATAACCTCTAGGTGCCACTGTGGTGTAGCAGAATATTGCAATTACATAAGTACAAAAAGCATTTTCTTTTGCTTTTATAAATGCTACTGTGTTCTGCTTGCTCTAAAAGATCTAGCTGAAAGAGCCCTTTAAAAACAGATGCAAAATTGGAGGCTCATGGTATTATCTAAACAATCTATAAACAACTCTGAGGAGGAAATGTACAGCTATTGATAGAAAATCAATTTTCTTAGAGGGAAATCCCATTTACTTTAATAGCATCTTCTTTAAAGTAAGAATGCTTAGAGTTTTGCTCTGTGTGAGGTGAGGATCATTTATATATATATTCTGGAATATTTCAGAATATTCTGAGGACTGAAAGTAGTATTTATTTATAATATACTTTTAGAAAAGAGAAGACATTATATAGATTGTAATGAGAAGTACAGAGTACAGAGAAATAACCTGCATGACTTGTGTTTCTCCTATTAAAACATTTGCAGGTTACATATTTAAATTTTCAATGCTGTCTTCTTCAATTAATAATCTTCAGCATCACCAGCACAGATGGCAAGTAAAGCGCTTTCATAATGTCCGGAAGAAAAATGCTGCAAGATAAATAATTAAATATCATTAAAGGTGATGTGTGTGTGGGTGGGTGAGTGTATATGCGTGTACACATTTATATACATGTTTTTTTTATTTTTTGTAAGGGCAGATTGGCTTTCTGAGGGGAGGGCCTGGTGGTGGGGGACAAAGCAACTAAGTAGAATAGACTTTGAGGCTGTGGAGGCTGGTGACTCCACTGCCACTGCAACTCCTTATTCACTCGGGAAATTACTTTCAACTTTAAAGGACCTATCCATGGTGTTGGACCTACTTTGGGTATACAGTCTGGTGCCATGGTGAAAAAACAGAAAAAACTCCAGAGTAGATAAGGAGCCTTGTTAACACGATAGTCACCAGCTTCATTACTTTGAGGACTATACCGGTGCAGTTTTACCTGCTGCATGGAGAAACCAAGGCTATCCCCCACAGTCTAGTGCCAATTTGGCTGGACAGAAACAGTGGCACAAAGAGGATGAGGAGCTGCAGCAGCCAGAACTTAGTATTTGCAGTTCCTCTTGTCCCTACTGCTATGGTACTTCATTTGATTCATTCATTTGATGTAGCTTTTTCAGAAATACGCCCTCACAAAACAGCTTACCAGTAATGGGGTTCAAGACAAGCAAATATAAAGAGTGGAGGAAAATTAAGCCAAGTTAAAGTTCATTGATGGTAAACGCTGTATATTAACTACCTATATGGGAAACTCCAGTTTAAGCAGGTAAGCTTTAAAAGCTTTCTTAAAGGACTGTACCAAAGATGTAAGGCAGAAGGAAATTCTATAATTGAGGGTTCATCTCTGAGATAACCTTGGCCCTTCTTAGAACAGCCAGTCTCACTTTTCTAATGGGCAGGTTTCTGAGCAGACTGCCTGATTATCTAAATCAGAGATGCAGCACCACCAGCTTTTGGGAACCTGAATTTGCCCCACACAGCCCCTTGAGGTTGCTCCAAGGAATGAACTTTAGGTTCCAAGCCCTGCTTCCTGAAGGAATCCCCTTGAACAGCAACCCCCCCCCCCAAAGTGTTATCTCTGATCTGAGTTCCACAGGTAACAGTGGTGACTCCCCTGCTGGCATGTGCTAGTAGGCAATTCACCACTGTTTTCTCTGATTTCAGACTGAAACACTTGAGAGGAGGGCAGGAAAGGTGTTGTGTTCATACATGCAAGGGAGAACAGCCACTTTTCCCTGCATGGCAACATCCCAACACCCCTCATTCCTGCTGCTGTATCTGAGATTGGAAATAGCTGTGGAGGTGAGGAATGGTGGACATTGAATTTGAGGGGCAGCTATGCCCACATGACATGGTTAGGTGGGGACGTATCTGCCCTCCCATCCCAAACTAGTTTTGTATCCCTGATCTAAGTGTACAAGCAGGATCATACGGTGGAAGGTAGTCCTTTAGGTTATCTAACCTTAGCTCTTGATTAAAGTATATACACAAAGTATAAACTACATGCACAATTCTGTGCATGTTTAGGCAGAAACAATCTTCTGCCAAGCCTAGTTGGATGCAGATTACTGGGAGCGGTTTCTGTCTTGTTTCTGTCTAAACATGGATAGGATATCAACCTAAATGAATAAAGTCAGAGAGAGTTTTTATTGTTCCTATATTGGGGTGAAAGGGTCCAGAGGAGGGGAACAAAAATGATCCAGGCTTTGGAAACACTGCCCTATGAGGAGAGACTGAAAGAACTGCACATGTTCAGCCTGGAGAAGAGAAGACGGAGTGGGGACATGATATTCCTCTATAAGTACCTCAAAGGCTGTCACAAAGAGGATGGTCAAGATCTCTTCTTGCTGCTACCAGAGTGTAGGACATGGAATAATCAATTCAAGCTGTGATAACCCAGATTCAGGCTAGATATCAGGAAAAGTTTCCTTTCTGTCAGAGCAATACAACAGTAGAATCAGCTGCCTAGAGAGGTTGTAAGCTCTACCACACTAGAGACATTCCAAGAGAAACTGGACAGCCATCTGATTGGGATCTTGCAACAGCAGGGGGTTGGACCAATGGCCCTCATGGCCCCTTCCATGATCTACTATTCTATGATTCAGTGTAGGAGCCTGGCATTTATTGTTAAAATCTAGGGTTTTGTATGCATTTAGATTTCTCTTGAGGAAACTTTGTTGTATTATGGAACATGCAATCTAGACACAATGGGTTAGATCTAAATGTAGTCCACTGGTTGTAGAGCCAAAGTCATGATCATCTTAAGTCCTATTGATTTCAGTGGGTTTACTGTAAGGACGACCAAATCTGGATTCAAACCTCTATTTTGAAGGCATATTCTTAATGTTATAATGTAGGAATAACACTTGATACATGCATTGGTGGACCTTTTCTAGTGTGAAATAACCAAATTGTATTGCATCTTTGGAGTTTTCTTCATGGAAATGACACTAAGAATTAAAGCATCAGGTTCTACAACCATCAATTTTGCTTTTTCTTCCAAGGAAATCAGGCTATAAGTCAGGGAAATGCAAATGTAAATGTGGTCAGACTTGCAATGTGTTCCTTCAGTTGTATCTGTAGCATGTTATCAACAGATGAGATGGACAGGACTGAATTTGGGTTAAGATGCAAAGGCCATTTTCCATTCAGGTTCTGCTTGGATGTTTGGAATGTTATCTGTTCCTTAATGGTAAATTATTACAATCCAAACTCACCTGAGCCATTGCAAACAAACAGTGTCAGTTGACTTACTTTGATGTCATGAAATAGTGATTTCCCATATCTCTCTTTATACTGTTGTCTAATATTCATCAGATCTATTTCACTTCTGGCAATCAGAATCCTTATAATTGTTTTGTTATGGAAGCCTAACTCCTGAAAACAGACAGAGACATTTGACTATTGTAGATTTCAGTTTTTTACATAGCTTTGAAATATGCTAAATTTTTGTTCCCAATAATGAATGAGAATGAGCAATCATGCAATACAGCTGTGAGACTTTGACATATTCACTGTTTGGAATGGTCTTATTTTTTATAATACAATATATAAACTTGGAGGCAAACAAAAGGAAAACCAATTTAAAATGAAAGATAATATACATTTCTAGGTTGCATGTCTTACCTTGGAGCAAGTGCTTATTTCCATTTGAAGAAATTTTGAACAAGAAAGTTAGGCATCATGATAGTGAAAATAAGTAAGTGGAGTTAAAATTAGGATAAGACTAACACTGATCACAATTGGGTTGCCCTGAAGTGCAACGAAACCACCACAAGCCCAACAGTTCATCAGCCTGTAGCTGCTTTCCTCCCTCCCACTGACTCCTGGGGGTATCCTCCAGGCAGTATCCCAGAGGGCAGTGCAGGGAGGAATGAGGCTCCTCTCTTTGACAGCCGTGGTTGTAAGCCAAGTTTGGCACAGTGTGGCTATCAAGCTGCCTCTGCTGTAAAACAGGTCTCACATCTGTAATGCAGAAGAGAGAACAGGGGAGCTGATCAGGCAGCCTTGCCCTTTGCCTCACTTGGAGCAAGGGAGGCGATGCCTGGTCTTCTGTCAGGCAAAAGTGGGGGACAATCAGGCTGGCTTCTACTCCAAGAAGATCTCTGGGACAGGAGGTAGGAGGAGCTCTGACAGTTTCACCAATCTGGGGCAGCCACTTGGGAAGAACAGCAACTGCCACTCTTGCCAAGTAGCTCTCTTGTTCTGGGCCCTCCCTCCTGTGCGAGGGATAAACCTAGATGAGGCAGGTGTGCCTTTTCATGGTTGACTGGGTTCAGGGACTGGGTCTGGACATCCTAACAACCATGTTTTTTATTGTTGGTTTCTTGCCAGGTCATATGAGCCCGGTAACTGCCAACACAGATTTTGGTGCCTCAAATGTTAGACTTGTTCCTGGGTATATTTGACCTGCTGAGTCCAAAAGTGGCATTTTTCCCTATCAGCTCTAGGTTTTGGGATACAACATAAATGCCATATACCACTCCTCACTCTGGTTGCCCATCAAAAATCAGGATATTTTAATGTAGTGCTTTATTTAATCTCCTTATAGCATGAAAGAAACATTAAAATTAAAAGAAATTGCAATACACTAAATCTACTGATTTCAAATCAAAAGTACAGGTTTACGATACAAATATTGCAATCCTTCAACACAGAAGAAACTCCTTGTATAATATTTCCGAGAGTGGGATCTGCCAGGACAAACCCGCATAAGGTTCCTACAGTAATCTGCCATTATGTGTGCATCCCATCTTCCTTGGTATCTGCCTTCCATTGTTTTTATGTTTTGGTGAATTCTTTCACCTTGCTCTTTGGTTAAGTCACCAAGGTTCTCTGGAAAGCGATCTAAGTGACTGTGCAAATAGTGGATTTTACTACTCATTTTGTAGCCAAGCCTGTTGAAATGAAATAGCATCTCCTCTACTAGTTGAGTTTACTTGTTTGCCTTCTTGATGCCAAGAAAGTTTTTCACAACAAGAACAAATGAAGACCAGGCACAGGATTTGATTTCATTCACTGATTCGATGAAAAGTGGGTCATTTATGAACTTTCTGATCTGTGGCCCATTGAAAATTCCTGCCTTCAGTTTTTACATGGTAAGTTCAGGTAATTTATGCACTATGTATTCAGAATATGAACCATCTTTATTCAAAATCTTTACAAATTGTTTCATCAGGCCTAGCTTTATATGTAATGATGGCAGGTTGATTCTATCTCATGCTACCAAAGGTGCATTGATATCCTTTGGAATCCAATGTTTCTGATGTAAAATTACAGTTGGAAGTATGGGAACACTCTCACTATATCTGTTAACTTGTATGCAAAAACACAAACTAGTAACAGGATAACAAGTTGATCAGCAAGATTTTTTCAAAAACTGACTATATATATATAAATGACCATATCTAAGAGCCGATGCAGTCTAGTCAATGCAATTTTCTGAATCAGTGCCCCAAATAACCCCAAGAGCAGGCCTACAAAGTAAGGCACCAAAAAAAAAAAAAAAAGTTGGTCTGTGTTTGTTAGCAGTTTAAGTAGCTACATATTGTAAAGAAAATTTTGGGGTAAAGTTAAACTCTTTTATTGTTTGTGTTTTAGGCTAAGTCCTGCTTATAGAGTCAAATAAACTTTAGAAAGGAGAAGATGAAAGTTGCTGGAAAAAGTTATGGGGTTTACAGTCAGAGTTTTGAAATCATCTTGGTATAACGTACAGTAGAAATTACAACATAAAAGCTGTGATTATAATAGGACAGTGAGTTGCTCTTTGCTAACAGTGTTGCCTAAGGACCAATTCCTACAGTACTGAAGTTTTAAGAAAGGTCTGTTTGGTTTGTAACTTTTTCTTAACAGGACTGGAGTTTTCTTTAAAGTTTTTCCTTCCACAATATTCATTTAGTTAATATAACCAATACCTACAGTACTTCCTGTTTGTAGAACAATAGTGACATCTAGTGGTCAGAATATTCTGAACAACACAGCCTGTTTTCTCAAGGCAGCAAGATGATGTTTTTCCACTGATTTATGATGTGGCTTTTCTCCAGGAAGAAGTAAAAGGCAGATAATAGAAAAAGCTGCTTTGCCAAATTTGATTCTTATGATGAAGAGTTTACTAAAATCTTGTCATATTTTTATTTTTATTTAATTTTATAAGAAAGCCTTTCTAGTTCTAATTAATGCATACTTCTGCGGAGTGAATGGCTGATTTCCCCTACCACATGCACCTCAAGATATACATAATACCTTGCCTAGCATGGCTTGCTATGTTATGTGAACTCAGCAAGAGTGGCTTGTTGCTGTGGTTAAGAAGCCAGCAAGAACTCTATAACAGTCCTTAGATTTTGGGTTGGCATGACTTGGCATACCATGTTGGTGTAATTTTGCAAATTTCCTAGATAGTGATGTGTGCATGCAGCACTCAGAATCACAGTCTGACCCCCCTTCCTAGCCTTGCAGCCAGTGTGGATAAAACTACATTGGCTGCTTCTCTGAGGTTTGGAATTTGACCTCAGCAAGGGAGTAAATTGGATGTTCTGGTGGGAAGGGTCAGGGTATGGCATATCCTGTGCATTTTGCAGCTCCTTCCCATTTCCACCTGCACAGCTGATTACGGATGTGTGAGGAATCTGTTTTGCGGTTGGGAATACATTGGATTCCCTGGGATTGTCTTTCTGGACTCTGGTTCACTATCTAGCCACTCTAAATTCCTGGTGAATGCACCCAGCTTTCACAGGTGCTCACCAGGAATCAAGCCCTATGCCCCATACAACCAGTGTCCTTCTTCCTTTGATACCTGATTGGGCAGCAAAGCATCTGACTGGGCTGCTGGACCTGATACAGAAGAAGGTTGGTCATGCAGAGCTTGCCAAAAATAGAACCCTGTGCAATTACTGCACAGGCAGTGCCCATCTTCCATCCCACCTGCAGCAGCTGTTTCTGCTGCTGCACATGACACGGAAGAAGGTTGCCCGTTGGGCAACCTGCATTTCATGAGCCTTTCTTCCTCTCAGTTTGGTCTTCTTTGCGAGACTGGGCCAAGCATTAGGGGATGTCTCTGACTGCTAAAGGAGTGGATTCCGCTATTGTTCCTCCCAACTCTCTAGCTGATAATGGCTGCCTAGGAAAAATGCAGAGCAGGAGGAGTGGGGAGGGAAGGCTTGCCTCTTCCCTGCCTCCTGCTCTGCATAGAAAGCCCCTAATATTCCAAGTTGGGAGGATTATGGGCATCTTGACTGACTTGTGTCCTTAGACAGGAAAAAGTCTGACAACTCTTGTCAGATTCCTTTCTGTTGGCGTACGCACTGGAATGCACCCTTAAAGTGGCTTCTGAGAAATCCATCAAACCTGGCTAAGGAATGACACAGTAGTCTTTATGTACTTTAAGTGAGCTATGGCAATATATGTCTTCATCCCCATTTTTCTTTCCCCACCAACATCCTTCAGGTGTACACATGATACCTTTAACATCTAGTTATGCAGGATAAGAGGGAAATGTCAGCATTGTATTAGAAATGTATGCAAATTTCCACTTTTCCAGCTTTTTGAAATGTTATGTATCTATAGTGTTCCTGCAAATATATAAAAATTCCTGAAGAATCTAGCCATGAAGCTTATGAGGACATTTTGGGCAAGTCATATGTTGGGACTGAGATAGGACCATTTTAGGCCTTGTGGTTGAGAGATAGGAAGGCCAGAGTTTTCACACATAAAATTGGGAGGAGGTCTCTTTTTTCTTGCATGAAATGGAGAACTTACACGAGGAGAGCAAAACTATTTCCCCTTCCCGCACTGCTCCAATGAGTTATCTGGATCTAAAAAATCTTGGAGCAACAGATTTCAGTGAGATAAGGTGACTGAAGGAGGCAGCATTTATCTTCCTCAGATGGAAAGTCTTTTTTATCTTTTTTTTTAAAACCCTTTGCTTGATTTGTGAGCAGAGCAGCCACATGACTAAAAGATATGTGGCTGCCTATTCACATTTATGTACCTTGTTTCTAAAAGTATGTCTACTCTCCCCTGTTGCCTTCTGGGAGAATGTGATAAAGCCGTAAGAACGTCATTGGCTCTTATCGCAAAATGTTCTTACATTGTGCTTTGTGTGTTAATACAGAAGTTAGTAATAGAAACAGTATAACAATTCCTTGAGGAAGTGGTGCTTACTCAGAAGTAGAGCCCTTGATGGGAAGATCTGCTGTCTGAAACAGGTTACACAGCTTTCCCATAACTCTGATCAGAGCCAAAGGAACTGGGACAAGTTCTGATATGGCAAGGGACATTGGGCATAAAGAATGAAATACTTCTTCAGTGAAGTTCTCTCTTTCCTGCAACATTGCCCAGATATCAAGAACTAACCATTGACAATATTTGAGGTTCTTGAGGGCATAGATGCTGTTTCCATATGTTGACTTTTGAGCTGTTCTGGATGAAAAGCAAGTTCTGTAGAATGGTATGCAACTTAAAACATCCTGAGTATTTTTCATGAAGCTATATCACCTGTAATTTCACATTGCTACACTAGAGGGAGAGCCAAGCCATGCAAAACAGTGCCCTTCCAATGGCATATAAAAAAGTGTCTTTTTATTAGGGCTCATATTTACTCTGCAGTGCATGTTATCAGTGAGTGAGGGTTTAGTTCAGAACTTCAGTTATCTAAATACTAGTTATGGAGAATTCATATTTAAATAGCATTGCCAGGAAGACTTCATTGGACTTCTGTTTCTTGGAGGCATGTCACTGCACTTCTGAGTAGATACGGTTAGGATCAGAATGCAATCTAGTGGTAGTTTGCTTCTCAAGCAATTTGAAAGAAGTGCTGTTGCACCGTATCTGCTGCATTATTTCAGCAACTGGATAGTTTGGGATTTGTAATTGACATGATTATAATAAAGCCCTAAAGCTAGTAAGCAGCACTTTACAAATGGGAATTAGAGGAGCATTAGACCACTTAAGAAATAAAAGAAGAATAAAAATGACTCTTTGAAATTATGCAAATACTCACGTGAATTGCATTATAAAGTCTATATGCAAAATAAGAAGCTTTGTCTCGAACACACAGAACTGTGAGGAGAAAATCATACATAGATATTAAAATCTTCAAAGCCTCTTTTCACAATCAGACAGAAATCATCATTACTTTTCTTCCTAGCAGAGTGATTGTGGCCGTTTGTCTTCACTTCTTATGGGATGTGTTCTTATGACAGCTGATGTTGAATGGATTGGAGTGGAAGGGAAAAAATACTGACAGATTGAAAATTGTACAATTTCTTATTTCATAGTTAACTATAAGAAATTTCCTTGAAATTTCCTTAGCAGTATTAGCTTTAAAATTAGCAAAATATTTTGCTTTCCAGTTTTCTAACTGGGGGAGCAAAGTAATTACTCCTAGAAGTTTCAGGATTGACTTGTAATGGATCGACTGAGTGCCCTTTATTTCATTAAAGGTGCAATCCTGTGCATGTTTAGACAAAAACAAGTCTTACAATTCCCAGCATTCCCCTGATGGACTGTAGGACTTGTTTCTGTCTATGCATGCATAGGGTTGATCCTTGGGTACATTAGCGTTGAAAGAGACTTTTCAAAAGCCAACAGAATCGGAATATGTTTAGGTCTCCAGGTTACAGTGAACAGATGTTACTAGGCAGAATATGAAATACAGAGGAAATAACAGTGCAAGCCGAGGCAAGTCTGCTTGGAAGTATGCATAAGATGCAGCTTGAAAGGCTTAATTCTGGACATGTAGGGTGCTTCCACATGGAAGCTCCTAGTACTATCAGTCAAAAGGCAGCTCTAGCATTTTCCCTTAATGGAGTTTCTGCAGTGAGAACATTGGCAGCAATTGTGCTGGGAAAATATAGGAGGGTTGTGAATGGAAGGTCATATTCTTGTCTTGGCTTCCCATAAAATTGTGTGAATGGGGCAGAGTGATGTCACAATAGAAGCCTTTGGAAAAAGAAGCCTTTAGAGCCACCTTTGGAGTCTAAAACCCATTGCTGGTAGTTTCAAGAACAGCTCTAGATCCAGCTCTAGATGGCTTCAAGATGATAGAAAGTGTTAACAGCAGTGAAATGAAAAGTGCTATTAAACTGCTTGTGCAGAGTTAGTAGCAATTTCCCCCACAGAAATAGACAAGGCAATTGTAGGTAGCTTTTTCCCAGCTTGTAATTTAAAATACAAAGCGCTTTCCCCAGGCTGTATTTTAAGTGGTCCTTTTTGCATATGTGATCATGCATTACATGTATTCAAAATCTGTCACTTAAAATGATAACACAAAGGATTCTTATTGTGTAACAGGAAAGCCATACAAAACATATCACAATTATAGAAGCATTATTACCTATTGCTACCAATAGTTCCTGAAAGTATCCATCATAACATTCATTAATGGCATCCACTATGTCTTGCCCAGAGATATTCTGAAACTCCTGAAAAACTTAAGAAAATATATTCATGTCTTGTGAGTAGTCACTTCTTGTCAATTAATTTGAATAAATGAATTTAAATATTAGTTTTCCATTTGACTGCTAGTTCAAAGAGTTTAAAATAAAAACCTAACACAGTATCTAGTGATTGAAAAAATGTTTTAATCCTGGCAGCCTGGTCAAGGAACTTGCTTTGATGATTACCACAGATAAAATCAATCAAATCATATTAATTGTACTAATTATTAGACTGTATTTCTACTCACAGCTCTCTTCTATGATATAAGTAATAAGTTGAGTCACAGGAGAACTGATTTGGCCAAAGTTAGAACTTTTCTGGGAAGCAGCTGGTTGATATGTGTAAACTGGCCTTTGACTGCCATCAGTTTGTGTTAGGCGAAGTCTTATCTTCTGAGTTCTGAAGATATTAGGGTTTGCACATGCAGCGTTTCATTTTTAGTCAAGTGCTATGTTGCCTCCTTCCATTACATGTTCATACTGCTAAACCTTGATGAAGTTAGGAAAATAACTTCCTACCCATCCACAACTGCTGGTAGCTCTTGTTGCACAGAATCATCTGCAGCATGTTCTTGTGCTCTCCAGTCTTTTGCTGGCATGCTTCCCACAGGACCTAGACCATCAGAAGAAAAATGATGTGCAAGAGGCCACTACAGCAAACAACTTTTTTAAAAATTAAAACTGTTCTGATACCATAGCATCCTGAGCAGCCATCGCAGGATCTGAATATCCTTCTTGCCTGGTTCCCTGGAAAAGTGCACATGTAATTAGAAGTGACAATTTGTGATTGGCAAACTGGTATATCACATGGTTTGTCCTGGAGGCTCATCTACTCAACCTCATGTGTGGGAAAGCTGGCTATACGTAGCTACTCAGTTGGGGACATGGAGCAATGCAGCAGTGCTCAGAGGCACTGTTTAAATTGCTCCACATCTTCCAAGACTAGCTCATGGGCACATGTTTGTTTCATTCTGCTATGATGTTTCATACTCTAAAATGTTACTGGGAGAGATGATGAGGATATATAAAGCCAGTCTGCATGTAATGGTAAAGCATGGTTCGTTATTCCATGAAAAAACCTTGGGCTTTCATTCTCCATTTTTTACTTTGAATTAGCAAAAACCACAGCTTGCCACTGCAACCAAACTGGCTCTTACCTTCAATGCAAATTTGCAAACCAGCTCCAACCCATAATTTCCAATTTGGACTTGCATAGTAAGTGCAAAGCATGGCTTATTGTGAACCAGGAAATCACAGAAGAAAAATGTGAACTTGGTCAGAAATGCTTCCTTGTATGGTTAAAACAAGACCTATGCAAGTTTTCACCTGCCTGTACAATTGTTTAGAAAGTGTATGGTGTGTGTGTGTGTGGGGGGGGGGCAGAGGCACTAGAAGAAAGGTCTGCAAAAGGTTTCTACTTGCATTCTCCTAAGTGCTGTTAGAAGCCTCTCCACAATGGTAACTTATCAGAAAATCTGTGTGCAGCTTCCCATTTTAGAAAGGAAATTTAATAAAGAAAGACCAGGGTCTCAAGGGATGTGGGTTGTTGTTGTTGGTGGGGGTTCCATTCCTGTCTTTGCCATCCTTCGCAGTGTTTAACCCTAACATGGGAACCAAACGACTACATTAGGTTAAGATACATATAACTTATGAAAGAGTACTTGTGTCACTGTTTGCACTCAAAAAGATGGGAACAAAATTCAATTTCAGATGCTAAAACAGAAGCACTCAATCAAATTGTTGCAGATGAAAATTCAAAAAGAAATCTTCCCCATTCTCTCTGTCAGAATTAATAATTTAACTCTGCAGACTTATACATCAAGAGAGTCTTGAACAACATGCTGTTTGTTTCTTTGTTTATTTTGCCTTTAGCTGTTTATACAATACCTGAGCAAGGTTCATAAGTGTATCTCTAAAGTGCCCAGAAGTCTCAGAATAAATGTCTTGGAGAAGGTCACTCTCATATTCTAGAAAAAACATAATAATGTATGAACATTCTCTAATGGGTGAGAGAAATATTTCAAGAAATTATTAGCAAAAGTGTTTGCATGCCCAATTTGATCCTTTGCAAAAGGCTACAGCAGACTCCTGTGAGCTATACTGGTGGTTTTCAAATGTGTCGCACAGAATTTAAGGACAATTTGAGCTAGGAATTGAGATCACAATAAGGAATCACAATTGAATTTGTGAGAACAAATAATTCAGGGATAAAAAACGATTTTGAAGCGAGACAATCTGTAATTATTGTATTATGCATCTGCGGGGGAAATTCTAGGTGTACTTTAGCTCAGCTGAGGGCAGAAGATAGCCGAGGATCTAATGCTATATCTCTGAGTCCCAAGTGTTTCGTAAGAGCAACAACAAAATGATATTCTTTATACACAGTTATAGTATGAAGAATGCTGTTGTGCAGGGAGTGGTCAAGAGTAGATTTTAGTGTAGACGGACTATGAGCTCTTGCTTTTGCATCTGGGAGGGTTCTAGCAAAATACCCAGTAAGTGCAACAAGTGTGCAGTCTATCTACATCTTTTCTAGTGTGCTCAATCAGTTTGCATGGAGTGAAGTTGAGACTATGCAGGCCATGTTTGAGCTGATAGTGAACTTTCAACATTCACTTTATTATTGTAAGCCGCCCCGAGGCTTCGGCGAATGGGGCGGCATAAAAATGTTTTAATAAATAAATAAATAAATAAATAAATTGTTTTAGAATTCTCTGCAACATGCAAAGATTCTGTCTGAGGTGGAAGAACTTCGAGGAAATGAATTTGTCTCTCATGTAAAGCTACTGAGTACAAAAGGACATATGAAAACAGATGGGCCAGTTTTGACCCTCCTGATGTTTTAGGTTACAAATCTCATCATCACTCCTTACATTTTTCTATGCTGATGAGTGCTGGTGGGAACTGTAGGCCAAACATCTGGAGGGCCACAAGTTGCCCAACTGTACTATAGTAGAGGGATGTGAATTTTCTATAATCAGGAGATTCATGAGTAAGAGAGATGCTGTCATTATAAATAAATACATTTTATATATTTATAAAAACAGGCTTAATATAGTACACACAGTGAATTCTTGAACAGGAGGTATGAAGTAAGCCTTAAAATGATACTGCATGAAGCACAGTATCAATATTTTATATAAAATTTAAGATTGATTTTATTTCTATACTGCCCCATAGTTGAAGCTCTCTGGGTGGCTTGCAACAATCCATATAAACAAGACAATAAAATACAATAAAAATACAGTAAAAGCAAGGAAGCATTAAACATTTTAAGCAGCTAACTCATATAGTGAAGAATGGCCCTGTAAAAGAAAAACACTAAATGGTGGGCAATCCCTTCAAGCCCCTTGTTAGCCAAGTAAATCTTTAACAGCTGACAAAATTAGCACTAGGCAAGCTGCAGTGGAGAGGTTGTTCCATAGATGGGGCCGCCACAGAGGAAGCACTCCCCTTTGCCACCTTCCAAGCCTCACTTGGAGTCGACACTTCGAGGAAGGCCCCAGAGTTGAGTGTGCAGCCTGAGTAAATTTATTTATTTATTTATTTATTTATTTAAAGCATTTTTATGCCGCCCCCATCGCAGAAAGCCTCGGAGAGGCTTACAAAGAGGATAAACAAACATAGGATAGACATTAAAAATTCAGAGCATCTTGGCAATAGTTTAAAACCAATAAAGAAAATTAACAATTAAAATATAGTTTAAATAAAAAGGTCTTGGTCTGGCGCCGAAAAACAAATAATGACAGTGCCAGGTGGACCTCTCTGGGGAGTGCATTCCATAGGTGGGGCGCCACCGCAGAGAAGGCCCTCCTCCGGATACTCACCCTCCTAATATCCTTCACAGAGGTCTCCCGGAGAAGGGCCTCCTCCGCCGATCTCAGGGGGCGGGAGGGCATATATGGACCAAGCACTACTTTAGATAACCAGGTCCCAAGCCATTGAGGGCTTTATAGGTGATAACCAACACCTTGCATTGGGCCCGGACTTCAATGGGGATCCAGTGAAGCTGACGGAGAACTGGGGTTATATGAGAACAATGCCCAGTCCCTGTCAGCAACCTGGCAGCTCTATTTTGCACCAATTGAAGTATCCAGACCGTCTTCAAGAGTAGCCCCACGTAGAGTGCGTTACAGAAGTCCAATCAGGAAGTTACCAATGCATGTGTCACAGTTGCCAGGCAGTCGTTCTCCAGGTAGGGACGCAGCTGATGGATCAGCTGAAGCTGAAGGAAGGTGCTCCTCGCCACCGCTGTTACTTCTAATGACAGCTCTGGGTAGAGGAGCACTCCCAAGCTGCGAACCCTGTCCCTCAGAGGGAGTGCAACCTCATTCAGGACAAGGTCCAGGTTCTCCATCCCGAAGCCCGACCCACCTACCAACAGGACCTCTGTCTTGTCTGGATTGAACCTCAGTTTATCATCCCTCATCCAGCCCATTACCTCGGCCAGGCACCGGTTCAGCACAGCCACTGCCTCACCTGGATTAGTTGAGAATGAAAGGTAGAGCTGGGTATCATCAGCGTACTGATGATTCCGCAGCCCACACCTCCTGATGACCTCTCCCAGCGGTTTCATGTAGGTGTTGAATAGCAAAGGGGGACAAAATGGACCCCTGCGGAACTCCATGGCATAGCTGCCATGGTGCAGAGCCATAGTCCCCAGCACCACCTTCTGGAATTGGCCATTGAGGTAGGAGCGGAACCACTGCAAAGCAGTGCCTCCAACTCCCAATCCCGCAAGCCTGTCCAGAAGGATATCATGGTCCTGGGAGATTGCAGCTGGGAGGGGTCCTCTGACAAGTATTGGGGTCTCAAGCTGTGTAACACTTTATAGGTTAAAACCAGCACGTTGAATTGGGCCCTGAAGTATACAGGTAGTCAATGCAAGTGGGCTAGAACTGGTCTCATTTGTTCAGAAGCACAGGTCCCAGTTATTAATCTGGCTGCCACATTCTTCAGGAGCTAACACTTCTGAGCAGTTTTCAAGGTCAGCCCCATGTAGCAGGTTTTGCAGTAACTTAATTTAGAGATTTCCAGGGCACAGATTATTGAAACCAGCCTAACCTTGTCCAAAACTGGTAGAAGGCACTATGTGCCACTGAGGCCACCTGAGCTCCAGTGACAAAGATGGCTCAAGGAGAAATCCCATGCTACATGCTTGCTCCTTCAGGTGAGTGCAACCCCATCTAGGGCAGATTGAACACCCTCCGTGTGTTCAGAGGAACCACCCACCAACAGCACTGCAGTCTTGTCTGGATTGAACATCTCTTTGTTAGCCCTCATCCAGGCCACTGTTGCAACCACACACTGGTTTTGCATGTCCACAGCCTCACCTGCTGATGATGAAAAGCAGAAATGGAGCTGCATGACATCAGCATATTGATGGTGATTCACTCCGAAACTCTGGATGACCCCGCTGAGCAGTTTCATGTTGATGTTAAATAGCATGGGGGGCAGAACCATTCCTCAGACCCCTTAGGAAATCTATGCTGGAGAATTCACAAAGTCATTTTCCCCAAGTACTGCTTTCTTGGACAGTAAGTCCAAGTGCAGTAGCTCTCACTCCCAATTTGGAGAATCTAAAAAAAAAATGTTCTCCAAATATTATAGACAGGACTTCTTAAAAGAGTAAAAGATTAAACCCTCAGGCTGCAATTCCATATGTGTATAGTCTTAAAGTAGTTTGTTAGCTGTATGCTTTCCTCAGGGCATCATGAACACTGTTATTTGAAGGTGGGAGTGGGGTACAGCATCTTCATGAGCATCTCATCAAACTACAATGAGGTCAGGAGGGAAATGAGAAAGTGGTCACTCAAAAACTTATAATAGAAGTTTTGATAGTATAATTTGTAATAGAAACATATCCTTAATAAGACCCTACTCTAATCACAGTTGCTGCTGTACATGTGGAAAATAATAATGGTAATTACGCATTAGGTAGGCTTCTTTCATCTGGAAGATCTCTCCATTTGATCTTGAGGCTAATATATCAATTAGGCAGTTTTCATCTGTGCCAGCTCCCTGCATTGGAAGAATAAAACATTGCTGGTATAAACAATGGATTCAAGTACAATTAATACATTAGTTTGGAATCAGCTTGCTAATTTTTGTAAAATAATTTCCTAAAAGTGTCTTTCAAAGTTGTTTGTTTCCTGGGAAGTTGTGATTTTATCTCGTGTGCTTTAGGAGTGCATTGCTCACTGAGCATCAGACTGCCTAAGCCTGTAACAGCTTATTAGCATGTTTAAGTGTACAAGTAGTTCCTTTGATGAAACAAGATGGAAAATCAGTGCTGAGTGAAGTGGGCTAATAATAATTACATCATTAATAAGCAGTCAGAAACCCCTCTTGTGTACCTAGCTTGATAGCACATCATTGTGTTAAAACAGCAATCCTATGTGCTGTTACATGCAAATGTAGACAACATGACAAATAACTCTGTGTAGTCGCCACATTTTATTTCTTCCCCATGATCTACCCAACTACCCAACAGACGTTCAAGTGGTCTCTATGTTACCATGGTTTCCATTCTGCCTGCTCAGTCCTCCCATTATTGGCACATATTCCATCGGCCACTGTGCCTGAAATTCAATTCCGAGCTGCATCGGTCCCTGCCTATGTCACCTGCCTCTTCCTCAGGAGCTGCATACGTGTTACTAGGCAGAGAAGGATAGTAGAGGCTGTATGGCTGGAATGGCTCTAAGAGTGACTGCTTTTTCCAGGGGATTCTATGATAGTTGCATACCAGAACTGTGCAGAATGTGATTCTGGGTTCAGACAACATAATAGGACATCGTGGCATTAGAATAAACCACTGCTTCCTTTCATGGTTTCTAAAGCACAAACTTACCATGGTGAAATATGAAGACTGGGTTCAGTCAGCTAAACAGAGCAACAATGGCAAAAAACCACCATGGCTTGTTGTGTTGTCTGAACCCAGTCAATAATTAATTATTGGCATAAGTGCAGCTCCCAAATAGATATGCATAGGACCAAGCAACAAAATGACTAAATGGTCATAGATTCTTAAATCTATTAAGATTTTAGTCCACTTCGAATTAGTTTAGTCATTGATTGATACTTAGATATATGTGTGCTGTGGAGAATGAGCAGCTGTTCAGTATGCTGTGTTTGCAAAGTTATCATTTAAAGTATATTTTAAACTGCCTTTCAAAGAAAGAATTTCAAGGCAGTGCAGAAAAAGAATGAATCGAGGACGATTGTATCCAATGGTGCTGTCCACCAGTGGAAGACTAGATTTTCCTCCCCTGCTCTGCAGCCCCATGTGTACTTCCAATCTGCTCCAGAAGACTGGAAGACCTCTGGGAGGTGCAGAGAGGAGGAGAGGACAGGGAAGTCTTGCATGAGCAGACATCCTATCATGCAATATTGGATCCATCACACAGTGTTTTCTAGAGTTGGATGGTTTAAGAAGTACCTTCATAGCATGCCAGAGCTCATGGGCATCATAGGAAGCAGGTGGATACATCAGGCCGACCATAACTTCCTTGAAGTGATGTGAAAGGGCCTCTTTCAGGTCCAGAAGCAAATCCTTGGGGAAAGAAAGTTAACATTACATACTAGTCATCCTGCATTTAAGAACGTTGATCCTTGAAAGAAAACACATTTATACCAAATATATTGGTATGGGGTATGAGAAGGATAGAGTTGTTCAGTAGCCACTAAAAAAGCAAAAGTAACTGTGTTGAGTGTAAGAAACTAAAGTCCATGTTAGTGTAATATCTTTATTAGCCAGCTCAAAGGTCACAAAAGTGTGCAAGCTTTTGAGACTGTCAGACAGTAGAGCAGTGAGAGTTAGGCTAAAGCCCAAGTCACCACAGCTGAGGGGTCCCCTACATGATCACCCAAAAAGCAGCAACTGATAAGGGTATCAGACAACAGAAGAAAACTCTAGTTTATTCCTGTAGGCATAGAAATTTCTACCCAAAGTAGTTTTTCTGTGCTTGCCATTTCAACTCACAGCTGCTTATGGATTCTTTAGACTAAGGATGTGTGAGGAGTCCACCTTGGAGGTAGGAATTCCTTGGATTCCTTGGACTCAGCTCCTTGGATGCTGCCTTGCTTTCTTTGAGTCCATGAATCTGACTTTCTGGTGAGAGCCCTGAATGTTTGTGCAGGCACTTGCCAGGAAGTGATCCCGGAAAGTGATCCCCGGGAATGTTGCTCAAGCACTGTCCCTCTTCTGCGTACATGTCTTGCAGCCTTTACTTGTGGTTCGTGTGCCATGGAAGAAGGTTGCCAATAGTGCAGCCAGAACTCTGAGAGCATTTGCAGGCTTCTTCAAAGCTCCATTCACTTCGTACATGAGGGCTGAGCATGAGAAGTCCAACAAACAGAGGAGGGCCAGATTCCAGAGGAGATCTTTAAAACCCTACTTTAGACAATACTGTGAATCTTTCCATCAGGCAAGATGTCACAGGCTGGAAGGCAGAAGTCCCATTTAGGTTTTTTGAACTTGAATAGAACAAACACTTGAATAGGCTATTATCTGGAGAGAACATGTTGGAGCAAGGTGTTTTTATCAGGTTATCTGATATTTCAGGTTTTAATGCTCCAGCCAACTGACTACAAGAAAGTAGCAGGTAATTATTAATGGCTGAACATAAAGCATCCAGCTTTTAACTCAAACTATAGTTATTCCTACCTATAGCAGGAGTTATAAGGCTTCATGCACTCAGGAGAAAGAAGTGGCTTGGCAGCTTAATCTTTACTTTTGCTGATTTAGGGTTTGAAGCCAGTTACACATCCTGGTCAAGAGCAACCCTTGTTAGCATTGGTACAAACGTATTAAGAATGTATTAATATTGAGGAAGTGAGGAAAAGTGAAGGTGGGAGGAGAGAGTGAGCCCACAGCCTACTTGAAAACCCTTAACCTTAGCTTTTGGATATTGGAGTCCAGTTGTTATGGCCCATCACCTGTTGGGAGTTTTCTTTCCCACATCATTCTTGGTGCAGCTAAGGCAGCCTTGGTCACCTTCTGTCAAAGCAAGATATGTGGCTCCCCAGATGTGGGGCTCCTTTGCTGTCTGGCCATTGCCCATGGTGGTTATGACTTGTAGGAACTGGAGCCCAACAACATCTGGGGCGTCACAAGTTCTCCACCTCTGTGTTACAGGAAGCAACATAAATCTGATGCAGCATGGATCATGGTGTACACCGTCCCTGGTTCTAAATGTGGGTGTGTATTATCTAGCATATGTTCCATGTGTACTACCTCCTTCAGTAAGTGAATCTTCACTCAAAAATATCTTTCCATACATGAATAATCTTCATTCATAAGAAGGATAGGAGCTTATGTTGTCCTCTTCAACCAGTGTTTATCTTGCTTTGCCCATCTCTTAAGGTGTGAATTTTGATTGACTGAATCAAAACATGAGGGGATATTTCCTCAAGCGCAACTTGGCTCTAAGTGTTTCTTTGTGAATTGTATATGATCGCGTCCATCACCAAGGGATCTAGCAATAAAGGGATAATATAAACTATAAATGAAATATAGCACAGTTAATACAAAAGCTGCTCTCAGAAGGCGAATAATTAAAGGTAACCACAGGCCCTGTGAATATAATTAACAGAGCAGACAGAGCAGCAATGAGGAAAGAGATGTACAAATTAAAAATGAATTTATGATGAAGAAACAATATGTAATCTTTGCTGAATGCACATTAGATACATTTGACAGCCACTAAATCACATGTGGAATAGAAATTAATTCATTAAGACATTTGCTGCTGACAGCATGCCTGTAGGAAAACTGATTAATAATACAAATGGAGACTAATTAAAAATTACCCCCTCAAATGGAGAAGAGTAGTGAAAAATAAGACAAGACAACTCTGAGTTGTCATTATTAACATTTTCTAATTATCTTGGCTATGAGAAATCAGCATCGGGTAATTGTAAGAAAGCATCTTAGAGAGGTTTGTGCATAAGTTTAAATTACAGAAAAACCTCAGATGATATTTTAATGGGAATATGTGCTTGAATCTGTTTCAGGGTTTTCTTGTAATCCTCCTGTGATTTGCAATTCACTCTAATGTCAAAATTCTTAACTCTTTAGGATTGATTCTCTTCATTTTAAAAATGAAAGTAGCGATACCAAGTGCCTTATTGTTCTTGGGCACTCAAGCCCCAAATGTACATGAGACGGCAATAAAGAACATACAAAATATGTTCTTCAATGTATTTACATTGCTGGTAACTACACTGCTAGTTCCCCGTGCTTCGGTGAGGATTGCTGCACAGAAGTATGGGCTTTCCTGCTTGAGGCTATTAATCTGCTGCACCCAGTTTCCATTGCATTGCAGAAAAGAGATCCAAACGCAACACAAAGAGCTGTTCCTTTCTTGCTATGGGCCCTATGAGTTGCACCTGGGGCCTTCCTCCAACTGCCACCTTTCTTCCCCTTGCAAGGAACCCAAGGTGGCTCAAATGCTTTTCCTCTTCTCCATTTTATCCTTACAACAACAACCACTCTTAGAAGAGGTGTTTCAACTTTTTATAATGGGGAAAACTGCATAAGGGAACCACCAAATTATTGTGGGGTGTGTACCAAGGGGAAGGCCAGGGCAAGGGGCATGACCACCCAGACACCTGACAGCCTTAGTTGGGGTCCCAAGAGGGCTGGAAACCCTCTCTGTCCCCTAGTTTGAGGTTGTGTACCTGTGATACAGATAGTTGTATTAGGGTTATCTTAGCCTGATCCACTCAACAGCTGATACTCTGTATTGTCACACCGTCAGTGACAGGATCTATGTCTGTCCTCCACACTAGATGTGCTTGCTGTAAGAAATTCCGATGTAAAAGTGGGGCAAAGCCCAGCAAATGTGATTGGTGCATAATTGTGAAGGGATCCTGGCACTCCTGATTCAGCCAAGAGGATATCCATCCAGGAGGATTTTCTTAACAGAGCAGTTTCCCAGCAGAACTACCATGGTCAGCTGCTCACTATTTTCTCCTGGGATAAACCACGATCACCTAGTTCAGAAATTTAGATCTATGATTTGGCATCACACACACAACGGATGACAGAAGCTTACATTTCTGTTGGAACCATAGTATATTGATATGCTTAAACCCAGAACTATGGTTAAATTTAGCTATGGTTTAAGGGGAGCAAGCCAGGATTGTAAACCATGGCTTGAATTTGGTTTGTGCCTCCTTACTTGTAACCTCTGTTGTCCAGGTTTTGACATGATGAGTAACTGCAGTTTCAAAGAGAAGCAAAATCTTTGACTCTCCTTCAGAAAATATTGGAGAAGCAGGGAAGGGGTAACCCACAAATTCAGGATTAATTATATCCAAATGCAGCCAATTAGTTTATTCATAAATAGTACATCAGCTGCCCAGAAATTTCTGATTTCACTCCTAAAACCATGGTATCCTATTACATTCCCTCCCATGAGGATCTAGTATGTTGTTTGGGGTCAGAAATGAATGAACTGCTTAAGTAGATCCATATATATTGAAAGGTGTCTTGGAGTTGTGTTTCTTGAGCAGCAGCTTCCCATGCTACATTACACAACTTGCAAAAGTAGCTTTAGGTAGTATTAAAACCCTTTTATTTAAAGAAGTTTTTGGATACTTTATTTTACTTATTTTTTGTTATGGATTATTTATTTTATTTTAATTTTGTTAATTTACTGGTTGTGATTAGTGTGTGTGGATATATTTTATTATGTGTTGTTATTTATTATTTTATTAGTTTATCTTTTTTATTAGATTATCAATTGTTTTATTGTATCGTACATATGTTTTTATTTTGGTTTACAATTGTAAGCTGCCCAGGAACCTTCAGATTATGGGGCAGCATAGAAATGGATTTAAATAAATAAATAAATAAACAAACAAACAGATGGATGTGTGCATATACTTCAGTTTGAAGGGGAAAAAAAGAGGCTAAGGATAAGGGTGTCCATGGAGGATAAACAATCACTGGTTTGGGAATGCTGAGCTAGACAGAACTCAAGTATGATTCAACAGGGCTCATCCTAAACTCTAAAGGGAGATCCCGTTTCGACTGTGCCAATATTTGGATCATCTACAGCAGTTTTTTTTGGGCCTTGGTTGCCATGACTTTGAAAAACAAGTCTTAGCTTGGATTTAAAGTAAAGCATGTATAAAGTGACCATAAGGAAGGCTGAGTGCCAAAGGACTGAGGCCTTTGAATTGTGGTGCTGGAGGAGACTCCTGTGAGACCCTTGGACTGCAAGGCGATCAAACCAGTCAGTCCTAGAGGAGATCAACCCTGACTGCTCTTTAGAAGGCCAGATCCTGAAGATGAAACTCAAATATGTTGGCCACCTAATGAGAAGGAAGGACTCCCTGGAGAAGAGCCTAATGCTGAGAACAATTGAGAGCAAAAGAAGGAGGGGACGGCAGAGGATGAGGTGGCTGGATGGAGTCACTGAAGCAGTTGGTGTGAGCTTGGGTGGACTCCGGGGGATGGTGGAGGACAGGAAGGCCTGGGGGAATGCTGTCCATGGGGTCGTGATGGGTTGGACACAACTTTGCGACTAACAACAACAACAACAACAACAACATGTATAAAGTGACAGAGAAATGGCTAAGGGCCTTATGAGATTACAAATTTAAATTTTCCTTGTAATCTGAAGGATTTAAAAATGTCATATATATGAAACAAGTCATTATACATTCAGTTAAATGGCAATACTGCTAGGCCCTCTAGAAAATAATACGTAAAACCAGTGACGACAATAGGAGGAGGAGAAATAAAAGTACAGACAAGGGCAAAACTATAATAACCTACCCTGCCATACATGTTCCTGTAAGCCTCTGCAATCATGCATCTCTGTGCATTGCAGCGCTGTGTTAGAATATCAATCAGCATATCTTTATCACAATCTTCAAGGGAAAGAACAAACAATAATTAGATTAGAGAGCAGTAATTTGTTTATCATGTTGGTATTATTGGCACTTTTAGGTGACTGCTGTACTTTTTTCAATTGTGCTGGTTGCATTGCCTTTAGGAAAAAAATATTAACAATTGAATATCCCATTGGCATTTACAAACACTGGTGGTATTAAAAGAGTCTTATGTGCCTTTCTCTTATGATTGTACCACTGACAAATAGTTAGCATTATCAGATGTATTGCCATATCTCTCAAGGGCAATGGACGTGAACACATCCTGAGAGGAGATAATAGCTTTCACTGAACAAGCGCTAGTCATTGTGTAAAGATTTATATCTGACTCTGATTTTAATGTTACTGATCTCCATTACTGATTGAAAGCCAAACACACGTGTGAGAGGGGAATGTGTAATAAAAACAGGAGGTTGTTTATTTGATGTTTCCTTCACACTTCCTTCTGAATAATGGTTCATGCTTTGGCAGCCTATGTTTGAAAGGAGGTTTACAGTTGGAGACTGGAGTTTTCTTCTGCAATGATCATTTTAAAGCACTGGCTTTCATGGTGTGTTCAGCTGAACCCTGTGGAGTCTGTCTCTACAGATCCTTTCTGTGCTTCCCAAAAGTGTCTTGATAAGATCAAAAGTTTCTTGATAAGATCTTGATGGCTACTTTTTAACTGCAGCGTGCACAACTTGTGTGAAGTTGAGTAGCTGCATTCTGGAACACACTCAGTTTACACACTCTAGTTTATGTGGAGCTGACACTGAACTGTAAGCCACAGACCTAAGCATACCCATATTATGTGAGAGGAGCATGGTGAACTCTGCAATATGGAAGAGTTCTTTAATTAAGAAGTCAATGTAAAAAAGGTTCCCTGAATGTTAGGTGTTTGGAAACGTAAGGTTGAGATGCATATATTTATGAACAAGCCACAAATTTCCTACAATTTGTCTGTGAATGACTTTTCTTACACACTTATAACTGAGTCACCATAGAATGCATATTTGTCCATTGTGAAAATTAGGACTCATCCTATAGATTTTGAAGACTGTTAGAAATTATATTTCTAAAGATTATCACGGTTAGAACAGGATGTATTCTTGACTGATGTTCAAAATACCTTTAGCGATAATTATATATGCTTATAGAATATAACATATTATTTGTAAGTCATTATAAACCCACATGATCTATTGAAATGCACAAAAATATGTCTCAAGGAGTTAATCGGATCAAAGAGATATTGGAAAATGTGTGAATCAGTGTAATTCAACGGGGCATATTCATAATGTTTCCAGATGTTTCTAGAGAGAAATATAAAGTTGAGGATGCTATTTCCTCCCACATTTTATCAGGGGCGACTGAATTAACCTCTCTTCATAAGCTAAGCTAGTTTGTGGGGTTCTGGGTAGGGTGTAACAGGAACCCATCAGACTGTGGTGGTTCTGGGCCTGTTCTGGAGGCTTGTCAGCGGCACTAAGCATTTGCAGAGGAAGGTGTCTATGATGATACAGTGAGATGGTATCATCTACCACATTCTGTATCAGAGGCCCGGAGTAGCCTGGGATGTTAGTTTTCTTGGGTATTGTGCCAAAGTCTCCTGAGTCTAGAAAGCATGACTGTTTTTGAATTTGATGATATAATTAATCCAGGCATACCAGATATCTGTTAACATGCCTGTTGAGCTCTATTGCAGTCTAGGGGCATTTTCAGGTCATTCTAGTCCTTGTTGTACTAAGGGACCAAATGGTTACTGGCTTTTCATTCATGGACTTACTGGGGTTTTTTTGCTTTCTAAAAAGTTATAGAATAAACCCAGCCTCTTTTCCCAACCTACTCTGGAGTTTGAGCTACAGGCTCTGTGTTATATTTCTGGATCTAGTAAATTATTATTAGAGTTGTTCTAATTTCAGTTTTAAAACTCTTATACCAATTGTCCAAATTGCTTTTTGAATTGAGCAGATATTTGCTTTTTGAATTGAGCAGAGATTTAAAAAATCAATTTGGGGAGAATTGAGCTATAGTTTCCCTTGAAATGGAAGCTCAGGGGGGGAAATGGTGCACCATCTTGATTGTTGCCTTACTTTGGTTTATTCTAGTAAAGGAGTAATGTTCTAAGAAACATTAGCTTTCTTTAAAACACATCCAATTTTAAAGCCTACAATTATCTCTATTTTCTTTGAAAAAAGTAGTTGTCTTTACTTCCTAGAAAAGATGTCATAGGATTTTGTATCATACCATAGTTCCCTCAAATGATAATGCAGGATTTCTTTTGACTATAAACAATTATTTGTATCATGTTTATTTTTAAAGATCACATCAGCTAAAGACACATACACATGTGCATGTGCACACGCATGCACACACACACACCCCTATAAACATTTGGTCCTGGGTGCTTGTGCTTAACCTGGATTTGAAGAAATGCCAGAATAAAGGACAGCTTTCAAATGTCAGTTAATATACATACCCATTCCCTGGAGAGCTCCTCCTAGCATCTGGGCATCCATAACAGGGTTAAAATTTGGAGCTGGGAAGATTGTTCCCTGAATCTGTTGAGAAAAAAAGAATGTTGTTAAAGCTTTTTCTTAACCTGGGTGAATAATGCTGCAAGGTAACAGATAACCCAATGTATATGTAAAGGCAGATGTAACATTTTAAGCACAACCTTTTTACTGCATGAAAATCCAGCAGTGCAAGCAGTGAAACCTCTTCCACTCCACGCACAAACTCACTTTCCTGGTTTTTATATCAGAAAAATGAAATTGGCAAAGCTCTGAAACTGAGAATCTTCCATGCTTTTCAAGCTAGATGAAGAAGGACTCTCAAGAGAAAAAAGGAGTTGAAACATTACTTACATTTCTTGCATTACTTGCATTTTTGTCATAATACTGAAACACATGCATGGACTTACTGGGGTTTTTTGCTTTCTAAAAAGTCCACTGTGGATTCATTTACCTGTTGGGGCTGTCATTTTGTATCAGGTACTCTGAAGTGTCTGGTTTGTCATGACTTGTCCTTTCATCTGACAACCCTCAAATAAGCCTAAAACAAACCTTCAGTCATTTTAGAATTATCTGACTCTCAAGCAGTCTGGGTTTACATTGAATTTAGTGCCTTAGCAGTAGCACCAAGAGGCTGTAAGACAATCACTAATTACACTGCACATTTGTTGCTGGATTGCCTTTTCTTGTCTTGCCTTGGATATTCACAATTTATTTATTATACTTATATCCTGCCTTTTTAACCTTTTTACTGCTGGCCGCTTATACAATCTTCCTTCCCTTCTTAAACTTATCCTCACAGCAGCCCTCTGAGGTAGGTTAGGCTGAGAGTCTATGACTGGCCCAACATCACCCAGTGAGCTTTGTAGCTGTGAGGGGCCAGAACCCAGATCGATCTATTTATACTTCATCATGTGCTTGCCATTCTCATGGTTATTTATGGGTTCTCTGTTGATGTTGTAACCCTCAGTTTTGCTTCTGTACTTACCAGGACTTTTAGCAGATCCTTTAAGAGCTTTTTTTTCTTTTAACAGCATTTAATTGTGAAACCAACCCTCCTCCTACACATGCATTTTTGTATTAGGGCAATTTTGCTATACTACAGTGCTACCTAGAGGTAATCACGCAAAAAAGCAAAATAAGAACGTCATTCACAAAGTGCTTAGATCTTAATTCTGTGATGAATCCAAAAACAGGAACACAGGATTTACAACCGATCAATGCTGTCATGTAGAAAGGTTTGAAAAGCAATGGAAAGTTGATCAAGTTCTAACACATGTAAATAGATCCATGGCTTGGATCCAAAGGGAGAGCAGAAGGAAGCTCATGCCAGGGCATTGTCCAGAGCCTTCCTCACTTCAGCCTCCTCCACATCCCGAGGCCCTTCCTTGGAGGGTCAGGAGAATCTTCTGAACCGCATGAGGTGAGCTGCAGGGGGGTGCTGGAGTGGGAGGAATCATCCAAAGTGGGCAAAGCTCACTTGCTCCTGTGGCATACCTGTTGTTTTTCATATAGATCCTTCCCTTGTCCTTTGGCAGAATTGGCAGGCTTAGGAACTGCTTTGTCACATCTACTTATGCCCTGAGATACCATCTAGTAAACAGTGTTTATCACTGCTATTAACTCTGTAAGTCAGGCAGCAAAAACTTTGAGTTTAGGGTCATTGGGTTTTTCTGAGCACACAAATTGCCTGGTCCTCAGTTTAAAGGAAAGAAAAAACAAACAAAACGCAGCACTCAGAATCTGTGTCTTTACAGTCTGGATTTTAGATTCAAATTCACCCAAGAATGTAAGTTCAGCTAAGAATGTATGTTGTTTCCCTTTTTGATATTTTCCTAGTTCATCATCTATTTTAAATCAAACTTTTTATTCTAAAGATCCACTTTTAAGATCTTTTCAGTATAGGTGAACAAACCTTAGCAAAAGAAGAAAAGAGAGAGAAAAAGAAAGAAAGAAGAAAAACCTCCCAAAGCTGAACTGAATCAGTATTTGAAGTATGTTGCCAGATTTAAAATTATTCAAGTAGCATCTTCTGATCGATCAGAGTGAAATATTAGAAATGATATTATAGTGGTGCCATCGCTGGATTCCAACAGCTTTGACACCATAATCACATCACAATAACTCCTTCTGCAGATTAGCCTAAAGTATTTTTCAGGATGGGAGAGCACATCATAAATCAAAGTGAATAAGAACCTGCAGAGTCACTGGAGTTCCTCCTCAAAATAGAAAACATGTGCTTGCAACTGCTGCGAAACAGATCACAAAATACTCTGGATAATTGGCTACAAAGCTACCCTAAATACTGTCTATGAAAGGTGAAGAAATAGAAGAATTACCCCTAATCACTGTCCTGTACACATACATACTGAACTCAGAGATACTTACTGCAGCGTTTGGACTACCCTTAATGTAAATCGATGCAGTACAAAGCAGCTTTTTTTTCACTTTGCCACAGGGCTTCTGCCCAAAAGAAATACAAAGAATTTAGGGAACAAAAAGAATAGTAACCTGCTTTCAGAAATGAAATTTGGAACAGAACTGGGCCAATCCAATGGTTGCCCTCATTTCTAGACAGAAAGTAAGGTTGTCCCCTACAATGCTCTGCAGCAGGTAAAGCCATTGTTATTTCTTACTCATTGTTAAGAAATCAGACACGTGCTTTCCCCTCTTCCCTGCTTTTTGAGCCTCTGTAAATTTCCTCTTCTCTTCTCTGGTTCCCATGAACTGTGCAGCATTTTGTTTGCACTAGCACAGGTAGCAGCCGGTTATCTGGCTTTGTTTGTAGGATTAGGAAACTAAGTTTCAGACACTTATGAAACCTGAAGTTGCTAGTATTTCCACAAAAAGTACTTAGGCACATGAAATACAGCACCTACTGCTAATGAAAGATGGAAGATGAGGGAACATGAAAACTGATCGCCATCTCTTAAGTGTGGATATGAGACATGGGACATTGGATCTCCACTGAACTGATGAAGATATATGGAAAAGCCATGTGCGTAGTGAAATGCAAGGAATCTCAAATACCAATGCAATGGAGATGCTGAAAGCCTGAAACGTGAAGGTACATCAGTGCCATGTGCAAGGCAGGAGGAGTGTGGAGGTCACCTTTGCTTCCCAGTTGCTCTTGCCCTGCAAGCCAGCTAAATGACTGGTTTCAGTCATCCAGCTGCAGCACCAGAGGAGGAGGAAAGGAGGCTGCAGCCCCCCAGGATATATTGTATCCTGGCAGACCCAGTCTCCTCTCGTCCCTACCTCCCAGAATTCCCTCTTGAATCCTTCTCCAAGGTTGGCCTTACATGGACTGCCATGTTGACTGTGAGACTGGGGGTGGGGATCTAGATGTGAATCTGCAGTTCCAAGGTCAGAGCTTTTTCCATCCTCAAATCTGGGAACCCAAAATGTTTTATGGCCCTTTAGACATTGTTTAGGGCCATAGGGTCATACTGCCCATCACCTAATCAGCATAGTCATCATGACTAGGAGAGAAGAGACTTCCTTCTGTCTGTGGAGATGGAACCCAAGGTGGGAAGGAGAGTGAATTCTTAGACCCAGTGTGGTGGTGCCCGGCCAAAGGGGTGCTCCAATTATGCAATGTCAGATGTTCCTCCATTTGGCCCACAAGCAATGTGAACCATCTTGAGGATGGAGTCAAGACTCTGGAAAAAGGAGGGGGGCATTCCACTTTGGAATCAACTCTTCACTTGGGCATAAGCTTCCCTCACAAAGTCGACAGTTGTTACTTTGATTTCTGCAACTTTTAGCAGCTCTCATAAAAAATTCCCTATATCACAACAAAACCTGTTAAGTTCCAGGAAAGAACCGTCATTTTGATTTTCTGGGGAAGAAAAAGGGAGAGAAACATGCTCATGATGCTGTCTTGCTTAGGGTTGTGTGATGCAAATATTTTGAAAGTGTGCATTATATTATCAATTAATTCTTGATTTTAAAAGCAGTCTGTTATAATTATGTACAACAGATAGCTTTACAACAACTGGTGAAGGCAGTTTTATTTGGAATTAGCAATGCTAACAATTCTAATACTTTTGAGTTGACAAAAATGGTATGAACATTGTTAAAGCCATTTTTGTTAACTTGAAATAATGAATCAATAAGGATATTGCCTTCCTGAGACATGTGATTTGGGCATGTGGAAGTTATTACTCATATAAATGTACTTGTAAAGGTCTGTGTTAATACAGGATGAATGTGCAGTTTTGAAATACATTAAACAAATTATTTTAATAGAAAAAGTGGATACTGAGAGCCAGGGTTTTTTTTTTGTCATAGAATGCACTGGAACGGTGTTCCGGCACCTTTTTTTCCAATGGATTTTACGAAGTGATTTTGAATCATAGCAGATAGCAGCAAACATCATTAACATAGTGCCTGCTGGCTGCTTTTGTGTCTGCTATCTGCTATCTGATAGTGAGATAGTGAGGGCACTGCTCGCGACGCTGCTCTTGCTTGGCTTGGGATTGGTGTGTGTGGTCGCGCACTTACTGCCGCGACACGAGTTCCGGCACTTTTTTTTTTTTTTTTTACAAAAAAAGCACTGCTGAGAGCCATTCAAATTGCAAAGAGACCTGTACAAGTTTGCAAGGAAGACTATTCACCACCTATCATTCAACAGGCTGAAGGTTTCACTGTTCTTGCTACATTTGAGTGTGTATCTCCTACAACCAATAGAGGCTTATTTAGACACACAGATTGCTTATGTCAACAAATCTATTTCAAATGGAAGTGTTAAATCATTCCCCAACTCTTTCCTTTTCCCCTTCTTCCCCTATCAAGCAATGTGTCAACCATCACTGTATATTGCTATATCCTATTATTTGAATCCACCTTTTTTGCATAGTGGTTGGAACTGTAAATAAGAGACGTTTATTTTAAAGACCATGAAAATCATTAGGATTCAGCACACTCAAGAACCAAGTTAACAGAGGCTGATAGCTAAAATCCTATCCAAAAAGTGACAAGAAAAGGTGTACTAACATGGAATTCTCACTTTGAATGTAGGTGACATTGCCCTGTTTATATAAAAAGAATTGCATTTCATGGTGATAGTGAAAGAATATATCTTCCATCAAGAAGAATGATGTTAAAACCATGTTTTCAAGCAGTATTTGTGAGTATTTTTGCATTTAATCCCTATGGCAAGAGTGACTAAGGAACCGTAGGATGTCTCTTACTGGTGGGGAATGAATCTTTCGCTGATGGAGAGGGAAAACTGCAGACAGAGAATGAGATTTGCCACCACACCTTCTTTGCAATGGCAGAATGTTTTGGTGCGAACACTTCCAACAGTGGCAAGAAGTGAAAAGGAAATTGTGCTTATGAAATTGTGTTTCTTCCACAATTAGCTCCTGTCCCAGAAAATTCTATGCATTTTAACTTGGAAGTAAGTCTAAAACAGTTCCCTGGTACATGAAGGACAACCCTCCCCATAAAGATAAGATAAGCAAGGAATGATTTGCTTCTGGACCCTTCAGCAATGTGGTCTACTGAGCTACCACACATGACACAACTTCTTGGTGGTGGCAGCACATCAGCTCTGGAGTTTCCTTCAGGTAGAAAAGTAGCTGTCCCTCAGACTGTAGTCAGTTAGGTGTAGATAAAGGACATAGCTATTTGGCCAGGCTTTGAGCTGGCAGTCTATTTTTTATTGATTGATTTTGTGGAGGATTTTACTGTATTTTCATATTGTGTGGTTTTATTGTACTTTATTGTATATCTGTGACTTAAAGCTTTTCTAGATGAGGCATTCATGGTGAGTTCATCATTCCTTACTTGTGGTTATTTATGGGATCTTTATCCTTGCCTTCTGCTGAGACTCAGAATCTGCCATGAAAAGTAGCCACATAGTCATCCCATCCAGGTGTATGGGTTGCTGTAGAAGAGCAGCCACTTCCATACTGGGCCTATATACAAATGTTGAAGCTTGTGTCCTTCATAATAGGGTCAATCTGGGGCCAAATGCCTTATTGGTTACCTACTCTGTGATTTACAGCGCTCAAACATGAGTCATCTTCATCCTGTTCTAATTTACCTAACAGCATGCTGTGATGATTTCCCTAAAGAAACATCATATGCATATATTAGATACCAAGGTTCCATGTTAGTACTACTGGACTATGATGCTGAATAGGCCTACTCATTCAACTTGTAGCCCTCCAGATGTTTTGGCTTGGAACTCCCATAATGGAAACTCTAGGTCAACACAACTGGAGAACCATAAGAAGTGGCTCTGAGCTACATTTACTGGTAGGTTCTTTCCTCCCTAATCATTCTAGGGTACAAAAATTGCAGATAAAGTCTTGTGACTCAAAAGTAATCTGAAGTATGAACAGCCTTCTAATAATATTTGTTCAGTAAGTCATTCTTTTGATAACATACAATGAAAGTTAATTTTTCTTCAGTCACAGGGACTGTTGCTGGGAATCAAGACTTAAACATTCCATGCTTATGAATTCAATCTATTTTGAAAAGAATTCCTTTGTGATACGGCCTTCTTGCTGTCTAATTAACTAATAACAACAAAATAGCTGTCCATTTTTTTCTTAATAGGTATCACATGCAACACTAAAAAT